TTCCTCTGCCTTTGCATTTTGCTCATTCATTTGCATTCCCTGCCCCTTTACATTCCCTCGTTTCATTTTTTATTTATTTTTATTTTTTTAATTTTTTTCTGTCTGTTGCTGTGCGCAGTCTAGCTGCAAAAAAAATATATAGAAGAAAAAAGGGTTGGCCTCTCCTCATCCGGGGGGAATCAAAAATGAAGAGAGAGGTTTGCTTTTCCGACTTTTCATCTTCTGCGCCAGACAACATTGTAATATTTTCTGCACAAACTAGACAGAAATTCTTGCCAAAAAAAAGAGGAAAGAAAAAAGATCAGCAGAACCGAAATATATATACAAAAACCGAATGCAGACATAGCTGACGTCAGCTGATGATGCTGTTTGTTGTATTTCCTATATTTTGCTTTAAAGTTCCCTTCAAAACCAAGGCTAAATATTGCACTTAAATTACATAAAAAATTAACGTAAATTAAACAAAGATTTCCATGGGATTTTACAAGTTCAATGTCAACTTAATGGTTAGTTTATAGGGTTGTAATCCATAAAGTATTGTTATGTTTTAGGATTCTTTATAAATATTTTACAAAAACAATTTCTGCAACAAATTTCATATTAAAATATAAATGTAAGCATTCCCCTTCAAAGTAAGACCAAATCCCGTCTTTAAACTGCATCTAAAATATTAATATCAGAAAATATCATCACAAGACACCGTGAAAATCTAAACTTTAAACAACAAAGGAGAGATCATCATCACACACAATTCCATTTGATTTTTCAAGTTCAATGTCACCTCAATGTATTATGATTGTTAAAGCTGGTGATAATAATGCCTTTAGTTAGTTTATGATGTACCCGCGTAGAATGCGACGATGTTGATCCTCGCACAACCTTGACACCCAATCAAGGTGTCATTGGCATTGCCATCCAAAAAAAAATGCCATTTTTCGGCCAGTGTAGCGGTTTGGCTTTCGGGGTGTGGGATCAAGTGCGCTGCACTTGACTGTCATTAGCGCGGTGATCATAATCATTGAATTAATAACTTGTTTGCTTTTGTGCTCGGAGCGAGCGAAGCGAAGGAAGGAAAGTTGATCGAAAGTGATCCTCTTTAGCGAGCAATCTTAATCAAATGCAATTGTCACCCGAAAAAAGATAATGGAGAGCAAGTCAGGGAGGCATTTTAGGCATTATACTAAAGCCTCGGTCAAGGAACCTTTAGCCAACGAACAAAAAGAAGTGAAAAATTATATATATATATATATATGTCTTTATTCGTAGAGAGATCGAAACAAGTTTCCCCCCCATCCGTTAGCTTTGCCCACTGTGTCCGTTCAATGTCCGTTCCACTATAAAAATAACCATGAAAGCCGTTTGGATCTCGGTCTCGGAAAGTGTTAGCCAACTGTCTGATCTGTCTAGCTGGTTTTGGCCGGGTGCGAGGTCTGCCTTTATGCCATTTTTCCTATTTTGCTATTTGCTATTTGCTATTTGCGATTTGCGTCTGGTGTGATGATCAATTCAAATATTGAATCTGTATTCGCTCAATTATTTTAGCACTTTTCTCAATAGTTGTGGCTGGCGCACACGTGCGTCAGAGGTTCCATCAAATACGTTTGAACTGTTGCCAGGTATTCCTTTCTCTTTCGATTGACCAGTTTTATAGGGTATCAGGTGATTTGTCTAACTGCATAATATATATGTGTATATAGTATTTCTGCATGTGCGCGGCGACTCCAGACATAAACGAAGTCCCCCAGACATGCTCAATCATTTCTCCTGCGATAAAAATAATTGCAACAAGCCGAAACGAGCGGTACAATTAAAAAATTATAAATAAAATTACGATAAGAGTTATAAATTGATGAAATCCTTAAATACCTCTTAATGCCATGGGAAAACTATTTAATTCCTTAAAATTTTACTTTAATGGTTTAGTAGACGATGGACTGACTAAGTTAATGATTTTGTAGTGTTTTTGCATTTAATATATAGAATATATACATATATTTATTAAATAGCTTATGATTTGATTCATTCAGAAACTTCTTTAAAACTTTAAAATACCCCCAAATTTTAGTTGATTACTTAAATTTCTAGTAAAGCTCTCGTCATGCTCCAAACACTACAAATGTACAGGGTAAACCGAAAAGCTAACAAAATAATTATCAGAAAAAAAAACAAAAGGCCATAAAAGCCAGACCGAAAGCGAGTGACAACAGAGTCACAGGTAAGGTTGAGTCACCTGAGACACGGGAATTGTTGAATCCGAGTGACAGCGGCTGGGAATGCGCAAAAGTCTAAAGTGCCACTTGCTGCTGTTGTTGTAGTTGTTGATACTGTTGGTGTTGTTGTTGATGGTGTTGTTGTTGTTGGTGTACCTGTTAATATCATTTTGTTGCCTCCTTGGTTTGCCTTTTGGTTGAGTTGAAGTCCGACGCCAGAGAGAGAGTCATAGAAATTGTTGACATATTTTAATTAGTTAGCCGCATTGTTTGTGCCTTTTTCCTCGCTGTACATTTTAATTTTAGTTGATTAACTTTTGTCTGGCATTTGTTGTATAATTTGTTTTATGCCTGTCTGCTGACTGACTTCATTTTTTTGTTTGTTTGTTTTTCGACTGTGTATTAAACCATTTGTTTTTGTTTTTGCCGCATTTCTCTTTTTGTTTTTGATTTAAGACCATAAATTATTTGCTGCAAATCCAGAGCAGTCATCGGTATATATGTATGTTTGTACATATATGCATTTTCATTCAGCGGCGATCACCTCGTCAGAGAGAAGGGAGATAGCGCTTACCATAGCTGCGTCATTTTTGCCTTGATGAAATTGCGCTGCGGATCGGAGAGCGTCATGATATTTACTATATGTAGTTGTAAAATCTAGTTGCGCAAGCTTTCGCGTGTATCTGTATCCCAAATAGTATATCGGGGTCTGTCTAGTACTAGCTGTATCTGTATCTACGTATCTGAGTATCTACGTATCTGTGAGTGTATTTGCTCTGTTACAGGGTCTGCGACCGCGACGGGTGGCCTCCGTCTGTCTGTCTGCCGTTCTATCAGCAGCGTCTGGCGGATTCGGAATGTGACCGCCTTGCCATATAGTTTTTTTTTTTGCCTATATTAATACCCATTACTAATTTGAAGCATTTGTGGCTTTGTCACAGGTGCTCTCGCCTTGGACTTTTTGGGTGAAAGCTCAGCCTTGCCAGAAATAGAATTCACTTTATAATCGATGGTGTAAGGTGCAAGGTTGAAGTGTGACTATCATTTGTGGTGTTAGTTTCTTTTCAGTTTTTGTTACAATAGATCTTGAACTATTTATAGTTCTTTCTATTTTTAAGGTTTGCCAAACCAACAAAGGGTTTATTTTTGGGGGTTTTAGTCACAGAAGATTAAGATGAGTTTCATCTTCGTGTAGATTCTTTGAGTTACTATACCTATTTATAGACTTAAGACCTTAAATTCAAGCGTATCTAAATTACTATACCATTTTCTAGTTCCTAGATACTCATATTCTATAAAAAGTAAATGCACTTATAAATAATTGCAATGTTAATCCTTATTTACCTTCTTTTAAAATCATTTTTCCTTATAGAAAAGTTCCACTTAAAATCTCCCCTACTTTCCCCCACTTTACAGGGTATCTTTCGTGTGTCAATCAAACCCTTTTTAAACTATTTATTTTTTTTCGCTTATTTGTTTATCGAACTGCTGCTGTCCGCCTACATTGGCTGGCTCGCTCGCACTTACTGCGCTTCGATTTGCGCATGTGTGCTTGTATCACTTAAGTCGTCTGCTATCTAGTCTAGACGCAGACGCTGCTACATATATACATATATATATATATATCTGAGAGACACATATTATATATACATATAGATACGTATATGTATCGGTATATACGGGTAACGGGTGACAGTAGTACCCGGGGTCTTTCTACGAACAACGGACGCGACGTCGCGCACCTTGTAGATACGAAAGCGAACACGTATCTGTATCTACGGAATACGTTTACAACCAGCGACAGTTGCACGGGTTTTCCTCTTGTTCTTGCCTCGCAGTTTGTTTTTATTTTTATTTATTTTTTGTTTTATTTGCGGCTCCTTCATTGTTATTTGGTCGCTTGTGCCTAGCTGTGGGCCGCATTCGTTTTGTTTTCGCTTATTTATAGTAATTAAAACCGTTCGTGAGTGGGAATAAGTTATTTAAATTAAACGGAAATTTAAGAGCTACAAAATGGGAAATGTGAGTGGAAAAAAACATAAGAATAGCTTAAGAAATTTCGGAAAAATGTGAGCTTAACTTTGAAGATCATTGTAAGCTAAAATTATAACAAAATACAAATAGCAAAAAGGAATTTTCCGATTGTTCCTATGGCAGCTATATATGTATATATATATAGTCCACCGATTCGCCATGCTCCGACTTATATACTAGTAAATTTATATAGAAGAATAACTCCATAGTTTTATTCAAATAGATTAAATTTGTTTCAAAACAAATCTCGCGCATCTGTACTTATGATTCCCAAGTGGTTCTAACATCCCCGGAACGAAGTGACTTCTGCCGGCCACGTCTCAGATATGTGTTGTGTTACAAAAGTTGCAAGTCATTGTTTATTAGTGTTCAAAGTGTTAGTACCTGATCATAAATACTTACTAGTCATAAATACTTACTGATCATAGTTACTTACTGGTCATAGTTACTTTGTGATTATATTGTTCATTGATGCTTACTGATCAAAGTTACTTACTAGTCATAGGTACTCACTGATCATACATAATTTCTGATCATATTTACTTACTGTTCATTGTTTCTCACTGTTGAAAGACACTTACTGATCCATTTTTGTTTAATAACTGTTTCTATGGCAGCTATATTATATTTAAAACGAAATTCTATAATAATAAAAGATAGCTTTGAATCAAATTAGATAAAAAATGAAAAATATATATTATTTGTATAGAAATCGCAAATCTAAACTAATTTTTATTCACTTTCTCTTCGTTGCAGGTCGCTTGTTGCTAATCGCCATTAGTTTATCCGTGTGCCTGGCCTGTGGCAGTGTGTTGGTGGCCGCGATTGCCCTTCGCCGCTCATCCAACGCATCAGCAACATTGACCGCAGCAGCAGCAACAGCAGCAGCAGCAGCAACTACTGCAACATCTGCAGCAGAAGCTGGAGGCACTGCAACAACGCGCCGGATACGTCACAAACGTCGCTCGTCGCAACGACGGCGCAGCAAAAACAACGCGGTGCTGTCACCTGGGATCGGTATTGGGATTGGGATCGGACAGGATACCAATTCTGCTCTGGCCCTGCCACTGGCGACAACAACAACCTCAACATCGGGCTCCACAGCAGCGGATCAGACAGCTATAGCCGCAACAGCAGCAGCAGCATCAGCAGCAGCTGCAACAGTAGCAACACACGCAGCAGCATCAGCAACAGAAACAACAACACTTTTGCCAAACGAGCCGGAACATTCTGTACCCGTAAGTACTCACTGCCTTTACTTCCTTGCTCGTCAAACAAACACAAAAAGAAAAAGCAGGAGCAAAAGATGAAATATGAACAGGAAAAACAGCGGGAAAGAAAAACAGGAGAGAAAAGGTTCTGGTGGGTGGTAACATTTTTTTGGGTGGGCTTTTGCTCGTCTCTAAGTTACACTCTTAGAAAAGGTGAAGTAAATGGTTTAAGGGAAATTAAACAAATCAGATTTGATAACCAAGAACCTTATTAAAGTTCTCATTAAATTGTTTTCATTTCGATGTGAATTTTATTCAGAAAAATCAATTAAACAAGCAAAATTTAATTCCAACTTTATAAGTTTCAAAATAACTGAACATAATAAAGTTGAGAATAAGAGCTTAACATATCTTTAGCAATAAAAAGAAAGATATTAACCCAAATTTACAGCTCAATGGGGGTATCTTTGGCTTCTTTTTTATGCATTGAAATCTATAATAATTGCTGTCAATTACTCAGCAATTTCGTTGGCTATAAACTTAAGCGTAGGCAAAACAATTTTTATTGCCAGCCAGACGTGTTGCCAATTTATAGATGCAAATTATATATACATATATATGTATATATGTAGATTGATTAATAAACAGCGACTGGCCTATTTCAAAAACCTTTTAATTGATCCATCAATCAACGCTAGCCTTGGCACACTCTTTTCCCCACAGTGTAGCCGTGGAAATGGAATGGCAGAAAGGAGACACGTGTCGAAAGTTTCCTTTTTTCTCTCATCTTCGCCCTCGCCTTTGCCCATATATTCCATGCATTCCCTTTTGGCGAAAAAGAAAAACGAGTAAAGAGAAAAGAGAGACAGAGGCGCAGACAGAAGGAGTGGGAGAAGTGGGGAGACGAAAAGGAGCAGGAAAAGTCCTTGAAGCAACAGAGCTGGAAAAGTGGGCGGTCGTTGCAGACATGCTTAAATTGCTTTCGTCGCCGCCAACGCAAAAAGTCTTATGTAACTGCGCCTATGCCCATTTATAAAACATCCCACAACCTCCCCCTTTTCGCCTTGGTGTGTGTGCGCCTGGTGTTATGCAATGCTTGCTGAATGCACAGCACGTCCTTTTTTGCTCTGTTACTCTCTCTATCTCTCTCTCTCTCTCTGTGTGTGTGTGTGTCTCAGTGTTTTAGTCTCTCATTTGGCATTCAATTTTTATCACTCCTCGAAGGCAAAGGAACATAAAGCAATAAGAACAAGAATTGGGGAATCCATTTGGCGTCTGGCATTTTTATACGTCTTTATTATAATGGCCAAGACAAATTCAATTTCTACATCAGCGCCTCTTGCTTTGTCTATTTAGCCAGCCTCCTCACTTTAAATGCTTTCCATTTTTGTACACGGTATTTGTTGTGGAGAACAAGGTATGTCCTTCAGATGAGTCTAAAAGAACAGAGGAATCGAGTGACCTTAAATTACTTTAATTGCTTTTTCCAAACTTCAAGTTTAGATAAATTACATCAATTTGTTTACTTGGGGAAATCCTGTATACTTCCTTTTGCTTCAAGTTCATTTGTACAAAGTTTATTTGACATTTTTAGATGGTCATTAAGTTTGTACTTGCCAGGAATATAATTTGCATTTTTTGCGAATAGTATAATAGTTTAAGACATACTTAAACCAAGTTCTTAATGCGAATAATATAGTATTATAGTTTTTGGGATGTTAACCTTAGTTCAAGCTTTAAACAATTCGGATATTAAGCACTAGTTATTGTGAGTACTCACTATCATTGTATGACTGAGTTTTTATGTTGGGGAATCCGTCACATGTACTTAACCCAAGACTGTTAAGTTTAACTGGAAGAATTAAATTATAGTTAAAAAATGTAGTTTTAAACCCTTGCATCTAGTAATGAGTTCTAGTTTTTTTTTTTGCCTCATCACTATGACGTAAAAAACATAATCCATCTAAGATGCTGAGTAATAGATCAAGCCATTAACCTTATCTATATCATTATTTTTGTTTGTGAGCTCTTCCTTTAAAGGGTATCTTGCAGTCTTTCCCTGCTTTTTCTACCTGAATTTTCACTTATTGAATCTCCACTAGACACCGGCAATAACCTTGAAGCTCTACGATTTACTTTAACGACAGAAGACACTCTTCGCCTCCCACACACAGACGCATGTGTGATTTTGGTGGATTCTTGTCTGTGGGCTCCATTGGGCCAAAGTTGTTAAGGCGGCTTTTCAGATTGTGGTTTTAAGATTTCCCAACGAGGAGGCTGGCTGGCAGGTAGATGGAGGGGGAGTGCCGCCGCCGCCGTGACGCCCATTACAAAAGATTAAAGTCGGCAACTTTGACAAATTGTTACTCGCTTTGCTGACATCTTCCAGTGCGCATTTGCTCATTTTTTTTTGCTTCGCAGCTAGAATCTTGTTTCATATTTTACTTGATTTTTTTGTTGTTCCTCTCGTTTAATTTGCCCACGCCAGGGGCAGCATTATGAATGAAATACATCAGGTACAGTGGGTATACGTTTTAAGAGCTTTATTTGAAATAAATATTATTAAATTATCAGGAATTCTTTTAAACCAAACTCAGAAACTTGGATAAAGATTATTGGAAACTTGATTCGTATTTAAATATGTAAATTTAAAAATATTTTTTTTACTAAAAATCTTGGGAAACATACAATCTTTCGAGGATAGTACACCATCTGCAGCAGTATACTTCCTTAAAATATTAAGAACAGATCCTGGGAGACTTCTTACTAAACAAACTAATTTTAAAACTTCAAATATCTTTGAAAATTCATCAGTATCCTCCCTTAAAATATTTGAAAAACAACAAGTTCTAACTAAATATCACACCTATCCTAGTTTTAACCGTGATGAGAACATAATTAATGAATGTTTCATTCAACATCGTTCAGCCACTTTGATCCCCTTCCCCCGCAAAAGTCATTTGGAAACCCAAGATGCGGATGAAAATGGAAATGGATGTGGATGTGGAAGCAGTGGAGACAAGTGCGTGGGTGGGAATTGGCTTTGCTGGAAGGCGGCGGTGACGGGATGGCGGAAAACACAATTGCCGCTAATAACCCAAGGCGTTTAGGCAAAGCAGAGCGACGCTGGCAGCGGCGTTGTGTTTTAATCGAATTTTATTTGCCGCCGTTAGCCAATGAATAATTCAAATTGATTATTAAAATGTGCGCTCGCATGTGCCTATTGTGTGTGTGTGTGTGTGTGTGTGAATTTCTGCACACGCACACATGCGCGCTTAGCTTTGTAGGCGTTAACATTAGCAACGTTAACATTAGGACGTGTGAGAGCGAAACGGGCTTTCATTAAAACCGTTATCTATGCCAGACGCACGCACCAGACGCAGACGTGCATAAATTAATTACAATTACAAACATAGAGAGAGCGAGAGAGTGCGAAACACAAGCACACACACACAGCTGTTCCTGTTGCGAAACTTTTCGGAAAGTTTTTGGAGAACTAAATTTGGGTTTATCGAATATTTGAGTTTAAACTTCTTTGGGATTAAGATTTAATTTAAATTAATTAATTTCTCACTTAGAAACATATACACATATTTATATATATTCAGGTGGTTTAGCAATAATAGTTTTAAAATAATGCCAGAAGTGGGAAAGAAGCAGTTGAAAAATGTGCCGCAAAGTATGCAACATATATTTGTTTGCATGCGTTTCTAATGGTTACTTTCCTGTTAATTCACAAATGACCTTGATTTGCAAATATAATCCTTGTTTCTAATTTTCGCCTAAAATTCTCCAAAGGCTTAGAGAAATTTCTCTAAGCCTTTAGAGAATTTTATAATTCAAATAATTTATAAAAATGAGACTTACCTAAACAAACACAGAAAAAGTCGGAAACTTTCAAGGATTCAAACAAGGCCAAAGGCAAATAAAAGCGCGCACAAAAAAAACAAAAACAAGGGTTTACCCTCAATATTATGTCACTTTATTCCCAAAAAAAGAATATAAATAAAGGAAAATAAAAAAGAAGCACGATAAAGATAAACAACAACAAACAACGACAGATGCAGAGCCATGCTAACTTATGGCCTGAGCTTAGTCCAACAAAAGCAACAATAATAACAACAACAAACAGCAGACATTTCTCTTACGTCAGAGTCTGGCACACACACACACACACACGCACACGTAGGAACACGAACGGAAAATGAGGTTATTGCCAATCCCGTCTGCAATGCTCGAGTAAACATTTTAACCTAATTTTTTTGCACAGGCAATTCAGGGTGTTCGGGGGCGGGGTGTGTGTGAGTGTGTGTTGAGAGAGGAGATGCCCCAGACAATGTGATGCGATATTTTCTGGTACTCGGATTACCAACAAAAAGAAGAAAACATAATAATAATAATAAAGCAAATATGGCAAAAAATATACATACAACATTGGAAATAACCCGAAATAAACTTCACACACCTGCTTTAAAACCAAAGATAAATCAGTAATATGTTCTGTTTTCGTATTTTTATAAATTATTATGAATTTAATTTGAATACGGTTTGGTTTTTAAAATCTAGTATGGAACCAAAATATGTTCTGAGTCTTTAATCTTGGGCTTCTATTCTAGATTTAAATTAAATTAAAAATTGGAGCAGGTATAACTGTGACATAAGTGTTTCTGTATATAAAATATACTGTTAAATTAGTATGCCTGTAAAATATAATTATACATATATGAAACATACGCTACCAACACGCACGCAAATCTGACCACACAATTTTACGAGATTTTAATTTACAAAATTGCATTTGCATATTTGTATAATTTACAAAGTCCGCGGCCGCCGACGTCGCCGTCGCCCAAAAATATTCGTGCTGCTCTATTATTTGTTGTTGTTCGCACAGAGATTTGTCATTTCTTTCATGCTCGCTTGCACACATCAATCGCCAGGTGAGGCGGTGGGGCACTCGGGGGTTAAGACACAAAAAGCACAAAATAATAACAAAAAGCACAGTCGCAGGAAAATAGAGAGAAAAAGGTGGCCAGCGGAATGTGGAACATGTTGAGTTATGCGAATCGGTTGGTATGTAGAAATCATTTAAGCAATGCCTACAAATTAAAAAATATTTATATATTTTAGTGATATTTTTCAATTGAAAATAACAATTTTTACCAGAGAAAAGTTGTATAAAAACATACAAGATCTTTTAGAATATAATCTGCATTCAGTATATTTAAAAAACATTTAACATTGAAAATAATATAATACAATTATTCGTTGGACAGTTGATTTAAACTTGGTGCAAAATCGATTGAATTAAATCTTGGTCACACTTTTTATCGAATAATCGGTAGGGCGATCGTAATGTATTAATATGAAGGTTTAATTTCCCAATTAATGCTAAATAAAGTAAAACACACTTATTAAGGTTTAAAGGGGGACTTAAAGCTACATTTAGCTAACCCTTAATCCAAATCTATAAATTTGTATTCGATGAGCTTTTATGAGGTCACAATTGTTTGCTATCGATAATGTCTTCAGCGTCACCTCCTCCACCTGAATCCGTTATCTGGCTCTATTTTTCTTGCGATGTTCTAATATACAAATGCCTGGAAATAACAATATAAAAACTGAAAAAGCATGCAGTGCCGCGACAAACACTCGCAAAAAGTCCATCAAACTAAGTCTTGCCGATTTCCACACGCTTCTAGATCAAAAAACAACTCCAGAAAATGATCAAAAGATGAAGCCGGCAAATAGCGCAGCAACATTGAAAGGTTGGCCAAGCGGCAGAGTTCGCTGCCGCGGCGTTTGTTGCGACAGAACTCCCAGTGATCCCGAGCACCAGAATCCGGCTACCCAGGTGACAAGGAGTCCAGGAGAAGCCAGTCTTAAGGCTAAAACAAAGGCCTTTAGCGAAACCAAAAGCTTTTTTACCAAAAACCAAGAATCAACGCAAAACGGTCTCTCCGAGAGGTTTAAAATAATCTCTGTAAATCCAAACTCTCCCAAGAGCCCACAAGGGCTCAGTGGTCTTTCAACAATTCTGGAAAATCATGGAACTAATGAAAATCTTACTAGCCCTCCAGTTACTATACTAAAAAGACTCAATCAACATGATCGTGGTCTTTCTAAAACTAAAGTGCGATCCTGTCCAAGGATTCCAACGCCTCCGAAAGATGTACCACGGGAGCTGAAGCAGGTGGATCGCATGACCTCGGCAGATTTCCGGCACGACTACAGTGCCCATTTGGAAAATATGCGAACCCGGCTAAAGGAACAACAGCACATGCATTTCTTATCGACGGCCATCCAGCAAAATCAGCATCTCTTCAAGGGCCGAAGCATTCTGGTGCTTTGCTGCGGTCCCGGAACCCTGGCCCTCATGGTCGCCCAGGTGGGGGCGAAAAGCGTTTACGCTGTGGACTACTCCCAGGTCACTGGCTATACGGAGTTGGTGGTCCGAGAGAATCGGATGGAGCATATCGTCAAGGTTATGCATGGTCGCATAGCCTCAATAAGGCTGCCCGAGAAAGTCGATGGAATTGTATGCAACTGGATGGGCCATTGTCTGCTCTTCGAATCGGAGGTCTTAGAGGTCCTGGAGGCACGCGATCGATGGCTGAAGAAGGACGGTTTCATTCTGCCCGATCTGGGTTCGCTATATCTCCTGGGATCCGAGGAAAGAAAGCTGAAAAACGATCGCTGCAATTGGTGGCTGAGTGTATATGGATTCAACATGAACGCCATGCGTCAGTATGCCCTGGCCGAGCCCCGCTATGCCAAGACTACTGGAAAACAGATTTTGACGCTGGCTCATCGCATCCTAAGCCTGGACTTGAATATGGTCAAAAAGGAGGATCTTTACATAGATCGACCCATAAGACTACAAGTTAATAAACAGGGTTACGTGGAATGCTTCGTACTCTACTTCGATGTGGAGTTCAGCCGCTCCCACACTCCCCTCAAGATGAGTTGCAATCCCTGCCTAAGGCTGCCCTACAAAAATCTTTGGCAGCAAACCGTACTCTTTTTGGAGAGCTCGTTTGTGATGCGTCACGGTCGCCACTATATGGGCAACCTGAAGTTCAAGCCTTTGCGGCCGGACAGCCTCAAGGAAATGGAAATCCATATTGAGTTCTACGGATGTGATAACTTCGAAGACGACTGGTACGGTGGCTATTGCGATCGCTTGGTGGCCAAGCGGTGGCTCATGCTGGAGCACTTTCAGACTGTCAGTGAGGTTGCCAGTTGCCAGGACGAGACAGTGGGGAGAGACCAATATATTTAGGTGTTTTCTCTGAACAATAAGAATATCTCTATTACTAGTTTGTAACTTTTCCTTCATTTTGACTAATTCCGAATTGTTTTGTGTTATTCTTGCAGATGCTATCGGTACAGACGGCCGGCTGCGCGGGAATGGAGCGGCTCGGCGTTCCGACCCGCACATCTTTGAGCACACCACCCGATGATAGGTAAGTGCCATAAACACTTGCATAATTGTTACTTATAAATAACTTATACAATTATTATTTTTCAGGGATCAATTTAGATGTAGAATGCGCGTAGATGCGCTCCAGGCATGTGAGCTTCTGGCTGTACGTGGCGAGACTGTGATTCGTGGCGCCGCCAGCAACAATCAGCATCATCAACTCCAGCAACAGCAGCAGCAACACCATCTCCATCACAGCAGCAATAAGCAACAACATTCCCACCATCAGCAACAACGCATGACAACTCCAAGCACGCACAACTCTGGCGGAGCAGGAGGAGGAGCAGCAGCAGGAGTAGGAGGAGGAGACCACCATCAGCAGCAACAGCAGCTGAGCAGCAGCAACAGCAACAACAGCAACAACAACAATAGTATTAGCAGTAATGTGGCGAGAGGCGGCATTGAAGCCACCACGCTTAAGTACGGCAACACGGGCAGCGGGAGTGGGAGTGGGTGCTATAAGGGCGACTGCGGCAACTCTTCAACGGGATCCTCTTGCAGTTCGCTGCAAAGCCACAGCAATGACCACCACCAACATTACCAGTACCAGCTGCAGCAGCAGCAGACGCCTCGCTGTCCTCATCACGTACCACTGCCGGACAGCGAGTACGGACAGGATCGCCATCTGCAGATTAGGAGCAGCTATCAGGTGGGTTTTCTTGGAAAAAATAAAATATTTCAATGGCTAACCAATGGTTCTACCTCTGCAGCAATCGGAAATCACCAGGTCGTACACCAAACCGCCGCCCAATAAGACAGTGCGGGATGTGCCCGAGCAGATCTCGGCGGGTGGCTGCGGCGTCTCCAGCTCCAGCTACCGTCTCACCACGCTCCAGGCCGCCTCCTCCACGTTCTCGCCCACGGCCGCATCAGTGTCTGCCTCCTCATCGTCCAGCAAGTCCAAGCCAAATGCTATTAGCAAGTTCTTTTCGCGGATTAGTTCGCCCAAATCGCCGCCAAGCTGTTCGCTGTCCTCAGTCACCTCTGCTTCTGCCTCCTCTGCGTCCTCCGTATCCATGTCATCGTCTGCCTCTTCGCTGGCCTCCTCTGCCTGCGTGTCAACGTCATCGTCTGCCTCCTCGCTAGCCGCTGTGCCTCTGGCCACGCTTCCAGTTTCGAATGCCTCGCTGCTAAAGAGTACGGCCTGTGGCTATGGCACGAATCCCAGTGCAACGCATATCTACGCAGGACTGGGACCCAGCACGCAACTGCTGACTAGCTTAGGAGCCGGAGTTGGAGGAGGAGCGGCAGCGGGAACGCCTAGCGGGAATTGTAGTCCGGAAAGAATACCCACACCGCCGCTGTCTGTCTCCGTGCCAATCGGTGCTGGCCTGCAACCGCTGAGACCAAGCGGGAGCAGCAGCAGCACCGCTAGCTTACCCGCCGCCGCCGAGACAACGCCAGCCACTCAGTCTTCCTTCTCCGCTGGAGTGGCGGGGGATCTCCTCCCGCTGACCACGATGAGCCGCAATAATTCCAACTCTAGCATGATGAGCTGCCACTGCAGCTGCAATAGCCGAAATTGCAGCCACTGTGCGGCCAACTCATAACTGAGCTCGTGTTAAGTTTAAAACTACAATTAAAATGTACCGGGGATGCTGCAGGAGCCGCAAGAAATTTCCAAGGCGGAGAGCAAACATGTTGAACGTATCACTAGCTCTGCTGGAAACATGAAAGCCTAAGATATGAGTGCAACTCATTAATAGATCGTTTTCGGGAGCTAGTGATTTCAACATTGTTGTTAAATTCCCAACATCCCCAAGACATTTATATATACATATATATATATATATATACGGCATATATTTTTTTATGTTAGCCTATGTTTAAACTATTATGTTAAAGTTTAACAGATTTATTTTGTGTAGGTCTGTCGCCAACTTTTGCGCTGGTACGAAAAGACTGTTTATTAGTCAGAATTTAATTTGTAAATGGAGTTAAAAGTAGAGAAGGAACGACAGTTAGAAAATTATTTCGGGGGAAAGGAAAGGAGAAGAGAAGACAGGTACGCTGCCGCCTTTAAGCACTCACCAACAGCATAGAACATAGAAGAAGGTTTATTTAGTTCTTGTAAAATCATTTCCATTCACCTCATGAGTTTCTTTTTTTATGTATAAATTAAAGTTGGGCAGACATTAAAATACCATCAATTTGAATAACAAAACGGCAAAAGGAATGAAAGAAAGTAATAATGAAAATAAGTGAATATGTAATGTAATTTTATGAATGAATATTGTATACACACCACACACACATTTTAGTTTGAATAACTCTAGATTTTACGAAAAGCCACTCTTAACTATACTCTGTCCCTTTACCCTTCTGTCCCCCTATTATTATTATTATTATAATTATTATTATTCTTATGCATGGCCCATGTGCTGGAACACACGAAACACACCACACACAATTTTTAGTTCAATTGAAATTTGTATTTGTATATTTGCTAACGGAATTACAATGTAAAAACGAAAAAAAAACAAATGAAATGAAATCTATGTAAACCAAATTGTAGAGAAATTTATTGTTTTTATTTATTTTATTTTTTTGTCGATGCTATTCGCCTTTTCTGTTGGCGTAAATTGGGATATTTTTGAAATTATGTCAAGGGAATAACTTTAAAAGCATGTTGGTTGAGCCTTTAAACGATGCCTTGATTCGGATGCCCATGTTTATTTATTTAAATTTCCCGCCTTCATTTGAAATCGAACTGACATTAAAACGCATGATCGTTCTGGGACGTGAATGTTATCGATAAGTTTCCAGTGTTGAAACGATAATTTGCCTTTCAAGCTTTAAGTTAGTTTGAAATTAAATAAATTTGGTTATTATTTGTGGTTTTTGGTGATTTTTAAAACAAAAACATAAGTTTTAAAGTGTTTTCGACCCTTTCAAGCTAATAGTCGACTTTTTTGTGTGTCTAGTTAAGAGAAAAATAAAACAATTTAACGAAAAAAGCCCACTGCAATGTAAATTCTAAGCACCAGTAATAAATTTTAGATCATTTTGGTAATTATAAAAACATTTAGAGATCTCACCAGATTTTTTTTTATCCCGACAAATGTATAACATGTCGTTTCCAAACAAATCAAGCCCTTAATACAATTTAAATTAAAAAATATCAAAGAAGTTAAGAAAGCAAAATGGTTTCAAGAACTTTCGATCCATTAAATCAAATTTAAATCACATTTAACCGACAATTTAGAGGGGAAAACTAGGAAAATATGATCATAACGAATTCAAAATAAAGCAAAAAGAAAACAAAACAAACTTTACTAAGCCAAGAAGTCCTAAAAGCCTACATTTTAAACACATACAATATATAGCGGATCTAGCTTGATGTCTATTGATCAACGGATACTTAAAGTAATGAGACCGGAAATAGCCCGAAATATCACAGATCAGCAAACAGAAGACAATGATTAACTAAAACAAAACGTGTAGAAATGAATTAATTAAATAGTTATAAATGAATTAAGTCCAGCTAAAATATCGTAGCGAGCTCGAAAAACGATAAACGAGGGAGAAAAAATTAAATAGTTGAATCAGCTACACATATTTACACATTTATACAAATAATTATATTCTTAAATATAATTTACGTAAACAGGCCTAATTTCAACTACCTCCAAAACTGTTTTTTAAATTAAACAATTAAATTCTAAACGAAGATCAAGTCTACGAATTATCTTTAGCCAAACCTAAACGGTAACTAAGTAAATCAAATGATAAAAAAATAGATGATTAAATTATAGTGAATCAACTGATTGAATTACAATTTTTGAGGAAATTCAAGCCGATCGATCGATTAATTCAGACAACAAATCAACAATCATTGACAAGTAATTAATTTTACACTTTATATATACGATATATAATATATATAACGATATTCTATCTCTGTACATTTAAATTGAGAATACAAATCGAAGCGCACACGAGCTGCGTTTTGAAAATGCGAAGCCGTCGACTGATATTTATAACAAAAGATAAATATATATGAATAAAGTAAAAATCACAAGGAAATCACCCGAGATATTCATTTGTAAATACACCGCGAATGCAGAACAATGCGTAGAGGAGCATTATGTTAATGTAAGCCCAGACTCCCATGACTTCAAACAGTACCCATCCATAATCCTCCCCTTCAAAATCCCGTCCTAACAACATTAAAGGTTCGATACCAATCTCCCGCTGGAAAAGTTGCACCCACACACTAGCGAAATTTTTTAAAGCGCATTAAGCCAGACGTCTAAAATCATAATAAATCTATATATAAAACGATATATATACATATATATATATATATATCTAAATACATATATATATTAAATGAATACCAATTATTGTTGTTGTCTCATAAAAACAAAAATCCATAAAACCAGAAAATGGAGAAAAACGAAAGCAAATTTAAAATATATTTCCAAAATATATAGAATATAAACTTTGAAAGCCAAAAATACCCTATCAACTTTGTTTCTTTTATAGAGGTAAGAAAGGGGATCAAATACAATATTATTGCAAGTACTGCTTACTTTTAAATGCGAACACATTGCACAGGGATTTGATCCCAATCATTTCTTTTTTCAGTACAAAATTCATCAAATGTCTAATTTGATGTACTAGTCGGTCAGAATGAAACACTAGTTGTTAATTAATTATATGACGTTCGGCAATCACTGACTTTTCTTGGCATCTTAAGCCCTCAAGAAGACCAGAAATATTCGATACATTAACGTTATCATAGATTTCAGGTTTCCGTCTAGTTCAATAAATGAAGGAAATATGCCTGGTTACCCAATAAGAAGTCTGGAAATAGAACTGTTCAAGAATTGATTGACGTTTATATGGTTATATCTCCATTTACCTTTAACTGACTGATTAGCCCATATCAACGCCAAAAATAAGGGCTTTCCTTTGATGCATCATACTTGCCACCGCTCCCTTTACGACTTTTTATCAGAAAAGTCCAGAGGTGACACAGAAAAATGTCCCATCAATTAATCACCAAGCCAGAGAGTTCTATACCATTTGTATGTGATTCACAAGCTGTCTTTAGATTTCTCCAAAGATAGAAAGCCACTCCATGCCAAACACATGCTCATCAATTTGCATTAATGAGTTGCACAAATTTAGGCAACGTTATTAGTGTCTACATTAGTTGGTCGCCTTGAAAGACGGTGAAATTCTCACGTATTCCTTATCACAGCAACAACTCATCAGACAGATTGTGGAAATAAAACAGCAAATAGTAATTGATCGAAAAAGGTGAGCGGTTTGCGGGAAGCGACGGGGCGCTAGTACAACCGATCGAAACCGTTTTTGCACTATTGATAAGTGGTTAAACATAAGCAAAGGTTTGCCATTGGCACGCGTCCAGTGCTTCCAGATCCGTCCATGAGTTAACAGCTCCTAAAAAAAGGGAAATCCAAAGCAAAGTTATCGCAAAATTTACAATAGCAATTGAAAGTAGACGCTCGCACCGGAAATCAATTAGGCAATCGGGCAATCGATCCGTCCAATCATGTCGCAGCTATACGATCTCACGGAGGTGGCCCAGCAGAATGGCAAGAACGGCAAGCCCTGTTGGCTGATCATCAAGGGAAACGTGTACGATGTTACCAAGTTCCTTAGCGAACATCCTGGCGGCAGCGATGTCCTCCTTGAATATGGTGGCAAGGACGCCTCCAAAGCATTCAAGCAAGCTGGACACTCGAGCGATGCCGAAAAGGATCTGAAGAGCTACAAAATCGGTGAAATTAATCCAGCATCGCCGCCCATTCAAATCCAGCCCACTCCCGTGGCCGCCAAGAGCCCGGCAGAAAACTCAATATCTGGAGATCCCCAGCCGGCGAAGAAGAGCTCCGGCGGTTTCCTGTGCTGCTGCTAGAACTGCTTAATCGTGTGTCATATATAATTGATTTATTAACATAATAGGCTCAGGTCGTTATTAATTTAGTGTAATTAATTTGTAACTATGTCTAAGGTTCATCTCCCTCATGCTCATCGTGTCCATACAAAACTAGCCTAAGAAGATCAACTCTGCTTACCTCGCGATCTGAATAAATTGCAAACAAATCCGGCGGAGCAGCTCCACCAACTCTTAATCGAAATAAATTAAACTAACTCCGACCGCCGCTAATCCCGTGGCTCCTCGGCATCCGCCGGCGGATCACTGTCGTTGCACGCTTGGAACACACCGCAGGCAGCGTCAAAGTATTCCATCGCAAAGCTCGTCACATTCACCGTGTGGTTTCGCAGGTAGTGATAGAATCTACTTGATTTGCGCTCCTGCCCGGCTCGCATCCTTTCGCTGCGGCAAATAGAGCGTAAGTTGGGTTCAAAGTCCAGCGCTTTGGCGGAAGCGGAACGCATAATGCCGTTGCCCAACTGTTCGCATATTGTCACTCTGAAAGAGTAATTAAAGGGATTATTCAAATGCAACGAATGAGTTTAAAATAAGTCTTTCTTTATATTGCTTTCTGATCCAAAAGAAATGAATAGTAATTTACCTTTGTACCGGCTTGTCGAACAGGTTGTAGGGACACTCCTTGGCCGCCAGTCCGGTTTGGAGAGCCTGCTCCACCAGCAGGTGAGCCATGTCCTCCGACAGATGCAACTGCAAGCGATCGCTGCAATCCCGGCTAGAGTCCATCAGTGCAGCCACCGAAATGTTGTCATAAAAGGCAGCTAATGTGGCGAGGGGTGATGATGAGCTTTTGGTGGCAGTATCGCTCTTTTGGCCTGTGGCGCTGCTTAACCAGGCCTTCTTTGGTGAACGGGACTTCCGCTTGGCAGTGTTGCGACCACCTGCAGGTGGCTGTTGCTCCTTTAGAAGCGGGGAATTACATATAAGATCGGTGAGATTCAAGCGGAGCAGGCCAAAGTCCACGGGAAAGGGTATCCGATGCTGGACGTTCTGCGGGCAGGTGAAAAACTCAAACAATCGTTGATGGATGCGACTGCCATCTACGGTAGCTAACCGGCTGTGTGAGTTTTTGCTCGGCGATCTTACGGCTCCCGTTCTTCCGCCGGTTGGATCACCACCACTTTGAATATAAAACTGCAGCTCCATCAGAGTCTTCCGCAGATTCTGTGCATTGTACAGATAAAGGGATATCAACTCATCCAGCTCAATAGGGCAGTTCTCCATCAGGGACAGCACAGCCAAGAATCTGGAGATGTTCAAGGCGTTCGGTGCTTGGAAATGGATCTGATTTTGTTGCATTAGACGCTGTAAATGGGCGCTATTTGGATCGGTGGCCACCACAATCACCGGTCTCTTGGAACTGGCTGCCAAAGTGTAAATAGCTTCCGTGAAACCAGCATCCATGTTTTCGAAGACAATGTCTGCATCTTCTATGAGAATGAGGGACTTGCGCTCGTCGGACGGAGGTTCATTCGCTTTAGCTTTGGCTTTTAGACCACTCTTCTGCAACTTTTGAAGCAACTGCTGAGAGGATCCACCGCCCGCCGCCTTGCTATCCTTCCTGATTTGATGCGACTGTGTGGCTTCTTGGAGCTCCTGGATCAACTTCTTTCCGGTTCGCTTCATCCCAGCATTGATCTCCAGCACATTGAAGTTCATATCGTTCGCCAAGGCAAACACAGCATTAGTTTTGCCGCTTGAAGAGGGTCCCACCAGTACCATGGTGTTGCTATTAACTCCCATAGAGCTTGAATCATTGCCCATATCAAAGGTGGAGTCATCCATGGTCTGTGAGTTGCGATTACTGCCACCGTTCCCGCTCCAGCTGGCCAGGAACTCGCGCAGCTCCTGCACGGGCGTTAGATTCACCAGGACTTGCTCGAATAGCAGCGGTTTGTACTTTTCGGTGAAGAGCAGCTCCCCATTCGGAGCCGATAAGGGCGGCTTAGCCTCCTCATCATTTTGGTCCACGGATCGCTGCTCCATCGATCGGCGCGAACGTCGTGTAACCACAAATGATTCACCTACTTGCTGAGTATCGTGCGAACTGTCAATGGCGCTGAAGTGACGATACTTCTCCCTCATCTGATTGTAGCACTTGAAGGTGGGAAACCGGTCAAAGTCATTCTTCCAGAGCTTCACGAATCCGCGCTTGTTCTCCAGCTGGGGCAAAATGGCGTACTCAAGCTTGGAACTGGAGCTTCTACTGGACGTAAAATCAGCTGGGAGGCAGCTGGTGAAACCACTCGTCTTTGTACGACGTTTGCTCGACGTGGATGATGTGGTAGTTGTAGTAATTCCCGTGCTGTCCTCCTCCTCCCTCAAGGCAAACGGCAACACCAGGGGTTCATCGTTCGATACATAACTCTCGTAGCCAACGTGCGCCACTCTCGGAAACACCTCATAGCTCTCCTCGTACATTTGCTCGTGGTTCTTTTGGCGGATCTGTTCCTGTCGAATTTTATCTGGAACACCGGATTGCAGGAATGCCTGGCGGGCCTTAAGAACCGAGGGATCCGGACTTGGCTTGGGCAACTGGCGTACGAAAAGCGGAGCTAGTTTCTTTGGCGTGGAAGCCGGGTTGCTACTGTCCAGATCGATAATCTCCACGGATTCCTCGGCCTTTTGGGCTTTTGCTTTTACAGCAGTTTTGCTGGGACTCGTCTCCAAATCATAATCGTAGCGCGCCTTGCCCGCACAAGAACGGCGTGGTCGACCCGATGGCGTCGATTCCACATCCACAATGGGCGTCTCCTGCTGGCTCTTCCTTCGCAGCGTTCTCCGTTTGGGCGTCTCCAGAGGAGGTGTTTCTATCGCAATGGGATGCTTTTCGGTTATGTCCTTAGGTGATTCCACCTTGGCAAAATAACCGAGCAGACTGTCTCGCTTTTTGGTGGGCGAAGACAGCTTGGCTAGGAACTCCTCAGTTTCTGGATCGGGCTTTTTGGCTTCAACGTTGACCTCCGGAGCTACATCCACGGAACTGAGGCGACGACTGCGTGGCCTGCCTCTAGGACGTTTGACCGTTGGCTCAGCGGGCGCTGATGATGGAGCTGAGACCTCCTTCTGGTCAGCCTTCGTAAGCATTTTCTTCAATCTAAGAATTGAGATTGTTTATTTAGTTTTTAATGTTCTTAATCTTAAGTACGAAATTCACAGAAGCCGAAGACGAAAAAAATAATGTCTTTGCTGGGCTTCTATCCCCTTTAAGGCAAAACACGTGCCGCCTTCGACTTGAGCTAACCCCTAAATTCATTCAAAAACTCACCTCTTAGCCCTTTGTTCCATTTTCAGTTCGATAAACTCCCCGCGGGCTTCGTCCGCAAGCCTCCTCTTGGCCCCACCCTTGCGTTCGTTCCACTCCTGGAGCAGCTGCTTCCGCTTCGTTTGCGGCGTGGCACCGCTGGCGCTTCCCTCCTCCTCTTGATCGGCGGGAGACTCGACGCCGCCTTCGTTGACGCCGATGGAGCGATTGCGGGCATTCATCATAAACTCGAAGACATTGGTGGTTGCCTTTGACTTTGCGGAGGCTGGAGTCTGAACCGGAGAGGAGGCCACGTTCTCTGGCTTCCCCGCCTTGGCAAAGTGCTTCATGATGCTCTGGTGATCGGCCACGGGTGTGCTACATTTTAGGGGACTGGAGCGCCTCTTGCCGTTCTTCAAACCATTCTCCTGCGAGGACTTCTCCCTCAGCGGCTGTGGCTTCTCCTTGTCCGCCTTCGGGTCTTTGTGGGGCTTCTCCTGACTTCCACTTTCTGCGAGGAGAGCGGCTCTGCGCTTCTCCTCGCGCTTCCGCTTGTGCTTCTCACGATGCTTCTGCTTCACCGAGTGCAGTACCTCCTCCATGTTCTGGAGGATCAGCTTGGACTTGGCGCTGGGCGGTGCGCGGAGCACGAACGGGGATGAGGGTTCTACCGGATCCGTGCCGGCATTTCTCGGGGGCGTTCCTGGGGGACTACACGCAGTGGAAGTGGCAGTGTCAGTGTGCTCGCTTGTAAGACAATTTACATCGGTCATTTTCTGCGATCGCTTCTGGGTATGTTCTTTCTACATTTAGTACATGTTTTTGCTGGGTGTGTGTGCGTGAGTGTATTTGGTGTGTGTCTTTTTTGGGTTTCTTGTTGTTTTTTCTAAGTGTTGAAGCGTCGGGATAGTACGGAATAATACGGAATTATACGAAAGCCAAACTCAAAAGATCGCAACTATCAGGCGGGGAAACGTAAAAGGCAAAAGCAAAATAATACAATAATAGTGAGTGAGATCTACCTTCGCTGCGATTCTTTCGTTTCGATTCTGGATTTTGTTACACTCTCGCTAGCCTCCCACACGCACACACACTGCCGCAGTAGCACGAGCGCCGCCGCGTTGGTCACGTTTCTCTAGCTATCGGTACTGAACGGTCCTTAAGTGGTCAATGCATTTCGGTATTCAAATCATGCGTTTGTAATAATTTTAATTGTGTTTTTTGGCATTAAAACAGATAGCTAAGTGTGCTGGTCGAGAAAAAAAAGGCGCGAATGAACAGTGTTAGAAAACGTTCGGCGTGTGGTGTTTTACAACAGTGAGACAGTGTGGGTCAGTCTACGAGGAAAATATAGTACAAGAACGGTCACACTGTAAGAAGTAAATAAAAATAAAAAAGTTAATTATCTATAGCTTAACGCACATCGTTTATTAATTTGTCAGATTTGTGACAATGTCAACCTACTACTTTGTTATTGTTGGCCACAATGATAATCCCATCTTTGAGAAGGAATTCAGCACAGTAAACAAGGAGCTGCGGGTATGTAGCCAGGAAAACTCAAGGAAACCAATTACATCTCCTAAATTCTCTATCTAACCCGTAGAAGGAGGACCACAGGCACCTGAGCCAGTTCATAGCCCACGCCGCCCTGGATCTGGTGGACGAGCACAAATGGAAGACAGCCAACATGCAACTGAAGTCCATCGATAGATTCAACCAGTGGTTCGTCTCTGCCTTTATCACCGCCAGCCAAATCAGGTTCATCATCGTCCACGACAACAAAAACGACGAGGGCATCAAGAACTTCTTTAACGAGATGTACGATACCTATATTAAGCACTCCATGAACGCTTTTTACCGGATCAATACGCCTATCAAGTCGCCCATGTTTGAAAAGAAGTCGGAGATCTTTGGGCGAAAGTATCTGTTATCCTAAATCTGTTGCGAGTTCTTAGTAAATAAGTGTAAATATTATTAAACTTAGTAAAAATAGTTAACATTCTTTGCTTATTCCAAGAACTTTGCCCCATTAGAAATAAGTAATACTCAGTTTTACAATTTGTTTTAATTTATTTAGAAAAGCAGTCTAGGCTTAACTCTTGATGGACTTGGTTCAACTCTCTCTTTACTCGATGCGTCCTCGTATCAAATCTAAAACGATTCAACGCTCGCCTCCAGACTGGAGTAAACTACATAGATGTGTGGGGATGAACAACGCATGGAATCAATTGGAAACTAAAGCAACAAAGATATACGGAATTTGCGTGAAGGGGTGTTCGTTCAGAAATCTCTTGAGGTGAGGCTCCAACGGCGCACTGAGCACAGCTTAGTGCTTCTTGTTCTTGCCGGTGCGCTCGTATTTGCTCTTGGACTGATGCCACAGACCCAGAGGAATGGCCAGGGAAGGCAGGGTCATCACAGCGAAAGCCACCCAGTCAAAGAAGTGGGAGGAGAAACGCTTGTTGTACTCGTTCAGGTTGACAATGCCACCCTCACCGGGCTCGGAGCTGACCGCCAGTTGGAGCTGTAACAAGATAGATAGTATTAAGACAAGGTAACTATTAAGTCTTATCAACTCCCAACGCCAAACTGATAAGAGCAGAGTAGGATTCAGCATATCAGAGTCCAAGAATACTACTTACCAAGTCCGACTCCTCAACCGCCTTGTAAGACACCTCGGCGGCGGTGAAGTTGAAGTAGCCGAAGGCCTTGGGCCTCACCACCAGGACATGGGTGAAGTTGTTCTGGGGAGCGATCCTGTCGACCACGGCGGTGGGCTGACCACCCACAACCTCGAATGCATCCGGATGGAAGCCGCTGTCTACGAGGCGCACCTTGGTGGCGGCACCGTTGCCCACATTGAAGATGGTGTAGCGCACCAACAGGTCGCTCTTCTCCACCAGGTACTTGTTCAGGATCTGCTTGGAGACCAGGAGGCGGGCGCGGGTTTCGTCCTCCGACAGGCAGACACTAAAAACGGCGCTGAGGGCGCACAGAAGAAGCAGGTGCTTGAACATCCTGCAATCATATAGAGATTAGTTCACGTTTCACTTTTTTGTAGACGTGGAAGGGTCGAATGCGGAAGAGGGGGAAGCCGAAAAGGGCACCGCTTCCCAAACAATTTACTCCATTTTTATAACTTAACTGTGTTTCGAAAACTAATCGATCACAAATATAGATAACTAATTGAGTAATTTTAGTACTTACTTTAATGTTGGCTGATTCTTTTGCGAGTATTTTGGAACTGAATTCGGCCGCTTTCTCGTTGCTTCGTGACGTGGAACTGTCAAATCTTCGGGTGCCAGGGCTGCCCACTCCGTGAATAGGGTTGCCTAAAGAACTGTCAAGGTACACTTGAGATGCGTCATAAAGAGGTTTGAGAAGTGGATGGAATGGTACATCAACTGTCATCAGAAATGGTAGAGAACATGGCTAAACAAAATAAATCCATTATTAAATTGAAGTAAATTAATCATTTTTAGACAAATCGATGATTTTATTTTACATTCATTTAATTTTTAAATCAAGAATATTGCAATAACGAACTTATTCTATTTATTCAGACTTTTGTTTCTGACAACTCTACCGCGCTGTTAACTTTTAACATCAGCGATCTCTTGTTCAAAAATTCACTAAGCAAATGTAAACAAAACTGTTTTTATTTTGTTTTTATAGTTGTATTTATTGTTTATTTGGGCATTTCCTTAATATTTATGCTTTTTATTTAGCTGTCTTTTTTATTGGCATATATTCTACGCAAAACAGCTGTTTGCCGGCACCTGAGAATGCCCTTGAATGACATTGCACCCTACAGAAAGCTTTTCGGCCTATGCGTTCGCCCAACTATGTTGACAAAATAACGGTAAATCATGATGAAGAAGAGAAATTTAAAATACCTAACGTAAGATTACCGAATTTATACGATTTCTGGCGACTCAAAGACACACCCCCAACAATAGATTGGGGATGACTAGCGGCACGCATCGATAATAGCGCTTATCGGGATCGCCATAGCCGAAGCTCTTAAGAATCGCGTTATCAGTGGGAGGCGAAAACGCTGCGCTGTGCTCGACACTCAATTTTCATCGCACGCAACCGCGGGTCGGTCGTCCAGTTGGAATACAACCAGCAGCCGGAAAACTCCAGTCCAGTGACATGTCGCTATCGGTGGAAATTGTCGCCACAACGCCCTACGAGGGTCAGAAGCCAGGCACCAGTGGATTGCGCAAAAAGGTTTGCCACCGTAAACGGATCTCCGTTCGTGATTTCATCTCATCATAACTTGTGAAATCGCCTCCTGAAATTTCGCAGGTGAAAGTCTTTACCCAGGCAAACTACACTGAGAACTTTGTCCAGGCCATTCTGGAGGCCAATGGCGCTGCCCTGACGGGATCCACCCTGGTGGTCGGTGGCGACGGACGCTACTATTGCAAGGAGGCTGCAGAGCTGATTGTTCGTCTGTCCGCCGCCAATGGTGTCTCCAAGCTGCTGGTGGGCCAGAATGGCATCCTGTCCACGCCCGCCGTCTCCAGCCTGATTCGTCACAACAAGGCCTTGGGTGAGTGTTTTTCCGCCCCTTTATAGGCGGCGTCCACTGTGCTCGTAAAGATTTTAATTGATAAGAAGCATCATCTTTTGGCGTAATCAACGAATGGGGTGGTGGGTGCTCTGTTAACTGGCAGAGGTCGTCCCTAGGGTCGTGTAGGAAAAAGTCTTAACAGACTCTCTATAAAAATTGGAAATTACAAAAAAATATTTCTTATTATTTCCATACAAAACTGGATTTTTGTTAACTTTTACTTGCCTCATCCGTAGGTGGCATCGTTCTAACGGCTTCCCATAATCCCGGCGGTCCCGAGAACGATTTCGGCATCAAGTTCAACTGCGAGAATGGCGGTCCAGCCCCGGATGCCTTCACCAACCACATCTACAAGATCACCACCGAGATCAAGCAGTACAAGCTGGTCCGCAACCTACAGATCGACATCTCCAAGGTGGGCGTGACTTCCTTCGATGTGGCCGGCAAGACCTTCACTGTGGAGGTGATCGATTCGGTGGCCAACTATGTGCGCCACATGGAGGAGATCTTCGACTTTGCCAAGCTGAAGGATTTCGTGAGCGGCAAGGCTACGGGCAAGCCCTTGAAGATGCGTATCGATGCGATGAATGGAGTTACTGGCTCCTATGTGAGGGAGATCTTCCTGAACCGTTTGGGTGCCTCTGAATCCTCAGTGGTGCACACCACGCCACTGCCAGACTTTGGGGGTCTGCATCCCGACCCAAATCTGACCTACGCCAAGGATCTCGTGGATACTGTGGCCCAGGGAGACTATGATATCGGAGCCGCCTTTGACGGAGACGGTGATCGCAACATGATCATCGGCAGCAAGGCTTTCTTTGTGACGCCCAGCGACTCGCTGGCCGTGATTGCCCACTACCTGGAGGCCATCCCTTACTTCCAGAAGAATGGTGTTCAGGGATTCGCCCGTAGCATGCCGACCGCCTCCGCAGTCGATTTAGTAGGTCGCAAGCTGGGCAAGGAGGTATTCGAGGTACCCACTGGCTGGAAGTACTTTGGTAATCTCATGGACGCTGGTAGGCTGTGCCTGTGTGGTGAGGAGAGCTTCGGTACCGGCTCCAACCACATTCGCGAGAAGGATGGCATCTGGGCGGTGCTGGCCTGGATCTCAGTGATGCAGCACACAGGAAAGGGCATTGAGGACATTCTGAAGCAGCACTGGTCTGTGTACGGACGCAACTACTTCACTCGCTACGACTACGAGGAGTGCGCCTCGGATCCCTGTAACGACATGATGAATACCATGGAGAAGGCCATCACTGATCCGGCGTTCGTGGGCAAGAGCTACTCCAGTGGAGGAAAAACCTACAAGGTTAAGGAAGCGGACAACTTTAGCTACACGGATCCCGTGGACAAGTCGGTGGCCACGAAACAGGGCTTGCGCATTGTCTTCGAGGATGGCAGTCGCATTGTGATGCGTCTCAGTGGAACCGGCAGCTCCGGAGCCACCGTTCGGTAAGTTCTCTTGGGTTTTCAACTTACTATTGCTCGGTATTTCATGCTAACATCCTTCTCCTAGCTTGTACATCGATTCGTATGAGAAGGAGAACGTTTTGGGTCAGGCCAGCGTGATGCTTAAGCCTCTCATCGACATTGCTTTGGAGATCTCTCAGCTGCCTAAGTTTACCGGGCGTAATGCTCCCACCGTCATCACGTAAGGACCTGAAATGGGGTTCCTGCGCGGAATAGAGATCACTGAGATTACTACTAAAAACCCCTCCAACTACAATCTCCTGTACTTGTACCTCAGCGAGGCATTTCCTTGTTATGTTTGCGGATTTATTAAAGTTTGTGTGTAGCCCAAACCTTACTTTGTGGGCGTTGCCAGATACTCAAACTCACTGAGTAAGATGTTGGGAATGCGCTGCTCCAGCACTCTCAGAGGCAGACGGGCAGTCCGAATAAAGGCCATTAGGAAGTGGAGGGCAGTGACAACGTCGGGTCCCAGGATTTCCTTGTCCCTGCAATAAGAAATCATAGCTTTAACACAGTTCTTTTGAAGCTTTAAAAGTTCGTGTTACTTACAGCAAATGCGCTTCCGCAACGGTTACCACATACTGGCTCATGTAGGATATATACAGCATCTTGACATTCTTGTGGAACTGCTGCAGAATGGTCAGCAGACCCACAACAAAAGGCACACAGTCTATAACATCTTTGGCTGACTTGGGCAGCAGGCAATCCGTGTTCGTCGAATGCTGCAAGCGACCCAGATGGGCAATAGTGAACAGGAATAGAAACAGGGACACATTGTGGCTGTTTTTGGTGATGACAAAGACCTGCTCCAGTGGCTCATAGTTGCCCGTATAGAGAAGAATATCCTGAAGCTCGGTTAGCATGCCCACTCCATGTTCATCACACAGACTCTTGCTGAGTGACAGTTCTAGAAGAAGGGCCCGATTCAGGGTATCCGCGGTGTTCTCCAGCAGCTTGGCATCGCACTTGCTACTAAAACTCAACTCTCCGGCAATCTGGTGTCGTAGCAGCTGCTTCTGTCCGATGGCCAGCACCCAATCCAGAAGCGTTGGCCACACCTTGAGCCATCGCTGAGTGTAGGACTGATAATACTTCAACGGCTGCTTTGCCACCTCGGGTGCGGGGAAGTCCCGAGCTTCTAGTTCCCGCGTAAGGCTTTCCAAGGCATCTACCCACATGCGATCCGAGTTGAGGTTCTTCTGCAACCTTTCCAGATTACGCTTCAGCTCATCCGCCAGCATGTGTGCGTAGAGACGCTCCAGTCCCACCATTCCAGCCGGAGCCACGGCTTCGCGCAGTATCCCAAAGAATCCGGAACCTGACAGTACTTCTTGGTGAGCTTTCTTTTCGTACCATATGTTCTTGAGATCCAGAAAGATGGTTTGCCTGGGCTCCGTACAGCGTAGTATTTCATGAGCCAGGCGTCCAATAAAGTTGTTAGATCCGGAGAGATCTCCCTGCACCGGCGGGAAGTTTGGAATGGGAATGATTGAACTCTGGTGCACCGATTGGAATTCCTGGACTTTGTGACGCAGAAAGGCATTGCACTCCTTCTCCACGTTGTAGTTGATGATCCGTTGCGATTCCTCCAGCAGGATGCCAAGTCCCTGAACCCTTAGATAGTCCTCAATGTACTCGAAAGACCTGCGATATCCCTCGATCGTCTTGGCAAGCGCCTCCAGTTTTTGTTGGAGAAGATGCACTGGCGTTTTGCCTTTCTCGGGCGTGAATATCAGACCCAGATTGTAAGCACTCGAAAGATGATTGACCAGCTCCTTGCGTATCCCATCCTCTAACAATTGCTGGGGATCCAACTCAATTACGCCCACCAACGTTGTTTTCATCATAAGGATTCCCTTGGTGAAAACGGCTATGGAGTTGGTGAGCTGCGCTACTTTGGCTCGGTCCTCGAACTGTGCGTACTCCTTTAGGCGTTCCTTTTCCACTCGCGTAGGAAACTCCTTGATGACATTGGTAAGCAGATGGATGATCCGCGCTAGAATGCTGAACATGGTCTCGGGAACGATTTGAAGAATGCGTCGCAGAAAGTTGGCCAGCTCCGTGCTGTAGTAATTGGACACGGAGGCCAGATCCTCGCTCCGGGCCTGATTGATCCGCATCAATGGCACCTCCAGGGTGCTGGCCAATTTAAGGAAAACCGCGCGGATGCCGATAACAGCCTGGGGCTGTCGCTTAATGTGCTCCTGCATGAGCGGCTTGAAATCCCTTTGCAGAAGATGCCACGCGTAACTAAAGTCGGTGATCATCTGGATTTGGATTTCGATGTCCTCCTTTAGGTTGATCAGCTGCGCCATATGACTTAACATTTCCCTGGTCTCCTGTACATGCTGCTTAACTAGCATATTGGAGTGGAGATTATGGTACTCCTGCACCTCGTCCAGCGCCTGCATTACCTGAATGATTAGGCGGCCCGACTTCTGCGGTCTGGTCAGCTCCAGTTTCTTCAGGCGATCGGCCACCTCGCCGAACCACTGCTGTAGCTGGGGATTCGGTTCGATCTTGGTCAAAGGCCTGGAGCCGCCAAAGGCCTCACTTAACTCCTTCAGCCTCTCCATGGCCTCCTCCCGGCTCTTCGTCCAACGATCTCCCTTGGTCTTCTGAATATCCGCCAACAGTTCGCGCACACACAGCTCCATTTGGCTGCAATTGAGCATCAAGTGGTAGATGGCATTCCTGTCGAACTGCAGCTCCTGGATCACCATCTGCTGAACTTGTCCCGGCTGGCTGGCAGTGTTGTGTGAGAAGACAAACACCTCCTTAGATGTGTGCAGGCAGAACCAGCGGAGCAGGACATTCGACTGCCGCATCATAAGGATAATCTTGTTGGCATGCTCAGTCACAAAGCCATCGTCCAGTATTCCCTCGCGCGTTATCTCCTGGGTCTTCTGCAGGACCTTTCCCAGCTGCTCCCTTTGCTGCACGCAAAGGGTCTTAATCGCCACCGGACTTGTCACATTCTCGATAGCAGACCGGGCCGCCTTGAAGTCCAACCAGGCATCTACCAAGTTCACGGTTATGCCCATGTAGAGGGACAAGCACCAGTTGTCGCAGAAAAACTTGTCCACAATCTCGCGCATCTGGGAGCCTTGATTGTGAAGGACCTTGGGGCAAAAGTAAAGGCATACATACAGCATGGCGGCCTGAGTGGATAAGGCGGTGGAACGGTGTGCAGGGTGCGGGTACAACGTAAGCTGGTTGTATATGTCATCGCAGCGAAGACGTGCCACGACCAGATCCACGAAGTTCTCATCAAAGGTAAAGCGTGAGAAGTACTCCTCTGGATATCTGGGAACTACCAGGTTCGCAGCCGCCTTGGCTGGCAATTTAGCCACCTCTGAGGGATGCACATAGCCGGTCGATCGGAGGAGCAGGCACACATCCTGGATATTGCTATCCGATCCGGACATGGGGGTGGCATCGCCACCACTGTGTCGATAGTAGGCTATGAGCAGACGCTCTCTCACATCGCCCGGTATGTGAAAGTCGAGCAGGAGAAGGATTACGCCAAAGAGGTAAAGTGATTCGCACAGTAGCTGACGCCCCTCGTCCTCCTGGAGCACCGTCTCCAGCGTCTGCTGAATGTAGTATCCGCTGTCCAGCTCTTTGATGTACTGGTGCAAGTCGGTGGCATAGTGATGGATGCTCTGGAAGGCCAGATAGAAGCGCGTTATCAGCGACAGTTGGCTGCGCACCTCGTCATCCAGTTCGGTTAGCGCCTGAAATAGCAATTTACTTATAGTAATCAGGACTAAAATGTTTGGACGACTAAATCCTACCTGGCTTTCCTCAATCTTCTTCTCATGAGCCTCGGCCCCTTTAAAGTAGCTGAAATCCAGCAGAATCTCCCCATATTTCGCCCTATCTGCCTTGGTCTCCAATCTGCAGCGGTCGAGGTATTAGTCATGGCCTTTGTCTCCCTTGTTTTACTCACCTATATATACTTGGTATGTAGTCCTTGAGGCGCAGGATCTCTGCTATGATGGAATTGCCCACCGAGACAATATTGATAAGATTCTGGCCGCAGGCATTGTTTTCATCTAGAAACTCGGTCATTTCGGCAACTAAAAAGCATTTTCTTCTTATTGAATACGTAGAACTTTTGCACAACCTGTTCTTAGAACACTTGAATTGTAATTTATTACTTAATGTACATGAAAAACTTTAATCTTTTGTTTTAATTAAGATTTCTTTTTGTTTTCAACAAAATTTGCACTCAGAGTGGTTGTGTTTTGCAACAACTAAAATGCACCTTGAATACGGTCACATTGAGTGGTTAATTTAGGGTTGTCAAAGCTTTTAGGGGTTTTAGCGCCGAATTTAAATGAAACGTTAGACAACTTGTTGAGCTACAAGACAACATAAAATCAAAACAAAGAAATACGTCTAATAAATTTATTGCATTAAAAAATAGATTGTTTATCTGTATGATTAATTATTGCGTAACTCTAAGCTTAAAAATCATAAGCTTAAAGTAAATTCCATGTAAATATTGAAAGAAAAGCAAAACGACTTATTTGATTAATCTGCATTATTTAACCAAAAGGTGCAATCAAACAGGCAAAGGAAAACATAAACGAATTTATAAATAAAGGTTTTTCTGGTGTTGAATCCAAATGTAAATTCGGTTCGATTTTATTTTTTGTGTTAGGTTCTTGCATTCATTAAGGGACTACACGACTACACAAAGGTTTCAGTAAGATTAATTAACATAAAAATGAATATAAAAATAGCAATAATAATTATTTCAATAATTGTTTAATTCGACTATATAAATTTGTAATGATTTATCTAGCTAATTAACTGAGATACCGTTACATACATAATTGAAAATACACTAAGCACTTGAAGTCAGCTATACTTCTCCCGCTAATAATTACCCACAGTTCTCGGAGTTGAGTTTTCTGCATTTTTCTTTTATTTTTGTTGCTTAATGTTAAAACATAATAATAATAATAATAATATATATATTTATATATATATTCAGTTATATGCCTATCAATCTATGCGCTGTGTTTACGGATGCTTTTGCCTGTTGCTCTGTTTGTTTCACAATTTAATTTATTTTACACACAAAGAATTTGTTTAGAATTGTTTTTGTTTTTGTTTAGCTTAGAGTTTTGCTGAATTACATCGATTTTTGTCATTTTACCATGATTTTCTTTTATTTTGGGAGTGTATTTTACAAGATTTATCTTCTCGCTAGTTGTATAAAATTTGTCTATTTTGTAGAAGGTTTGGGCTCAGGGATCGGGGTAGGGACTGGGCGACGCCAATGTGTTTGGTCAGTTTGCACATAAACCATAATGCACCACGCACTTAGAGCCTAGTAAACCGTGATTCACAATAATAATGAATGATGGATGATCGTGAGCGACGCTAATAAGAACATAATTGATTTCGGAGTGCAGCGTACGCTCCTCGCCATCGAAAATTTGTTAATTATGCATTTGCGTTTTACCTAAGTTAAACTATTTGAAAAATCTTAGCCTAGTCTGTATGTACAAATGGTTGTTGTTTTCTTTTTTTGCAGACCGATTTGGGTTTCAGTTTTATACAATTATTAATTGGTAATTACAAATTACATCTCGCATTTTTTGTTACGAAATTATTAACTAAATTCAATGTATGTTTTAAATACGGATATCTTGTTGCCTTTGTTTTGATGTGTGTTTTGTTTGTTTTTCTTGCTGTTTTGCTAAACTTGCTTTCGGTTTTAAAAACCATTTCTTTTCTCTGCAATTCGGTTTCTACGAGCGCTGTACCTTTCCGTTCGCTTAAATCTAGGAATTATGCTTGGTTTTCGTTTAACAAACTAAGCTAAAATAATTAAATATATTATTAATTATGTTTATATCGTTTAGATAAGGCCGTCAATGCAGTTGATGCAAACTTTATGTTACTTTTTAATTACATTTTAAACGCCCGCTGACTGCGCGTTCTCCTTACTTTACTTTCTCTTCGTTTACTTTTTACTCTTTACTTTTACGTTACCGTGGTTTTCTTGGTTTGTTTTGGATTGGATTGGTTTGGTTTGAGTTTTACAGACAATTTATTGGAGGCGGGGAAATAAAAGAGCTTTAAGTCTTAAAATTACAAGTTACGATTTAAGTAAGGTAAATATATAAAATGGAGAAGGGGTCGCCTAACTAAAAAAAATAAAACAACAACGAAGGGACGACGCGACGCAGTTCAATTTGAGGATAAATTATGTAAAATTGTGTATATTGCAAATGTATAATGAACTCGTAAAGCTGGAAACGACAGCGACAGTCCAGGGAGTAGGAGAAGGCGGCGGAGGAGAAGACGGTGCTGCTGCTGCGAATGATGGACGACGATCACTTGAGGTATGTCTTGAACAGCAAGGAGCTGCGACAGAATTCGCGCTCCTGCTCCATATAGAAGAGCATGTCGCGCAGGTTGACACGCTTAATGCGTGGCCGTAACGTGGTTGGCGCAGATCCCGAGCTGCTCAGCAATCCGCCGCCACTCGAACCCTTTTTTTGTGAAAGAAAACGTAACTTTATTAGTATGCTATTTGGAGAACAAAGAAGACTTCTTTTGAAATAACTAATTTATTTAAGCAAATATGTATAATTATTTGGAATTTACATACCACTCCCGCACTGGCGGCTTCCCCGTCCAGCTTCAGTTTTTTTCGTGGTCCAATCGCCTGTAACGCCGTCAGATTCGCGTCCCGCTGGCGCAGCTCCTCCATCTCAGCACGTTGCATCTCCTTGGCCTAGAAAATCGAAAGATTTGAACACAGATTTCTCGGAAAGAATAATCCATGCGCCCATCTTACCCTCGCCTTCATCTTGGCCTGTTCGGGATCTTCAACTCGCGACCGCGACTTGGCCGCCCGCAGCAACATCTCTCGCTCCAACTCCTCGTGCCGCTTCTGCTCGGCCTTGTCGAGCTCCTCTAAAAACTTGATCTGACCGCGCACATCCTTAGCGGGCTCATAGCGAGGATCCAACTGTAGACAGGAATTAACGTATTTAATGAAACTTAATTCGGGTTCATTAGTTCTAGAAAGTCTACCTTGATGACATCAATGCGGTGCTCCGCTATCACAGCCAACTTTTCCACGATGTTCTTTAGCCGTTCCTGGCAGGCGTGCGATATCAGAACGGCCACATCCTGCGCCGGCTCGTCTAGGCCCGCTTCTGACGTAATGGCCCGTATCCGGGCCTGGAGCGCGGGTAGATTGAGGAACACCTCGTCCTTGCAGGACCGTATCTGGGTGCCAATGTTTTCCGTACAGCCGAGTATCCGCTGCGACTCCTCTGCCAGATTAACGCCACCCATGGCAGCCACATCATTGATATCATCGTCGCCGTACATCGACGAGGACATGGAGCTCTGCTGGAAGAACGAGTTGGCCGCCGCCGCCGCTGCTCCGCCTGCACTGTTCAACTTGGCATCCTCCATTGCGTCACGTTTCTTTTTATTCAACGCCGCCTTGCCGATCATTGGCGACGCCTTTGCCATCGTCGTTTTGGCTCCAATTGGCGTTAGCGAAGCTGTGATGTGGGCCGGATGCAGCGACGACGATGCCTTAATCTCCACCAACTTCGCTTCGAAGTGATTGTTATTGTTGTGGTGCAACGAATTTTGCATCTGCTCACGGGCACGAAGTGCCTCCGGTGGCAGGTGCACCGTGGGCAGCGACGGTATCGGTAGCGTTGTGGTTGATGCAGAGTTTAGAGTGGATATAACAGATAACGTAGGTGTCGGCGGCGGTCCGCCCGAGATGGCAGCCAGCGAGGGTGGATGCAGGCTGGGCGTAATCGCCTTAATCTGCGTCTGGCCCACCTTGACGGCAGTGAGTTTGTTCGTACTGGGCGCACTATTCGGCGGCCGGGTGGTGGCACGGATCTGCACCGATCCCGTGCGCTGCAGGGCATTTTGCGGTCCACGAATTTGCACAATGTTCTATGGGAAGATTCGTTCAAGTCTTTTTCTCGATAATGTACAAATTTGACTTACCGCCTGTCCAGGCACTTGTAGGGAGGGTATCTGGGAGCGAATGGCTCCCGTGTTGACCAGCCGTGGAGCCGTAGGCAGCCGTATGTTGGGCGGCTGCTTTGATATCGTTGTGTGGCCAATGGTGGGTCGCGGCTGACCCAAGGCATTTGGCGATATCATGCGCACCTGCGTTTGTCCAATTGTTGTCGTCTGGCTGGGGCCGATCGGACGGATTTGCGCTTGGATTTTCTACATTTCAGATCACAGTACATAATTTTAGATAGATCGGAAGATAGAAAGAGTGCATTTCGAACTTACCGGCAGCTGTGGAGGAAGTCCGACCAGTCCGAGCACATGTTGCGGCGGGGGTTTGATACCCTCGATGACCAGCTCCTTCGTGTAGAGCGCTTGCCGTAGCAGGGGCAAGCTCTTCTTGAGGAATCCTATCAGACAGGGCTGCGGGCTAGCGTTGAGCAAGCGCTCCAGGCGGTCGCAAAACTCCTCCGGCTCCACATTCGCATTGACCAGCTCCTGGATGAGGGTGCGCACATTCTTTTCCACCGGCTTCGGTTCCCGTGTCGACAATTCGATTAAATTGGCTAGAAACTTGCGACACTTTTCTTTGGTATTCCCCTGTTGCGTGGTCGTCGTCGCCGCTGTTGCCGTCGTACTGCTACTGGTGCTGCTCACCGCTGTGGTCACTGTGCCCGTGGCGGCTCCACCCACATTGTTCGACTGCTGCTGGGCTGGTATCGTTTGGATTTGCGTTATCTGTGGCAGGTGCGGCGCCTGCGTATTCAGTTGGGTCAGGTGCGGCGGCTGCGATGCGTTCGTATAACCCCCGCTGGCCACTGAATTCACAATTATGTTGTTGGAGGCGGTGGTGTTGGTCAGAGACTGTGGACAATAAAACAAAGGCGTTAATACCGGGAATTTAGGACACGGATTTCCATGAATAGTAGTGCAAAATTAATACTAAAAAGCGTTAGAGAATAATTAATGTAACAAATATATATTTTATATAGCATAATAAAGATTGTGATAACGATGATGATGGATGGTTCTTTCGTTTTAATTTTTAGGATGGGCAGGTCCTGGTTCAGCCTCCAAATGTGTGTGCAGGGGGCAGGGCTATGACTAGGGCAATGGTAAATGAGATGATCGTTATAGTAAAATGCCTGCCCAGTGCAGTGATTATAAAAATGTAACTTATTAAATTGAGAATTTGTTCTCTTCTTTTTTGTAATTTTGGAAAAGAATTTACAATCTTTGATTTAATAAGTTTTTATACATTTAAATTATTACAAAAGATTCACATATTTCAGAGACTAAAATCATTGCAGTAAGCACTAGCTCAAGGCATTGTACTATACAGTATTATTTTCGTCAAGGAACCATTCTTTTAAGAAAGTCTGGTCTCCCCATAAATATATATAACACAGCAGCCCAGCACACATCATTGGTAAGCCCTCTTTAATGATGTTTTTGGCCTGAATCAGCAACTCGTGGACAGCGCAAGCGCGTATAACTAAATTGAATCGAAATAAGGAGTTGTATCGAAATTACACAGACAGTTACACAACGCAGCATGCAAAACGTAGCTAAGTATACATATATCATGTATATATATATGGGTAATGCAATCGTATATGAAGAGAGTATTCTGAATAAATCAAAATTTCAAGTTCGTTCGTGGGACGACGAACCAAAAAAACGGAACTGAAGCATATAGGCGTATGTACGTAGTAGTCATAAATAAGATTAAAAATCCAAATGCATAACAGACATAAGAGAACAGAGGAGAGAAGAGCAAAAATATAAAGGACATATCGAGGACATGTATCCTGACAATGAAGGTGAATGCATCTCTTTACGTTTTGCTTAATCTTTATGGTGGCCGCCACATTGGCGGCAGCTGCTGCAGCGGCAGCCGCAGCGGATGCCTGTTGCTGCTGTTTATGTTGCTGCTGCTGCTGCTGCTGGGCCTTGAGATGCTGCTGTTGCTGTTGGAGCTTCTGCTGTTGCTGCTGTTGTTGGTTAGTAGCGGGTTTGTTGTTGTTGTTGTTGGTAGAGGTGGTGGTGTTGGTGGTGGTGGTGGTAGCATTGATAATACTGTTATTATTGTTGTTATTATTATTGCTGGATGGGACTGTGGTGGATGATGTACGGACAATCGTTTTGCGCAGTGCTATGCTAGTGCTGGCTGTGCTGCTGCCGCTGGTGGCTTGCTGTTGCTGCTGCTGCTGATGTTGCTGTTGTTGTTGTTGTTGTTGTTGTTGTTGTTGTTGGTATCTACTTACAGCTGCAGCCGGCACAGTTTGCAGACGAATCTGTGTTGTTGTGGGATGATTTGTAGTGCTTGTCGTGTTGCTGTTGTTACTATTGTTGCTGGTATTGGTTATAGTCTGTGTCACCGTCGGCGGACCCGTCGTCGTGCCCACGCGCAACAGCTGGAATCCGTTATCCGTCTTGACCAGCAATGCCGGGGTCTGGCCCGTATTTAGTGTGCTTAAAGTTATCTAAAAGTAGAAAGAGAAGACAGAGATACTCGGTTTTCATCTGCTGGACCATGGTCTGTGTGTGTTTCGGTGAATGTGTATGTGGAGTGGACGGTGGGCGGGCAGTGCACATGTGTGTGAGGGGAGTGGGTTAGAGGTGGGTTAGGCGGGAGCTCTTTGTAGGGTCAGTTAGTAGAGAAGAACCCACCACAACAACCATTTAAGAGAGGTCTAATCAAATTCATCATACTTACCGATGGACTCTGCGGTCTCACGCCCGCCATGTGCGAGTTGATCACCACACGGCTAAGCGGATTGGTGGGCACATTCTTCTGCTGCTGCTGCGTCGGGGCTTGGTGGCGCATGCCCACCACCACGCCCGCCGGCAGCATCGAGTTCAGCAACGGCTGACCGGCCTGGGAAAAATACAGACATTATTAATACAATTAATCAATCGAACGATCATCACTCGGTTATCTCATGAAAGTTTTCATAATCTATTAAGGCAGAGGAAGCAATAAGGTGTTGTTTGGTTGGTTGGATTCTAAGTCAAAGCCTACAGCATGCAGCGGTCCCAGTGGGATTTTCGTCCGTCTGAGCCCCAGTCTACGGATCACAAATATATGGCGGTATTTATGTATATTTCTAATCCGATTTGTGTGGTGCTGATCGATTTGGTATATTTCCTCGTTCAAGGCGTATGTTTCGGCTAATTGTTCTACATAAAGCGAGTGTTGTAAGCAAAATAGTTATACAAAAACATAATGATAGCAGGACCTTAAGGTATAAATGAAGCAGGTTTGTGCTTGGGTTTTGGGTTCGGGAAAAATTTTGATTGGCGGGGAATTCCTAGAGTATTTAATCTAAAGCAGGTAAGTTAAATTTCCGACTGTTTAGGGATTTTAAATGTTTTCGCAGCTCGAAAACCTTACATAGTAAATAACTATCTAAGGATTTTAAGCTTGTGGCCTTTCTAATTTAGAAAACTGTAGAAAAATTGACTCATACTCATTATAATTTCAAATTACGAATTGTAATTTAGTTTAGAAATAAGGAATATATTTTGGAAGAAGGTGTAAGCTTGGATTATCAGATAGGGATATTGGAGACACTTCATTCTTGTATGTTGTGGAACGCTTCTCGGATTGGGTACAGTAAAGAAAGCTCTAGATGAATGCATTAAGAACGATAATGAAATAAAACCAAGCGTGTATGTGTGTGTTGTTGCATTTACTACAATCCGACTCGAAAGAAGGAGGAGAGGAGGAAATTTGGACGAGTGATACGGCCGACTTGCGATCGCCTAGCGCCCGAAGTGGGTGGGTTTAGCTTTAATGTGGATACCTGATTGATGGTCTTGGTCATGGTTACGATTCCTGCTGGTGCACTTGAGACTAGACCCGCCGGCAGGGTGACAGCATGGTGGTTGGATTTAATAACTAGGGTTTGTGTTTGGGTGGCACCTACGGATTGCGTCTGCTGCTGCGCCTGCTGCTGTTGCACCTGGTGGACCTGCGCCAGTCCCGGATGGTGCTGGCCCCCAATCCCGCCTGGATGGTCTTGATGGTGGTGGTGTTCGGCAGCTGGGCCGTCGAGATGACAGTGCCGGGATTGCCGGCTATGTTGATGGTGCCATTGGGCAGCGGCTGGCTGGTGAACGTTATGCGGTTGCCGGCAGCTGTCTGGCTGGTGTTCATCGTGCTGAGGAGTCTGTGTGCAGGGTCGTTGGGCGGTGTGAAGGTGTATCCTTGGAGAGCTTGGTGAACTCGCGTTCTGTGTGGTAGATCCTGACCGATCAACTGCTAGCACACATTCTGTGGTGGCGATTCACACGGGACACTGACTTTTGCATGCTGCGCGCTCCAGAAGCGAACTGCAAGGTAAGGGGAAGCACTTTAGTATTTATACGGCTCGGGCGACGGAGCAGGTAATTTGCGGCTTTCACCGATCACTGCTGCAGCTGCTGCCACAAGTCCCGGCTACCTGGCCTGGTCATAAACCAATAACCGAACCGAAGCCAGACCCAGCAGATGGCTGGAGACGTGGGAGCACCACTCGACACAGACGGAAAGCACACGCACGCACGAACATCACTGGTAGGTAAAAAGGCAACTGCATTCACCTTGGCCAGAAAAACCCGAGGAACGGACGCGGGCGCTCCGCTGACTTATTCACGCGGCTGCTGCTGCGCTGGCTCCCTCGCACTTGCACTCTCCGCCTTCCTCCTGGCGCTCGCCTCTCACTAGCACCTCCGTTCCCTTCTTCCGACCGCCCGTCCCGTCCCGTCGCGTGTGTTATCTGGCGTTGCGTTTTCGCTGCCGCTGCCCTTTGTTTTCTGCCTTCTGCGTTCTATCCACTTTCTCGATCGGCAGTGGCGCTGGGGCTTTCCTTCGCACACACACACGCGCGCGCTCGCACTGGAAGAATGCTTTATTTTGATTATTTTGATGTACAAAAAATTTGGCAGCGACGGTGCGAGAACGCCGCCATTTTCACGAATGCGCGTGCAAAGCGAAAATTGAGTGGGTCGGCGTTGCCAGAGGGCTGCGAGAAAACTCTAAGTGCGTGGTCTGGCAACGCTATACGTTCATGCGGGCAAAATTAAGATGTTTTCAAAGGAGTTTGCACCAATTTAAACTTGAATAAAAATTTTAATTCATTTCAACAACAAAAGAATTCATATTTGACCCCCTTAGATTCACACGCGCTGGGGACATGCGACGACCCACCGCACACAACTCAAATGGAGCATCGTGCCAGTTTGGCAGCCATAGTATTAGTAATTTCTGCTTTTGCGGGCAACGGGCGGGTGGTGGCATGTACCCGTGTCCATGTGTGTGTGTATCAGTATCAGTTTTGTACAGCCTGCAACAGTCGGTGGCAGTTTTGCGGCCGTGCGGCCAAGGCACTCACTTCAATTCATTTTGCGTTTGAACTCTGTGCACTGGAGCGCATTTTAAACGACTTTCCGTTGCGTTTGCTGGCGATTTAGCCGAAAACCGAGTAAATAATGTTTTGCGGACCGCCGAGGTCGGACGAGTTATAAGTGTGACCGCAGAATTATTCACAAATTACGCCGTCTGGCAGGGTTGCCAGATGAAAATTTGGCTTTCCTCCTAAAAAATCTTTATTTTGACCCAAAAATTGCAGTTTCCACCTAGATTAAAAAAATCATTTAATTTCAATTTCTATCTTACTATTTTGTTAGTTGGTTTTCTGTAATTATACAATGAATTTTAAAGCGTTTATTAAAAAACTGATACAGGTTAATAAAAACCAATAAACTTTCCACTTAAAGAACTATATTTTTTAATTTCTTAATTGTTAAATAAATAAGATGAACTAAACACTTATGGTAGAATTATGTGCTTATATTTTTAACAAGTTTTCGTAAATATATGTACATTTTAAGAATGTGAATATTAACTATCTTCTTGAGAGCAAAACATGCTTGAAAACCAGTAATGGAAAAACTTATATATTACGATTCGTCATAAAATGTTAAGTAATTAATTAATTAAACATCGAAAGTTTCTTTTAAGTTTAAAAATTTGTTTAACTTTAAAATGGTTGACAATAATTTAAATAATAAATTATGAAATTAAAGTTTTAAAATATAAATATAATAATAATATAATAATAAAAGAGCACAGAAACGCTCCCGGAATGGAAATGCATTATTTTTTCGTTATGGTTTTTTAAACTTTGATTTATAAAAAAAGAAACATATAGAGAAAAGTTCACAACTTTTTAAAATTTATTAATATTGTCTAAACTATTATTTTAGTCTTCCAATTTATTAAGCCAATAAATAATAACACACAAAACCATTCGAAATATAATTAATGACTTTTTTACTTACTTATGTATTTTTTTAATTAAACTTAAATTAAACTTAATATGCAATAATAATATTCGTGTATCGATGTATCGACGGCTCAACCCTTTTATTAATTTGTAATCGATTCAAGTGTGACCAGTAGCGCGAAAACATCGATATCAGTTTTCGCAGCTCGCCGGCTAGAGCTATCGACGATTTTCTCAGCAAGCCAACCAAAATCAGGTAATTAAAATTGCAATAACGTGCTTAAACTGTGTGCTGCTTGTGGAAAAAGTTTAGCTCCGAAAGGGTTCCCCGCCGGCCCTCGCTTGCATGTCTGCTACACACGCGAAAAGTGCGTCTGAAGTTGGCCGGAAAAAATCAATAGCCGTAAGCAGAAAACGAATGAAAAAGTGGAGGGGGCGCTCCGTCTCCTTGCCTTTGATTTACTTGGGCTGCGGTCGGCGGCGGCGGCTCCTCTCCATTGACATGACGTGACTAAGTCCACTTTGACATTACAGCTATAAACAGGCTATTACCCGGAAAGCACATATAAATTCCTGAATAAATCCGCATAAATATTGACAGCCGAATAGCGAATGTAAGTAACACACATCACATTGAACTAGCATGTCTTTGGTGGTAGGGTGGGGAAATGAGAAGGGGTTCATCACCACAAACAGATTGGCAACAAATTCGATTTCCGTAATTACAGCTACCAGAATGGCGAACAACAACTACGCCGGGTTTAACTACGGCGGCACCCAGTACAACACGGGACAGGTCTCGTACCCGGCGGTAACCAACGCCACCTACGCGAACGCGGCGGCCTACCAAAACGCTGCTGTGGCTGCCGGCCAGGGTGGCTATGCAGCGGCCGGGGGTCCTGGCGGTGGCGCTGGCGCCTCATCAGGGCCAGGGGCGGGCGGTTACGGTGGCTACGGCGGTGGCGGTGACTACCGCAACGCCATTCAGTCGTACGACGCCACCAAGACATTCTACCAGCAGTCGCCGGCCAGCTACAACGCCCCGGGCTCGGCAGCCGCAGTCAGCAAGACGCACTACTCGGCTCCGCCAGTTAAGAACCCGGTTAAGGGCAAGATGGACAAGTCCAATGGCGGGCCAAAGCCTCAAAACTCCGCTCCTTCGGGTGGCAACAACTACGGCTACGACACCGCCCTGTATAACGCGGCCAGCATGTACGTGGCCCAGCAGCACCAAGGCGGACCGCAGAAGCCGAACGGCGGGCCAAATAGTTGGTATCAGCGCAAGATGGGACCCACCATTCCGGGTGCACCCGCTCTTCGCGGCATGCGACCTAAGGCGCCGCCACGCCCACAGCAGCTGCACTACTGCGAGGTGTGCAAGATCTCATGCGCTGGTCCGCAGACCTATCGCGAACATTTGGAGGGCCAGAAGCACAAGAAGCGCGAGGCCTCGCTCAAGATGTCGGCCAGTGCAACAAGCACCACCCAGAACCGTGGAAACAACTACCACTGCGAACTGTGCGACGTCACCTGCACAGGCACCGATGCATATGCGGCCCACGTTCGCGGCGCCAAACATCAGAAGGTAGTGAAGCTGCATCAGAAGCTAGGCAAACCCATTCCCTCGGAGGAGCCAAAAAAAATGGGCAAGATTAACTTTGTGCCAGCCGCTGCTGGGGCAGCCGGAGCAGGTGCAACTGGAGCTGGCATTAAGACTGAGGGCGGCGCCAACGAGGGTAATTCACCAGATGACCTAGATGACAATCTGGACGATTCGCTGGGTGAGAACTCAGATAACATTAAGCCGGTGGGCGGCGAGTATATCGAAGAGGTCAAGGACGAGGAGGGTAAGATTTTGAGCTTCAACTGCAAGCTCTGCGACTGCAAGTTCAACGACCCCAATGCCAAAGAGATGCACATGAAGGGGCGTCGTCACCGCTTGCAGTACAAGCGCAAGGTACAGCCCGATCTGGTGGTTGATTTCAAACCAACACCTCGCCAGCGTCGCCTGGCCGAGGCTCGTGCTCAGCGAGCGATGATGTCGGGCCACCGCGGTGGTGAGGACCACGATGGCGGTAACTACTGGGACGAGCAGCGTAATCGTCAGTACAACGAGGAGTATGACTACAATAACTGGATGTCGCGCAGCTTTGGAGGTGAGTTCGCATTAGATAAGGTTTGAGTAAATAGAAGTCCAAGTCCATGGAATAAATATCTATGTTCATTTTATTCACATATTAAGATTGATTGAGTATTTTCCAAGGTAGTAAAATAGATAAGTACTTGCTTTATATAAATATGCAGTGCTAAACAAAACTTGAGGTATCTTTGTCAATTATTATTTAATATTCCCATTAAAGTATGAATTCGTAATTCAGATCATGACCTATAAACCAATCATATATCATGTATATACATTATTCTTATGCACATACAATATTTATTTTTGCAGGCGCCCAGCGCTTTGGACGCATGGGCAATGGACCGCCACCGCACTTTGGCATGATGCCCGGTGGCAATGTCCGTCGTCCCGAAAGCACCGATGATCGCCACGCCATTGCGCGTCACGCCGAGATCTATCCCAAGGAGGAGGAGCTGCAGACTATCCAGCGTATCGTCTCGCACACTGAGCGTGCTCTCAAACTGGTCTCGGACGCCCTAGCCGAGCAGCCGAACGATGCGGGTGCGGCTGCCAAGAAGGATAAGAGCGATAAGCCATCGGAGAAGGATGGACGTGACAACCAGATCTTCTCGTTCCACAAGGATGCCGATAACGGCGGCAATGTGGTACGCATCCTCAAGGGAGTGATGCGCGTGGGGTACTTGGCCAAGGGCCTGCTCCTACACGGTGACAATGCCGTCGAGCTGGTTGTGCTCTGTGCTGAGAAGCCGACAGCTGGTCTTCTGCAGCGTGTAGCTAATGTGCTGCCCGATAAACTGAAGGAGGTGGCAGGTAAGTGTAGTCCTTGATTACTTATATTCTTAAACAACATTTCGGTTGTCCTATTTGAGAGGAACAGAAAAACAAAACAAAACTTTTTCCAGAGAAATGGCTTGAGTGACAAATGCGGCAAAAAGCCAAAAACTTAATCAAGAATTAATCGCAAAAAAGTTATATTAGAAATACGTACTTAGCTTGGCCAATTTCACTCTGTGGCTAGCAGCGCAGGTGAATTTGGCCAACTGGAAGAGCGGCTTGAACTAGTTAAATATATATAACGAAAACACTTCGGAGTGCTAAGATGCCAGCTGCCCGGTGCACATGGCAATGGATCCGTTCGCAATTCGCAATTCATTACACGATCACGACGACGGGCAATTTGTGTGGAAAAAGTCAACAAAAAAAAAGTAAATTAAGTTTAAAAAAAATGCAAAGTAATTGTACATAGTACGTAGGACAACTACAACTGTTGAGCCCTGTTGTTGCGGTGGACCTCTGAGATTGCCACGCCCGCCAAACCGCGCCCAACGCCCCCAGCCAACATAGCCAACTAATAGCGAATAAAATCGTAACGTATTTGCCGTTTTCAGCTTTTCTCTCTGCAGGATAAGTTTCGAGCCTCGAGCCTTAGCCTAGAAGCTCGCGAGAGTCCTAGAGTCTAGAGTGTGTCGTTCAGTCGTTATAGCCGTCTGTAGCTAGCTATAGCTCAGCCCTCCCAAGGTTGCTCGTTTGCTGCCTCCTCCTCCCGCTCGGCTGCTGCTGCTCCGTTCTTCTGCTCCACTCCACATGCACAACCACCACCAGAAACGGATCTCGTCACGGTAACAAGCGGGCGGACGGTCTCGGACTCGGATGCAATGCCACAGTCCAGCCTCCAGTCATCAGTCTAGAGTGGTGTGGTCTCTCGTGGCCTCGATGACAAACAATCAAACTTAACCAACTGCAATTCATTCGTACCAAAGGAATATATTTATACAAAGTTTAGCGCTCGTTTGCCTCGCTGTTCTACGGTTCAAGCATCCTTTCAATTCCTACTCGTCTCCGGATGAAACTTTGTGTAAATAAAGTCCTTTGACATGGCCAAGAAGTTGAACAAAACACAACCACACGCCAAGAAGCAATGCGATTGATCCACACACATACTTTTGGGAAAAACAATGCAAATTGCTTGAGCCAAAATTGCAGCGCCGATATGCGCCGCCTCATCTATTACTCGAAACCCAAGCAAATATGTATATCTATACTCTGTAATGTCGTATACATATATATGTGTCCAACCGGCCAAGTTGTGTGTATCAAGCTTGATTGTCAATCGAAATAAGAAGTAAAATCATGAAAAAATTGCGATCGAAATTTGAGCGAAAGCTGACAAAGGCAAGGCAATGGCCAACGTCTCCCGCAAGCAACCCATAAATTTCGCTCAATGTTTTTTGCAAGTAAAACTAACCAACCAACAAGAAAATATAATCAAGAATCTAAAAATAATTCCGTTCAATTCAGAATAATCAAAAGTAATTCAAAGTCCAAATTCAGTAACTCGGTACGGTTTGGGCAGGAGGCTTACCCCTTCTAAATGGAATTGCAACGAGCGTAGATGCCGATGAGTTTCGACTCCTGGCTTTCGTCGAGCTTGCAATCCCGTTTACGTAACCCAACCTACCGAGTGAACGGCTAGAGATCCCGATCCCAGCACGCAAGTCAAACGAACGATGAGCCTCGTCTCCTGTTTGCTGGGAACCGAGGAGCGGATACGTGGATCGTGGGAAGAAACAAACATTAGTCGTGCTAATCCATACGTGCATCAATCAAGTCCATTTGATCCGAATGTTTGCCAATCACTATTTGTACTTTTCGGGCCCACACTGGAATTTTTGCTTCACTCACAATGTTTGTCTCTTTATCCAAGTCAAATCGAATCTAAGAATTTTTCGATGTTTGCCCCCTTCGAATACGCGTCCTCTGACATTTTCCTCCTTTGCTCTGCTCCCTCGATTTCAGGTGACGTTCCAGTCAACTATCGCGTGGAGGTCAACGCCGACGATGCCGCCGTAATTGTACTGGACGAGGCCGTTTCTGTAAAGATAACCCTTACATCGCCCCTGCTGCGTGACACCAGTCCCTCCGACGCTTCGGCCAATGACGTTGGCGAGGGTGATGACGAGACCTTGCCGCGTGAGCCGTGCCTCCGTGTAAGTATTCAGACTCTTGTAACTTCCCCCTTGTAATGAAGAACTAAAGAAAATCATATATTACTTGCAGGCTTTAGCTGACTTGCGTCATGCCAAGTGGTTCCAGGCCAGGGCCACCGGCCTGCAGTCGTGCGTGATGGTCATTCGCATCCTTAGGGATCTGTGCCAGCGCGTTGCCTCCTGGCAGGCGCTGCCTCAGTGGTCGCTGGAACTGCTGGTGGAGAAGGTAATCTCTTCGGCTGGTTTTCCCATCTCACCCGGCGACTGTATGCGCCGCATTATGGAGGCCCTGTCCTCCGGATTTCTGATTAACGGTCCGGGTCTGCTGGATCCATGTGAAAAGGACCCTACCGACGCTCTGCTGGAGTTAACCAAACAGGAACGCGAGGATCTTACTGTGTCGGCACAGTTATTCCTGCGTTACATTGCCTTCCGTCAAATTTACAAGGTGCTCGGCATGGAGCAGCTGCCGGCCATGAAGTTTCCCATGCGTCCGTGGCGTATTAATCGCAAGCGGCGTAGGTCATCCGGCAAGGCAGGTGGCGCTCCCGGCGGCGAGGCCGAGGGCAACGACATGGACGATACCACCGGCTCTGACGAAAAGGTGGCCAAGAAGGACGCCGCCGGGGGGAGTGCCGCAAGCGCCTAAAAGCCCGCCGAAGGCAATAGATTATACATCTACACGTAGTTGGCTATACTAATATTACAATTTCTCTCACGATTAACTATAACTAACTCGTATATCTCCAAGCAAGAGTATTCAACTCCCATTTTGGCTCATCATGGTCAGGGAGCTATGCATGTTCAACATGTGGCACTTGGAAGAAGCCCCTATTAATCTATAAAATCTTTAACTTACAATATTTAACGGATCGATCATTACAACTTGTATTTTTCTAGCATTAGTGCAAAAACGGAAGGCAATGTATTCCAATTTAGATGTGAACACATATTGGTCCTTGGTCCTCATGCGTTCCACACACAAATATAAACATGTAAAAGAACGAAAAAGATTTTAATAAACCGTAATGAACAAATATTATCTATATAAATTTTTTGGTGATTTTTCGTTCGCATTTGTCGCACACTTTGGATGATTAAGAACAATTTGCAATTTATAAATCAGTATATTTTATATGTATAACATTTACAAAAAGGGGGTATATTATGGAAAAGAAGCGTTTATAAATAATTGCTCCATTTCGAAGTCTTGCTACTGAGAGAAGTTGCTTCATTGTGAGCCGGACGCTTTGTGGCCTTCGAGGCAAGGCCTTTGGATCTGTTAAAGTTCATAGAGATTCCATCACTGAGTTTCTCCCTTACCGCTGTTACTTTCGTAGGGCGTACTGCAGAACTTTGAGTAACCTCAATGGGTTCATCCACATAATCTGCCCACTTGTTCTTAGTTTTCTTTAAAGGACGGTTTTCCTGCTTTTCAACTGAGCCATTCTGCTGATCCAGCTGCTGCTGAGCGGATAAGAAAAGATTTTCCTTCATACGTTCCTCCTGTTGCCCACGCTCCAGGTTCATTTGTTGCACCTTAGCGCGGCATTCTGGTCCTGATCCTCGAAAGAACTCTTCCAGCAAATCCTGCTTTTGGCGGCATATTTTGCATTCCCATTTGTTGCCCTTTTTCACCAAGTCCACCTAAAAGGGATCAGATTTATTCAGTGCATGAACTTCATTTATAATTTCAGACAAGAACCTGGTACATTTTGCATTGGATGCATTGCAAAACACGAATTTGCTGAGACATTTTAAAACGGATTTAAATTGCAGAAAACCCTCGCAGATGTGTTAGTGAGACCGTGCCTCGTTTGGTTAAATATATCACAGATGTCGGTTTAAACTAAGTTAATTTTCAGATAAAATGATAATATTATACATTACACTATAAATATTTTTATCCCATATATCTTCTATATACTGCTGATCATAATCAAAAATTAGATTAAATTCCAAATATTAAGCTTCAGTAAAATACTAGTTCCGGCTAAGAACTAGGCCATTGAACATGTCGGCGGTTTCACGTGCGCGCCCATCCCTGGTGCAAAATATAAACAAACTTGATCGGAGGAGCGCTATCATAGCGATTGGCGTTTTCTAAATATGCGTTTGGTAAGTCATGCAGGTCCAGGTTTATAGAAGCACCTTTATCAGCGGAAGTGACTTGACTCTCTTGCAGTATTGTCTCAGCGGGGACTTGGCCAAGCCATGTTATATCATTACGTTCAAGGGCCTGAGGATAATGCTTGACTGCGGCCTGACGGAGCAGACGGTGCTGAACTTCCTGCCGCTGCCCTTCGTCCAGTCTTTGAAATGGTCCAACCTGCCCAACTTTATACCTAGCCGGGACCACGATCCACAGATGGACGGTGAGCTGAAGGAGTGGTGTGGCCGGGTGTTTGTGGACTCGACGCCGGAGTTCAATCTTCCGATGGATAAGATGCTTGACTTTAGCGAGGTAGATGTGATACTTATCTCGAACTATCTTAATATGCTGGCCCTGCCGTACATCACGGAGAACACTGGATTCAAGGGCAAGGTCTATGCCACGGAGCCAACGCTGCAGATTGGCCGGTTCTTCCTCGAGGAGCTTGTCGACTACATCGAGGTGTCGCCCAAGGCCTGCACCGCACGCCTGTGGAAGGAGAAACTCCATCTGCTGCCTAGCCCGTTGAGCGAGGCGTTCCGTGCAAAGAAATGGCGCACCATCTTTAGCCTCAAGGATGTCCAGGGTAGCCTCTCGAAGGTGACCATTATGGGCTACGACGAGAAGCTGGACATTCTGGGGGCCTTCATCGCCACCCCAGTGAGCTCTGGCTACTGCCTGGGCTCCAGCAACTGGGTGCTAAGTACGGCCCACGAGAAGATATGCTATGTGAGCGGTTCGTCCACGCTGACCACACATCCTCGGCCCATCAATCAGTCTGCACTGAAGCACGCCGATGTCCTTATCATGACCGGGCTGACACAGGCGCCCACTGTAAATCCGGACACCAAGCTGGGCGAGCTTTGCATGAATGTGGCGCTAACAATTCGAAACAACGGATCCGCTCTGATTCCGTGCTATCCCTCGGGTGTAGTTTACGATCTTTTTGAGTGCTTAACCCAAAACTTGGAGAACGCCGGCCTCAACAACGTGCCCATGTTCTTCATATCCCCGGTGGCTGACAGCTCTTTGGCCTATTCCAACATCCTCGCCGAGTGGCTTAGTTCGGCCAAGCAGAACAAGGTATATCTACCGGACGATCCTTTTCCACACGCCTTCTACCTGCGCAACAACAAGCTGAAGCACTATAACCATGTCTTTTCAGAGGGCTTTAGCAAGGACTTTCGGCAGGTAAGGATTGCATATATTTGTGAATGATCCAGTATAGTTATTAATCCAATATTTTCCACCTTTAATCACAGCCCTGCGTGGTATTCTGCGGTCACCCGAGTCTGCGCTTTGGCGACGCCGTCCACTTCATTGAAATGTGGGGAAATAATCCCAACAACTCGATCATATTCACGGAGCCGGACTTTCCGTATCTGCAGGTATTAGCGCCGTTCCAGCCACTGGCCATGAAGGCCTTCTACTGTCCCATCGACACCTCGCTGAATTACCAGCAGGCCAACAAGCTAATCAAGGAGCTAAAGCCAAACGTCCTGGTCATTCCCGAGGCCTACACAAAGCCGCATCCCTCGGCGCCGAATCTTTTCATTGAGCAGCCGGATAAGCAGATCATTACTTTTAAATGTGGCGAAATTATACGATTGCCGTTGAAGCGGAAACTGGATCGCATTTACTTAACGTCGGAGCTGGCACAGAAGATTTCGCCGCGCGAAGTGGCCGCTGGCGTAACTTTCTCCACACTAACGGGCGTTCTGCAGGTGAAAGATAAAGTGCACTGCATCCAGCCATGCTCGGAAAGCGGAACTCAGGACAACCCCAGCTCGAGTGCCAGCGGCAGTGCACCGACCAAGGAGGATGTACTGAAGAACGTGAAGTACGAGTACGGCAGCATCGACGTGGAAGCCGTAATGAAGCGGCTGGCGCAGGATGGCTTTTCCAACATCAAATTGGATCGAACTGGCGGCGCTCTTACACTGAATCTGGTCGCCGAGGATACTGTGATCAAGTTTGAGGATAATGAGACGCACATTATCTGCGGCGGAAAGCCCACAACACGTCTTAAACTACGGGACACTATCATGAAGTGCTTACAGAGTTTCTAAAAACAAAAACATATATATTTCTTAGACCTAAAAAACAACATCCTGATTTAAAGCTTAGTTCTTGACTTCCATTACCACAGAGCAACGCTTGCAGGTCTCCTGCTCATCGTCATGCAGACTATAGCGACGACAACGCGGACAGAGTGTGGTCTGTAAATTAGTGATAGTCAAGCTTAAATCGCTATTATCGGCCTCTTCGAGGCAGACAGATCCCACTTGGAGTAGCTCGCACAGCTCGGAATTACTCAGGGGTTCACCCAGAACAGGATGGAGTTCCTGCAGGAGCTTCAGTTTGTTTCCTTTGATGGTCACATCTAAATGCCAGGTGTTCACTTCTCCAGCCTGTTGATTTATCAGACGTTTTACATCTAACGCTGCGTGTACAATTTCTGTGGCTTTTCTGTCCTCCCATTCTGCTTTCGCTCCGACCCTCTGCTCATGAAAAGCACCTCCAGATACATCGTAGTAGCTCCAGCTTTCTTCTACCAAAAATGGGACAATAGGCCACAGGCTCTTGCACAGCTGTCGGTAGCACTGTGTGAGTGTCTGGCGAATGGCCAGCAGCTCCTGGTCATTGCCGCAGTACAAACGATCCTTAATCAGATGGACATACACGGCGGATACCTGGTTGGCCACAAAGTTTTGGATGCAGGCCACCACGCGATTGTACTCGTAGGCGCTGTAAAGCTTCGCCACCTGAGAATGAGTTCACGTTAGAGGAAGATCATATACATTGTACTCTACTTACCTCCGATTCAAACTCCACCAACTGGCTCAGCAAATATCTATTGAGATAGCTCCTATCAGGGAGTAGTTGCTGCTCCTGGTCGGCTCCTTTCTCTCCAATCACCCCCTTCAGGTAACGTAGGGTGCCACGCATTTTGCTCACATTCTCGGCCGCCTGTTGTAGTAGTTTATCACTCACAATTATGGACATGTGTTGGGTGCCATGTGAGGCCACCCACCAACGAAGAGCATCCGTGCCGTACTTCTTCGTTATCTGTTTCGGTGAGATGACATTTCCCAGCGATTTGGACATTTTGTATCCCTTCTCGTCCACTGTAAAGCCGTGCACAAAGAGCGCCCTTTCAATAGATGACAATTAACGATAGTTTCTACAATAGGACTATATCATCTTACTTGTAGGGAGCACATCCTCGAGCAGCTATGCTCATGAGCAGCGAGGACTGAAACCATCCGGTGAATTGGTCATAGCCCTCTAGATACAGGTCTGCCACTTTATCGTTCTTCAGCACAGCCGACCATGTACTGCCCGAGTCGAACCAAATGTCCAGTATATCACTTCCTTTAACGAGATCTTTGACTTCATAGCCTAGTTCCGTTGCAATATGCGCAGGTACGAGTTCCTCTATTGGCCTAACCCACCAGAAGTCGATGGAACCCTCTTGACGCAACAGCTGGCAGAAATGTTCTATCAGAGCGGAATTTATAACCACCTTTCCGCTCTCCCGACTGTAGAGAACGGGTATGGGAACGCCCCACGCCCGCTGTCTGGAGATGCACCAGTAGGGACGTTTTTGCAGCTGCGTCAGCAATGCCCTCTTGCTAGCCTCGGCGTTCGTTCGGGGATAGATCTCAACTTTCTCCAGTGCCTCCGCAGCCGGTGTCTTTAGTTTCTCCGTATTGATGAACCATTGCTCGCTGGCTCGAATAATCACAGGCTGCTTGGTCCGCCAATCAATGGGATACGAATGCTCCAGCTTGGCGGAGTGAACTACATCCTTGGCTATGTGCTGTAGAACTAAAGGATTCCCTTGATCCAGTACTGATTGTCCGCGTAGAAAGCTGGGCGCCTCCTTGGTGTAAATACCCTCCTTGTTCACCAAACACTTCACGGGTATTTTTCTGGCCAGACTGACCAGGAAATCCTCTGGCCCATGGGCAGGTGCAGTGTGAACCAAGCCCGTGCCCTTGCTATCCTGCACATGGCTCGCGTCGAAGAAGGGTAAATCTGCCTTTTCCTGGTCTATCGGATGCTTATACGTGAGCTTGCCTAGGGAGCTGCCACCAAGAGTCTGAATCACCTCACATTTAAGCTGTGTACTGGCCTCGAAGTCTGCCATAAGAGCTTTAGCCATGAGATATAGCTCGTCTGTGCTGTGATCTTGGAGTCTCACCAAAACGTACTCTAGGGACTCATTGTAGCAGATCGCTTGATTGCTCGGCAGTGTCCATGGAGTTGTAGTCCACACGAGCGCATATATACGCTTATATTTGACATCTAGATCCAGTCCGTTTGGGTTGAGTGCAAATCTCACATATACCGAGGGACTTATGTGACTGGGGTCATATTCCAGCTCTGCCTCCGCCAGTGCTGTTCTGATGGAAGACCGATAAGTACAGCTTTAACGAATCACAGGTGTTGCAGATGTTACCTGGACGATGGCGACCAATAGACCGGCTTCAAGTCCCGATAGACAAGACCCCTTTCGTAGAGATCGTAGAACATCTGGAGTTGATTAACTACAAACTCCGGCTGGAAGGTCATGTAGATATCGTTCTTGCGCCAGTTGGCCAATATTCCCCAGCTGCTGAACTCATCCTTTTGCGACTGTATCGCCTCCAAAGCAAAGGCGCGGGCTGCAAGAAATATTTTTTAGTGATTTGACGCTGCAAGGCAAGGGAACCACTCACACTTTTGCCGGATTTCCTGGGCATTTTGTCCTGGGGCAGCACTCGTGGCCTTGAGCTCAATGGGCAGACCGTGACAGTCCCAGCCGGGAATGTAGTTGACTTGCTGACCATGGGCCACTCGCTGTCGCAACGTCACATCCTTCAGGATCTTGTTGACGGCGTGGCCCATGTGCAGTTGGCCATTGGCGTAGGGCGGCCCGTCGTGCAGCACAAAGGTGGGTATCCTTTTATCAACTCCCTGCTGCTGTTCCTGCTCCTGGTACTCGTAGGACACTGCAATCTTCTTCTACGAGACAGAGACCCTCTTAAGTTTTAGATTTCTCAGCAGCAAGTCACCAGAAACTTACCTCCAAGACCAGACGCTCCTGTTCCTCACGTTTGGCTGCTGTCAGGCGGTTGGGAAACTTTGTCCTCGGCAGGTTAATGGTGTCTGTATATTTTTTTGCATCTTTCCTAGCCGCTTTCACACAATATAAACGATTTCCAATGCGAAAATTAAAAATTCGAAGCATTTTGCAGCCGAAGAAGAGGAAGAGCGTAAACGTAACAGCGCCGGCAGTGTGTGTGGAACGTAAGTTCCGTTTACACAGCGTATGCGGTGTGGATCGTAAATACGAATTCACGTAAACTTTAAATACAAATTATTTTATTGACTTTTTTTAAATTATTATTTCAGATATTTTAATTTATTAGAATTGTTATTTTGAATAATATTTTTATGTAGTTAAGTATTTTTATGTATGTACATATTTTATTATTATTGGCCAGCTCCGGCATCCACAATTTGTTAACATTTTATAAGGAGTTACATCGATTAAATTGGCAAAAATGGTAATATTTTATAATTTAAAATTGAATATGTAGACTTATTAATCTAATAAAAACTTACGTAGAAAATTTTGCGGATTCAAATAATCGCCTGGTTTGGCTTAGCATTCGCTGGCATTCCAATATCGGCCACTGAAAGGGAGTTGAAAGAGAGTGTCGCTCTCTCTCTTCCCGTTTATTACGCTGCATTCCGATATTCCAATAAATCCCGCCATTTCCTTGGCATTTTTCAATCGCATTTGTATTGTTCGGTCGGGAAACGCGACGCGCTAAAGAAAAATGTGCGAAAAATAGGAAAACGGCCGGAAAAATCGCGGATTCTGCGCCTATTGGTGAAAAACCAGCCCTCCGGAGGGTTGAGAAACAGATCAACATGTGAAAATCCTAATTGAAGGCCTGAAAATCTACTGCAGAGTGGCGTACGCATTACATTTTGTTTGTTGGCATAAAGAGAATATAAACGTGAAAGTGAAACGTAAATGTGCCAGTGCTTTAAACAAGTCCCGCTAGTTTCCGTCTCGATTTCGGAGTTTATTTATTTTGTATTTTTTTTGTGGTTCAAAAGGCATATTTTCTCTGGCCTGAATTTTTATCAGTGTATACTTTGTGCATTTCAAGGAAGAGAGAGAGAGAGTGGAAAACGCTTTCGCCGTTTGGACAACAAACAACAGAGTGAGTGAGAAGAGAATTAATTTTTCATGCTCTCTTTATAATGGTTTTCGTCGCCTAAACTTCGCCGTTAGATATTTGCCCTTGAAAATTGAATGTAAACAAACAAAACTCACGGAGAGCATACTGCTCTCTCACGGGAAGTATTTAGATCCTGGAATGTGATCCACATTTGTGGACTTGAAGCTCTTAGAGGGTGTTTGTTTTGATTGCCTTTAAACAAAAATTGAATTTATGTTTAAATAAGAAATACGAATAATCCGAATTGAAAATCCTTAAATAATTTATTTTTAAGTACTATTTTTATGTAAGAAATTATTAATAAATGTAAATACAAATTTATATACATACATATGTTTAATCTATATTATATAAAGCTATTATATACGATTTTACACGTAATCAAAATCTTATTTTTATGAGCTTTAGTTAGTTTTTCTTTTTATAAGCTTTTTAATTTAATAACCCAATTTAAAATGCAAGGATTTCGGCGTTCCGAAATTAGTTTAATTTCTTGGTTCACTTTCCCTCTACTATCTTTAGTACAAAATATTCAAAATAAGAATATCGAATATCGTTACTGGGCTATGTTCCCCTATATACTAAAAATTATATAGGAATGTAAAATTGGGAATCACAATTGGCAATATTCTTAGCCCATGAAAAGGATAAATAAAAAGGTTTCGAAACTCGAATAAGTAACCCTTTTAACTTATGTAAGTGTGACTCCTCAAAAATCTTACTTTCAAAAAGACTAGTGACTGTCATCAGTCTCTTGAAGCTGTCATCAATAGCAGGAATAATTTTCAGGCGAAACAACTTTTAAGGAGGAAAACGAAAATTTGTTGAGCATGTTGGTGACTTGGGGAAGATTGACCACAGGTAAGTCCTTCACCTTTACCATTACTCCTTCTTTATCTAATTGATGGAGTCCATATCAGCATGTGCCAGAATCGGTCTCAAAACTGGGCACCTTAATGGTGGTCAAGTGCGAGGCCTGCAGCGCTGCCTGACTCAGTTCCCTGTCCAAGGACATGTCCGCTCCCTTCATGCATCCTTGGTGCTGTGGGACGACACGGATAAGGACAAGCCGAGTGATGAGTGCAAGCTCGAGCCTCAGGATGTCTGTGGGAAGGAAGAGGTTGTCGAGGAAAACGACAGTTGTGGAGACGAAAAGATGTCCGGTGACGGAGCCAAGAAACTGATGGGCAAGGGACGTGAAGGCGTCATTCATGCTGTCATCGGCCCCGTCGTCGATGTGTACTTCGAGGGCGACATTCCGGAGAATATGAATGCAATGGACGTGATTGACGCGCCGGTCGGACGTCTGGTGCTGGAGGTGGGGTACCTTTTTTGATTAGTATTCCAAATTTTAATTACTTTTCCTATTATTTCTATAACAGATTATAAATTTCAATAATTATGTTGTCTTTCCTTAACTAGGTTTTCCACCACTTGGGTAACAATGTGGTCCGCTGCGTTGCCATGGACTCCACGGAGGGTCTTCGTCGCGGCCAGAAGGTGGTAGACACGGGTTACCCAATCCGTGTCCCCGTGGGGAACGCCGTCCTGGGTCGCATCCTCAACGTGGTGGGCGATCCCATCGACGACCGCGGGGAGATCAAGGCGGATAAGTACTCGTTTATCCACAGTGAGGCTCCGGAGCTGGTTGACCTGACCGTCCACCCAGAGATCCTGGTCACGGGCATCAAGGTGATCGACCTGCTGGCCCCCTATGTCAAGGGTGGCAAGATCGGTTTGTTCGGCGGCGCCGGAGTAGGCAAGACGGTGCTCATCATGGAGCTGATCAACAACATGGCCAAATCCCACGGTGGCTACTCCGTGTTCGTAGGTGCAGGAGAACGCACCCGCGAGGGTAACGATCTCTACCACGAGATGATCGAGTCGAAAGTAATTTCCCTTGAGGACGACTCCTCGAAGGTGGTGCTGATTTTTGGCCAGATGAACGAGCCACCGGGCGCCCGTTCCCGAGTTGTGCTCACGGGACTGTCCATCGCCGAGTACTTCCGTGACATTGATGGCCAGGATGTGCTGCTCTTCATCGACAACATCTTCCGCTTTATCCAGGCAGGCTCTGAGGTGTCTGCCCTACTTGGCCGTATCCCCTCAGCGGTGGGTTATCAGCCCACCCTGGGTACCGACATGGGAAGCATGCAGGAGCGGATTACCAGCACCCGCAATGGCTCCATCACCTCTGTTCAGGCCGTCTATGTGCCCGCCGATGATCTCAGCGACCCGGCCCCGACGGCCACATTCGCTCACTTGGATGCCACCACCGTGCTGTCGCGTCCCATTGCCGAGTTGGGCATTTACCCGGCTGTGGATCCCCTGGACTCCTCCTCGCGCATCCTGGATCCCGACATCGTAGGAGAGGAGCACTACAATGTTGCCAGGGCCGTGCAAAAGACCCTGCAGGCCTACAAGTCGCTGCAGGACATTATCGCCATCCTGGGCATGGACGAGTTGTCCGAGGATGACAAGCTGACGGTGGCCAGGGCCCGCAAGATGCAGCGCTTCCTCTCGCAGCCCTTTCAAGTGGCCGAGGTCTTCACCGGCCATCCCGGCAAGCTGGTGCCGGTGGAGAAGACGATCGATGGCTTCAAGCGGCTTCTGAACGGAGAGTACGACGACATCCCAGAGATAGCCTTCTACATGGTGGGCGACGCTGAGGAAGTCCTGGCCAAGGCAACTCAACTGGCCTCCACCATGCAGCCGGATGCAGCTTCCAAAGGAAAGACAGGAGGGGAGAAGAAGGAGGCCAAACCGGAAAAAGGAAAGGAGGGAGAGGCCAAAGCTGATGAAGGACAGAAGGGAGAGGCAAAGGAGGATGAAGGGGAAAAGGAGAAGCCACCAAAAGCAGAGGCAAAAAAAGATGACAAGAAGGATGACAAAGACACTCCCAAAAAGGACAAGTGATTTGATTTGATAGTAGCCCTGAAAACTGAGAAATGATCAAATAAGTTGACTATTGGCTTTTCTCACTACTCATTTTTAAATTGAGTTATAATTGATTAAAAACACAAACATTTTTTAATTTATAAATAAATTCAAAACAGATCCTAATTTATTTGGCAGATGGGAAGCTATTTGTTTGATCTTGCTCGCATTTCATGTGCAAGGCGTTCAGAAGGTAGCAGAAGGCCGGTTCTAAACTAATTTTTCTACTGTTCTCCTTGTACATGATTTTTGGGCCAGTTATATTTCTAAACAGTGATTTCGGCTGTCTCAGCAGATTGCAAAAATGGTTTGGAAGAATTGGTTTAGCTGTCTTCTGATAGCTCTGTACATAAAATAAGGCACCTGTTAAAAATCACAGTGCAATTTGTTTGCCTTTTCAAGTATCGAGTACCAGGCTAGAAAGATAAATGGACTATCTTAACCAAAGAGAAGGTCGAAAAGATAGTTTTCCATCTGCGAGGGTTTGCTTAGTTATGGATTAAATTATAATGTAAAAATGGTTGTAATATTTATTATTTAAATATCATATTAAAATAAGTAATGAGAAAAGCCAATAGTCAACTTATTTGATCACTTCTCAGTTTTCAGGGCTACTATGCATCAAATCACTTGTCCTTTTTGGGAGTGTCTTTGTCATCCTTCTTGTCATCTTTTTTTGCCTCTGCTTTTGGTGGTTTCTCCTTTTCCCCTTCATCCTCCTTTGCCTCTCCCTTCTGTCCTTCATCCGCTTTGGCCTCTCCCTCCTTTCCTTTTTCCGGTTTGGCCTCCTTCTTCTCCCCTCCTGTCTTTCCTTTGGAAGCTGCATCCGGCTGCATGGTGGAGGCCAGTTGAGTTGCCTTGGCCAGGACTTCCTCAGCGTCGCCCACCATGTAGAAGGCTATCTCTGGGATGTCGTCGTACTCTCCGTTCAGAAGCCGCTTGAAGCCATCGATCGTCTTCTCCACCGGCACCAGCTTGCCGGGATGGCCGGTGAAGACCTCGGCCACTTGAAAGGGCTGCGAGAGGAAGCGCTGCATCTTGCGGGCCCTGGCCACCGTCAGCTTGTCATCCTCGGACAACTCGTCCATGCCCAGGATGGCGATAATGTCCTGCAGCGACTTGTAGGCCTGCAGGGTCTTTTGCACGGCCCTGGCAACATTGTAGTGCTCCTCTCCTACGATGTCGGGATCCAGGATGCGCGAGGAGGAGTCCAGGGGATCCACAGCCGGGTAAATGCCCAACTCGGCAATGGGACGCGACAGCACGGTGGTGGCATCCAAGTGAGCGAATGTGGCCGTCGGGGCCGGGTCGCTGAGATCATCGGCGGGCACATAGACGGCCTGAACAGAGGTGATGGAGCCATTGCGGGTGCTGGTAATCCGCTCCTGCATGCTTCCCATGTCGGTACCCAGGGTGGGCTGATAACCCACCGCTGAGGGGATACGGCCAAGTAGGGCAGACACCTCAGAGCCTGCCTGGATAAAGCGGAAGATGTTGTCGATGAAGAGCAGCACATCCTGGCCATCAATGTCACGGAAGTACTCGGCGATGGACAGTCCCGTGAGCACAACTCGGGAACGGGCGCCCGGTGGCTCGTTCATCTGGCCAAAAATCAGCACCACCTTCGAGGAGTCGTCCTCAAGGGAAATTACTTTCGACTCGATCATCTCGTGGTAGAGATCGTTACCCTCGCGGGTGCGTTCTCCTGCACCTACGAACACGGAGTAGCCACCGTGGGATTTGGCCATGTTGTTGATCAGCTCCATGATGAGCACCGTCTTGCCTACTCCGGCGCCGCCGAACAAACCGATCTTGCCACCCTTGACATAGGGGGCCAGCAGGTCGATCACCTTGATGCCCGTGACCAGGATCTCTGGGTGGACGGTCAGGTCAACCAGCTCCGGAGCCTCACTGTGGATAAACGAGTACTTATCCGCCTTGATCTCCCCGCGGTCGTCGATGGGATCGCCCACCACGTTGAGGATGCGACCCAGGACGGCGTTCCCCACGGGGACACGGATTGGGTAACCCGTGTCTACCACCTTCTGGCCGCGACGAAGACCCTCCGTGGAGTCCATGGCAACGCAGCGGACCACATTGTTACCCAAGTGGTGGAAAACCTAGTTAAGGAAAGACAACATAATTATTGAAATTTATAATCTGTTATAGAAATAATAGGAAAAGTAATTAAAATTTGGAATACTAATCAAAAAAGGTACCCCACCTCCAGCACCAGACGTCCGACCGGCGCGTCAATCACGTCCATTGCATTCATATTCTCCGGAATGTCGCCCTCGAAGTACACATCGACGACGGGGCCGATGACAGCATGAATGACGCCTTCACGTCCCTTGCCCATCAGTTTCTTGGCTCCGTCACCGGACATCTTTTCGTCTCCACAACTGTCGTTTTCCTCGACAACCTCTTCCTTCCCACAGACATCCTCAGGCTCGAGCTTGCACTCATCACTCGGCTTGTCCTTATCCGTGTCGTCCCACAGCACCAAGGATGCATGAAGGGAGCGGACATGTCCTTGGACAGGGAACTGAGTCAGGCAGCGCTGCAGGCCTCGCACTTGACCACCATTAAGGTGCCCAGTTTTGAGACCGATTCTGGCACATGCTGATATGGACTCCATCAATTAGATAAAGAAGGAGTAATGGTAAAGGTGAAGGACTTACCTGTGGTCAATCTTCCCCAAGTCACCAACATGCTCAACAAATTTTCGTTTTCCTCCTTAAAAGTTGTTTCGCCTAAAAATTATTCCTGCTATTGATGACAGCTTCAAGAGACTGATGACAGTCACTAGTCTTTTTGAAAGTAAGATTTCTGGGATGCGTTTTTTAATTACTGGGTTGCCGCCCATTTTTACGCAGCTAACTGGCTTTTAATTTAAAGAAAATATTAAATAATAAAAAATTATTATAAACTAAGAATTAAAAGCAAAAACGACCTCTGAAACTTATGGCGACACTTTATATTATTTATTAAATTTTAAATTACAATCATTTGGAAAATATAGGAGCCAGCATTCGAAGGATTTAAAAAAATATAAATAATTGCATTAGCATCGTTCTGAAAATGAGGAAATAGATCTTTAGATACGTTTTCACTTCAACATGCTTAAGGGTGGTCTATTGGTTGCCATGGCTACTGGAAGTGAAGAGCCGAAACGCAAACAAAGTGGCATTCACTGGAAATCTCTTAAAACATGGACGTGCTATCGCATTACAACTCGCCGGTGGTCGAATTTCCGGCTACTCAGCCGCTGGAGAGGCAATATGCTCTGGTCGACAACTGCACCGGCACTGATCCGTCGCCTCCTAGTCGGGACACCGCCACCGGAACGCAGGAGAAGCTGGATATGGCCACTCAAACGGAGCAAAGACTGTCAGTCAGCAGCAAAGATGTTGAGTACGATGAAAGAGCCCTGGCCAAGTGGCTGCGTCAGATATGCCCCATCGTGGAGAGGGAACTTATGAATCCTACACCGCTAATGGAGGATCTAACGATGAGCCAGTGCCGGTTGGAGGAGGAACTGCAAGTGTTCACCTACCAAAAGCTGGCCATGGGCGGAGCAGAAAACTCACAGGGCCTGGCCATCTGGCTGAGCGTGCACACCAACAATGCTCCTGTCCTGGTGGCCACAACCGTGGCTCCTCACGACGACTGGTGTGAGCATGTGGATCAGCAGCTGAAGCTCTTCGTTCCACAAAGGATGTCCCTTGGAAGCTATGTGTTCTTTAGCGAAGCCAAAAGTGTATCGCTGAAGTCTTGCCTGCAAAGTCTTTGCACGAATCCCTTCAACAAGAATATGTTTGCCGGCTCCACGATGGATGGCGAGCTGTTCGTCTGGCTGTATGTACAGGCTAGAGGCTCTGGCGGTGATGGCAGCGTGGACATTAAGCAGCTTCACAGTGTGTCCTCTGCCCAAGGAGCGGCTGTGGCGTTGGACTGGCCCCGGGAACATTTACTGATGGCCTGCTATGCCAACGGAAGTGTTCGCCGCTGGGACTTGAGTAGGCAGATGTCTTTGGACTGGGAGTAAGTATGAGATGGGTATGGTGTCTGCGGTATTAATGGATCCCCAATTAATGTATCTCTCCAGGTACTCCTTGCCAGCCACGGTTACCTCGGAGCCTACAGCCATGGTGGCTTTGGGGATTGACGACTTTGTGCTGGGCACTAACGATGGAGGGATCTATCGGTGTTGGGGCACTGGGCGCCAAATCCAACTTTTGGCTCTTAGGCAGCATCGGTTTATGGTTTCAACACTCCTTCGCATCGAGATGGGGGGTAACCAGTTCGTCCTCAGCTGCGATCTCAGCGGCCAGGCCTTCTATCATGACCTGCGACTCACAGATGAGGTAATGACACATCCTTTAATTAACCATTAACTCAGCTTAATTCCTTACTTTCCAGGATATGTCACAGGTAATAGTGCAGATTCCCTTGCCTTTCAAGAACGTCATCGCATGCAGCCGGGATGGCAACATCATATACTGTCCTGCCAGCGATGGAGCCCTCGAGTACTACAGGGTGAGCGATGGTGCCCAGGCACATGTCACGGGAGCATTGCGCGGAAAGGGAAGCATCATCCGGAGTAGTGATAATGGGTAAGTCGTACATAGTTTAAGGGATCTATTTGAACTTAGGTTAATTCGTTTCCAGATGCTGGCTAATCACAGGCCTGTACGGCGACGAGTTCCAAATCTTCTACGTGGAACGTTAAGGAGTCACGCTACAATAAATATTAAATGTCGCGAATGTAGATATAATATCAATAGGATCAGTTTTTGAAATAATCGCTTATATTTGCATTGACTGCTTAATGTTAATGTGTACGGTTTCGTCATCTTCTCTTAGGATTGCTATTTACACGAGTTTATTTTAAAATTTCTCCAGATCTCTAACAAATACCACATGTAGATATAGACTATATATATTTTCTTTTGTATAAACAAGACTTTCTTTGTGTATAATTTCAAAAAACAAAATGCAGAGAAGAACTTAAAGCCATTTTGATAATATTGCATTTAAAAAAGTGTTTCTCTTTTTTGGGGATCTCGATAAAATAAAAGAATCTCTACGTACTCTTTTATCCGCAGGCTTGTGGTGTCGTGGTGGACATGTATAAAATAATGTGTGTTGCGTACGAGTGTTTACAAAGACGTAATTACAAAATGGCCAGCCTTTATAGCCACTTGCCTAGCGTAATAAATAAATTATACAATTAACATTAACGAGATATATGCGATATATGTATAAATATATAATAGAACTGCACACACAATTTTGCTAAATCTCTCACGCCCAATCTTCAGCTTCAGTCCGTTCATTCCGTTCACTCCACACATCGTTCTACTTTTCACTTAAGCCTAGATTGCAATCTGCATTTTGCACATATCAAATATAGTTGGTTTCGCGATAATAATAATAACTAGAAGCGGCGGATTGGCTGATGATAAATTCAGTTGAAGAGCACTGTATTGGGGTCTTCGTTATCCATCTGCTTAACGTGCCGCAGAACATCCTTCTTGGTAATTACACCGAGCAGGCGACTGCAAAAATTAAATGTTGTGGTTATTTGGTACTGTTTCCAGGCAGCACACACTCACCCGTTGTGTGTCACTAGTGTCTGGCGCAGTCCCAGCTTACGGAACATGTCCACCACCGTTTCCATTGGCGTTTGATCCGTCACCGTGATCGGCGCCATGTCCAAGATTTTCTTTAGCTTAAGGGGCTGCGGGCCCAGGTTTTGAGTGGGCTGAGTAGAAGTAAATAATACTATGGAGCTGCTGCTAATACCCTCGATAAGACGTTTGGCATTGCCTGGAAGGGAGAACCTCCGGTTAATAGCGAAAAATCTAGCTTGAGGAACAGTGAGACACTCACCTATGGCCAAGTTCAGGTCCCTACGCAAGACGAAGCCCACCAAGTATTGATTCTCACGGGACACTACAACCGGATAGCCGTTGTGTTCCGTTTCCTTAAGCAGGTTTTCCACATCGTCCACCGTCATGGAGTCTTGGGTGATGACATTCAGGGTTTCATTACGTCTGAAAAGTAAATGGTTGTAAATATAGGAAGATCGGGTTCCTGTATTCCTTTATCTTTACTCACTTTGGCTGCATAACATCCGCTGCCAGGGTTGTGTGCGCAAACTCCTCCTTGCTGTCAAGGAACGGATAACCATTCAACGCAATGTGTGCATCGTAAATGCCCTGCCTGCCCAGAGCATCGCCCACCCACTTGGAGGCCATGGCAGCCGCCATCAGTGGCACAATATATCTCACTCCGCCCGTCAGCTCGAACATGATCACTACCAGGGAGACCGTCATGCGTGTGACACCGCCCAGAACAGCTGCCGCACCCACCACTGCATACAATCCAGGTGTGATTAGATTGCTGTCCGCACACTCGCCGGTAAAGAACCAGATGTTCGGGTAACTGTACGCAAACTGTTCCACGCCAATGCCTACGATGCGGCCCATGATAGCGCCCAGCAGCAGTGACGGAATAAACAGACCCGCCGGCACTTTCATGCCAAAAGTGAAGATTGTCAGCGCTAGCTTCAGGATAAAGGTGAGCATCAGCAGCCAAATGGAGCTGTATACGCCGGGGCCAGGCTCTGTGACCTCAATGATGCTATTGCCCATCGTTATGTTCATGCGCTTATACTCGCTGAAAGAAAGTAATGTAAAAATGAAATGGGATCCTTTAAAAAGAATTGGAAATATTTGAAACCCACCACAACGGATTGGTGACATCGCCGGGAGAGCATTTGCTGACCAACAGGAAGATCAGCTCGTTCATGTTCATGCGGGTGAAGGGGTTTGGATAACAGATGATGCCAGTGACCAGCGTCACGAAAAGCACCTCCATGACGGGATACTGGCCCAACTTGCTAAACTTCCTGTAGCGGCACCACCACAAATTCGCCTTAATGAAGAACGTACCAATCACACCCTGAAAATTTACCAAGTTCAGTAAAAAGTTTCTAAAAAAAAAGTAAACAAATTAGCCTTACCCCCATTATTCCCAAGAAAACAAAGGGGATGAGCTCGAAAAAGATCCACGGCTTGTTGTATTCCACAAAGAAAAGCACGGAATGCTCATTGCCAAAGGGAGTCAGCGACCGCAGAACGAATGCGGCGATCAGGGCACAAAAGAAGGACCGCCACAACGTTTTCAGCGGAAAGTAGTAGGATACCTCCTCCAACGAGAACAGAACTCCTCCAATGGGGGCTCCGAAAGCCACCGAAACGCCAGCCGCCGCTGCTGCCGATAGAATCTCGCGCTTCTTGGCCTCGTTCCTTCCATATTTGGGGAAAACGTGCGAGAATATGTTGCCAATACAGCTCGCAATATGGACCATAGGTCCCTCTTTGCCCAGCGTGAGGCCAGCGGACACGGAGAGCATAAGGCCCACTGATTTGATCAGCAGCGTCCATTTGCCCAAATAGCCGCGTATGATGAAGCCCGACAAGATGGTCTTGATCTCCGGTATACCCGATCCGCAGGCGTAAGGGGCGAACATCCGCACCAGCGAGGCGCTGAGAGATGCAAACAGCAATGCCCACAGCACATACCAGATATACGCAACGATATACGGTCCAGTGCCATTACGATCCAGACCAAAGATCTCCGGCCAGGTCTTCCACTGTCGAAAGAGAAAGCCACAGATCAAATTATTTACTTTTGGAAGCCATTAAGGCAGCTTTCAACTTACCGTCGAGCAGTTGCCTTCCTCAAAGACTGATTGCTTGGCTGGGTAACAGCACTGCTCTCGATTAAACCAAAATGCGGGCGGACAAATGCCATGCTTCAGGTCGGACATCCAACTGGCGCCAATGTCCACCATGCCGGCCACACAGCCAGCGGCAATGCCGACCAGTAGGACGCACAGCCACCCAGATCCGGCATCAATGGAGCCCTGGAAGCACAATTTATCAATTAGAGGACCTTATTTGGAATATCGAGCAGCTTCTTACCTTTATCAGATCCCACAGCGAGTCCTGTCGCTTCTTGACTATGTACCGATGTCGCATGCGGTCGCGGGCAATGTCCCGCTGCCAGTCGATGGTATGGAAATCCTCATACTGACCAATGCCTGGAATATCATCCTGCACATCCGAGGAACCATAGAAGGAGAGTGCTCCTAAAGATAAAAACAAAAGCACATATATTATTTCCATTTTGACAAGGTAAACTTGGATTCTTCATGTTCGTTAGCTATGATCAAAGTTCACTTTAGTTTTTCACTTACACGTGGATACTGGGAGACTCGATATTAATTTCTTGATTTACTTGATTGTTTTTTATGGCTAATGGCATCGTATTTTTTCCTGGCAATTTCTTACGACTCTATCAACAGAGAGTATCATTCCCCGACTTGAGCTCCATTTGCTTACTTTTATAAGTATTGATTGGCCTTAGCGCTGCGCTAACATCATTATTCGGCTGCGATCGAGTTTATATATGTGAATTAGTGTATTTACCCAACACATTCATACAATACATTTAATTTTCATTCAAATAAACAGCTCTTACAGCTGGTTCGTCGCCTAATATAATGAATTAGCATCACGTGAGTAAACTATAGGGCACTGTGTTTACCTATCGAGCATTTACTCTTTGTCCAAACAGGGAATTGATTCCCCTGAAGCCGCAATTATGCACATATGTCTGATTACTAATGATCGTGGATATTAATTGAATTGAATTCCCCACTTGGAGCAAGTACAGCTGTGTGCCACGCCACCGAATGAGCGGAGTGGTGCCGAGGTGACGTCGCGGCATAGCAGAACTCATATGATCATGATCTTGATTAACACCGCAGACAGACGCTTTGCGCAATGGGATCTCGATCTCTCGCTCTCTCACTTCTGAACTCACCGTCCATGGGATCGCCGAAGGCACTGTGAGTTGGCACATGCTGGTGATGGTGATGCTGGTGCATTGTTCGCTGGCTGTGGCCACCTGAGTGTCCAAACTCTCGCTCTGTATCCGATTCGGTGCCCGTTTCCCGGTGATAGCCGCTGCTGCTTCCGCCACCTCCTCCGACGCCGCCACCGATCACATCGCCCGGACTGGAGCGCGGTGTGATGTCAATCATATCCTCCTCGTCTGTGCCCGCCGTCGCTGTCAGCGAAGTGGTCAGTTTGGAGTGCTGCGCCAGCGGGTGGTCGTGGAAGGTACCGTCGCTGTCGCCCGTCGCTCCGTTCGTGTGGCCGTTCGACTGGAAGAGAGAAAATAACGGAACCCGAATCAGATATCAGATATGGCTCTTGGGGATCACTGTGGGCTCTCTGGGCGCTTTGTTTATGCATTGAAACTGATAAGATTAGAATCGGCATAATGTACACACATCTGTACGTGAAATTGTGAATAATTCCCAGCATTTCCGCCCCCTTGTGCCAGATGTTTGTGGATTCCGGATAATGTAATTGTTCGAACGAATGAAAATTTTGCTTAGCAGTAAGCTGGGCTAATCTGTGGTGCGTAAATATCTGGTTCTCAAGCGATTAGTCAACTCCAAGAGTTGAAGTAGAAATGGAACTGTTTTCTAATTACGAATACTTGTAGCATTTTTTAAAGAAACATTTAAACAAGAGATATCCTCGCCAAAGACACCTATTTTATTTCACATTTATTAATAAATTCACCCACAAATTAAGACCTTTTCAATCGACGTGTTTTTGTGCGTAATGTGAAGTTGATGGGGTTAAGCCCACCTGGGCTTATCACGTATGTGGGTTGCGTACCTTTTTCATCACCGTCTGGTAGGCGGTTATGTAGCTGTTGCCCTCCGCCGCAGCCTCTCTGCTGCCCTTCAGCGGAAACTTTTCCATCCTGTCCCTGTCCTGCTGCTGCTCTACGCGTTTAATTATTTAGCTATTTCAATTATTCACCAATTTTTGTTGCGTTTTGCGTTGCAGTCGGGGCAGCGCAGCGACCAGAGGCAGCGCAGTAGCAGCGCAGCGAGCGCACGTCACTAAGTACAAACACACTAACAGTTGTTGGCCCGTCACTTCACTTTCTTTCCATTTTACTCGATTTGGAGGTGTGCACTCGCGTTGGCATTGAGACGGCTCGAACAGGTATTTTAATCACTTATATAGTACACATTTCATTGGCAAAGTTTTTGTGTGCGAATATTTTATTTGCAAAAATCACTTTCAGTGTGACCAGAATTTTGGCTGAAAAATGAATCGATAACTCAACAATCGATAATTGATCTTTCAAAAAATATCCCGTCTGGGAAATATACTTGTTATTCAAAGGGAAATAACGGTGCATTTGATATAAATTATATTTGAAATTATCGGAAATAACGGTCCATTTAATATTATTGTATTTTACACTTTTCCGATTCCGGACTTGGCCAGTATTATTCAACCAAGTTCATATTTTGACGGTTCCGCCACCTGGCCACTCTGGTCCCCGAATTTGTTTACGCCGTACACATAGTACGGATTTTTCGGTTGGGCCCAACAACAACTGCACAGCGCGCCAGCATAAACAACGAGAGTGAGATGGCCGGCTTTGTGGCGGTGCACACGGGTTTGTATACACGGATCCGCCCCGGCGAACGGCCAGATGATTGATGGGCGCCGTTCGTTTTCAGGGGCTGGCAACTGCATCGACGAGACCAAGTACCAGCGGGTGATCAAGGAGGCATGCATGCGGGCCACGGACATACTGCGCAGCGGCGGCTCCGCCGTGGACGCCTGCGAGGCGGCTATCGTACGGCTGGAGAACTGCGGCTACACGAATGCCGGCTTTGGCTCCAATCTCTGCCTGGACGGATCCGTGCAGTGCGACGCGGCTATTATGGACGGGTCGACGCTGAACTTCGGTGCCTGCACGAACGTCAGCAGGGTAAAAAACCCCATCCAGTTGGCTCGGCGCATCTGCGACGCCCAGGGCAGTCCACAGCTACTAGAGCGCATTCCGCCGATGATTCTCGCCGGCACTGGAGCCGAACGGTATGCCGATGAGGTGGGCTGCTCGATGGTGGATCCCTCCGTTCTGATTTCTTCGAAGGCCAAGTTCCAGTTCAATCACTACAAGAGCAAATACGATATGGTGGTGAACTGCAGATCGGCCAAGGCGGCCTCGGAGGAGCCGGTGCCAGTGCCTGAGCCCGGCGCCGAAGTGGAGCTAGCGGCCGCCCTAGACACCGTGGGGGCTGTGTGCGTCGATGGAGCCGGAAACACTGCAGCGGGCTGCAGCTCTGGCGGCATACTGCTCAAGGTTCCCGGCAGGGTGGGCCAGGCGGCCACTTATGGGGCCGGCTGCTGGGCCACCGATACAGATAAGTTGGCCGTCGCTACCTGCACAACCGGTAACGGTGAGTACCTGATGAAAACGCTCCTTGCCAGAGAGATCTGCAACGGAGCCTTCAGCAACGACTGCGCAGTGACGAGTCTGCACCGGACGTTCAAGCAAAAGTTCCTCGACTCTCCGCTGCTGCCCCGGCAGCAGGATCTCTATGCCGGGGCCCTGACCCTGCTCTACTCACCGGGCCAGAGCAGCGGCGAGGTGATGTGGAGCCACACGACACAGTCCTTCTGCGTGGGCTACATGGGGACCTCGCAACGGGCGCCAAAGGTTCGTACTCAGGCATAGCCGCCAGCAGCCACACATCATCCATCATATCCCATTCGTTTCCCGTGTGTATTCTTCTTGCAGTTTGTGCACTCGCTGCTGCCCACGTACAGCGTCCCAGGCCGATCGTGCGTCGTCAATGGCCAGAATTTCCATTTGCGCATTTAGATGTGGGCCGGACTGGGCTGGCTGGCCAACCAACTAACTAGCCGCAGTGTCTGGCTGCGGACCGCCTGCATCCCCCTTATCCGCGGCGCATCTGCAATTCATTTGATTTAATGTTTAATTGCCGCGACAATCGCTGCCAATGCTATATGGTGGCTATATGACAGCCGGCGCCGGAGGAGGCAGGGCTTTGTCTTTGGCGAAATATTAAGATAATTAAGCGAAAACTTTTATTGTAAATTCTCTCGTAGAACGTAAGTCAGAGCTGTGTTTGTGTACGTACGTACTGCTAGCAATGAAATAGGATTTTTCAAATGTGTGGCTTCCCCCTTGCTCCGTCGCTCCGTTGAACTGCCGTGTGCGCTAGATAAATCAACCGGCGGCATGCTAGTCGGAATATCATATTCGAGGGGGGGCATATGTTTGTATCCGTATGTATATTTAGACGCGCTGACGTGTGTGTGCATCTGTGTGCCGCCGATGTCCAAGTGTTTACGGCCATCAATGTACAGAACATAACCCATTAATTTAGACGACAGAGCAAAAGAAGCCGCAGCATGCACACACAATATCAAGGTCTCGAGAATATGATTTGATTATTTCGAAAATGCTTTTACTTTTAGCGTAAACCAATGATTGTAAATACAAACATATACTTATGACGCGAGCCGTTCTAAACACATTCGCTCGTATTCACTTGCGGCCAATAATCCAATATCCAATGGTATTTCATGGCATATATGTATATTTATTGCTACACATCTCGAGGCTTTCCCAGAACCCCATTTAATGCCCAACTACATAACCCCCTCCCTCCCAAGCAAGAGCAAATGTGAGTTCCATTAGCTGATGATTTATACTGCCTAAGATCGTGTCCCTGACTGTAGTCATATGTATTTAAGAGCTTAGGATCGTAGCCATAACTAATCGAGCATGTAACTTAATTTTTTATTATGATTTATAATTTTACTAAATGCTAATTAAAGATGTTTATATGTCGGCATAATGATTTTAATTGAACCACAATATTTAAAGGCATATAGAAGCACTCCATTCGGGACTTTTATATGTTTTTGAAACATAACAAGTCGGTTGATAATACATATAAATTTTGGTAAGTCCAAGCAAAAACTTAGTCACGTTTTGGGCTAAAATAATACTAGGAAATGTTTGAAAGCCATTATTTATTTTATGGAGGCTATATAGATATATACATATTTCAGAAGTACTTGTTTACTTCTAAAGATTGGCTTAGGAAGCAGTAGTAGGAGCATTAGTTGGAGCATCAGTAGGAGCATCGGTAGGAGCATCAGTAGGAGCATCGGTAGGAGCATTAGTTGGAGCATCAGTAGGAGCATCGGTAGGAGCATCAGTAGGAGCATCGGTAGGAGCATTAGTTGGAGCATCAGTAGGAGCATCGGTAGGAGCATCAGTAGGAGCATCGGTAGGAGCATTCGTTGGAGCATCAGTTGGAGCATTCGTTGGGGCATCAGTAGGAGCATTCGTTGGAGCATTGGAAGGAGCATTCGTTGGAGCATCAGTAGGTGCATTAGTTGGGTCATTAGTAGGAGCATTCGTTGGGGCATCGGTAGGAGCATTCGTTGGAGCATTGGAAGGAGCATTCGTTGGAGCATTCGTTGGGGCATCAGTAGGAGCATTCGTTGGGGCATCGGTAGGAGCATTCGTTGGAGCATTGGAAGGAGCATTCGTTGGAGCATCAGTAGGTGCATTAGTTGGGTCATTAGTAGGAGCATTCGTTGGGGCATCGGTAGGAGCATTCGTTGGAGCATTGGAAGGAGCATTCGTTGGAGCATCAGTAGGTGCATTAGTTGGGGCATCAGTAGGAGCATTCGTTGAACCATCAGAAGGTGCGTTAGTTGGAGCATCCGTGGAAGAAGTGGGAGCATTCGATGGAGCATCCGTGCTAGAAGTGGGATCATCAGTAGGACCACCGCTTGGAGCAACAGTAGAGGTAGAAGTGGTGGTATCCGAGCAGCTGACGGGACGTGACACCACACAGCTGCCGATGCTCACATCGAAGAAAGGCCTGGAGGCGGCACAACTCATGTAGATGGACACCCAGTTGTCAGTGCCAGATTTTTGGCAGTACAGATAACTGTTGCACGTGGAGTCGTCGTAATTTCGAGTGTAGAAATAATTGGGACTGGAACTGGGCTCCGCATCCCTGCAGGCCTGTTGCCTCTGGTCGGCACTGGGCGTTGTCGTCGGCGCTGCTGTAGTAGTAATCGGCTGGTAGACACTGTTGGTGCACGTCGCCTCCATACCCACCTAAAAGCGGAACAAAGATTATTCCAAACTTAAATGTGCGAAATTGAGAATACTTACATAATCGGCAGCACAAGTGGGCACACATAGAGTCCCAAAAAGACTCAAAGAATCGATAATGCAAACCTCATCTGCGTCGCAGCTATACACAGTGGAGGTAATGAGGTCCCCGCTGGAGGAGCACCGTGCAAACTGAGTGCTGCTGACACAGGAGAACTTGGCATCTGTCGCACATACTTGACACTGGGCACCATTTCCGCCCGAGGTTCCACATACGTCCAGGACTGAGGTGCCATCCACCTGGGAGCTAGCCACACAGACATCTCCGGAATTTGAGCAAACGGTGCCCGTGGGACAATTCACGATATCTCCAAAGGCAGCATTTTCTGGGATTAAGGAAGGAAATCCATATTATACGTAAAGTTTTAGAGTATACAGTTGTTTCCAGGACTCACTCATGCAATTCTGATACGAGGTCTGGTTGTGGCAGTAGACAGCGTTGTCCGCCTGGCACTCCTGGCAGGTCTGGGCGCCAACAAGGGCTACGAGAGAAGCCACTATGGCTATGGTCGCTGTAATCCTCTGCATGTTCCTTCGAAACTAAACGCGTTGGTGTTGTCTAAAGTAAACTATAAACTGATATGATCTCGGGTTCCGATCTGCTGTCTTATATAGCGGGAAGATTCGCTTTGCAGAAATCATTTTCCGCGGAAACCTTCATCTGTTTATGGGTATATTAGTTGATAATATTACTTATCAGATTTGGAGCTCTCCGTCGCTGTTAAATGTAAATCCTCCCTAATAAAGTAAGATATTAAAGGTAAGAGGTGCCGTCGCATATCAGCTATTGACAGCAGTTTGTTTTTGCCTAAAAGTCTTATAAAAGGTACTTTAATATGGACTTTGAAGGTTAAAAGCCATTTCTCTGGGGCTTGACTCATGTTCTTCGTAATTTGAGATTTCAACCTTGTATTATACAAAGAGTCTTTCAATTCTTATTATTTTATTTTTGAGGAATTACCTTATGAAACTCTTGTTTATGGAAACATTTTCAAGGTGCTCCCAGTGTTTCTTTTTTAAGCCTTCTTTTTAAACTCAACAAACCAGAGTTCTTTAGAGTATATACATAAGTACAGACCAATATATTATTTTAATGAAAAGTTATATAAGGAATAAGAATACATAGGAATTAAAGGGATATTTTGTGGCTAAAGTCCTGATTATGCCATTCTTTATGTGCAGTCAACGGGCTTAGTTGGCACACATTCGCCGGCGATCGAATCAAAGTATTTCTTGGGAGAGTTGCACAAAAGGAATACGGTTTTATAATCACTTCCAACTAGCTCGCAGTACAGGTAACTCCGGCAGGTGGCATCGTCGGTGTATCTCGTGTAGAAGAACTTGGCTGTGGTTCTCGAGGCAGTGGCAGCATCAGAGCATTTGGTCCTTTGAACCTGTGGACTGGGAGTTGTTGTTGGAGCTGCAGTTGTTTTGGACGTTGTGAACTCAGCGTTGTTGCAAGTGGCCTTCATATCCAGCTGTCAATCAAGGACAAAGGATAAGGAGGGATCCTTTCCTTTCCTGACTCAATTAAATACGAAATCAAGTGCTTTCGGTTAAAAAAACTGCACAAATGTGACATGGCCTTCTGCCACTGCATGTTTCTTTTATACATAACAGACCATCCGAAGTTAAAGCTGTGCAGACTATTTTTGGAAATCATTAAACTTTATAATTAACAGGCTTCAAGCGATAAAGATGTTTGCAAGATTTGATCCCAAGAAGTGTGGCATCATAAAGTAATATCGAAGCTTTTTCGAGGTGAGATTCAAAATATTTAAAGAGAAATATTCACTATAACTTATTTTAATATCTCGTTTATATAAAACTTGAATAACCTTAAAAGGCTGGGTTTGTCCTTGAGAGTATTTTGACATATTTTTAAAATAAAGAAAAGTTTCAATATGTTTTATACATCCAAAAAGGAAACGTTTATGATATTTTTATATTTAAATTAATTTTTTACAAGGCTGTAAGACATTTATAAGCTTTACATTTTTCATTATAAACAGGTTAAAATAAGTTACAATAAAATTAAGTACATCCATTAGGCTTAGTTGCCACACAATTAGAGGTGGTCGGATCGAAATATGGCTTGGTACCGGAACAGGATAGGAATACTGTGGTCCAACCGGTAGTGGCACGTTGGCAATACAGGTAACTACGGCAGGTAGCATCCGCTGTGTAAGACGTGAAGAAATATGTGGCGGAACTAAGGCTCGAATCGGCATTCGCTGCTGCAGTGCATCCGTCGGCTTGCACTGAAGTGCTGGGGGTGGTGGCCGGAGAGGAGGTTGAGGTCGTGCTGCTCGGCTCGTATTCACTGTTGCTACAGGTAGACGTCAGTCCCACCTAAATGCAAAAAATTCAATTAATTTTGATCACTTGAATCAGGCGAGAGGACATACAAAATCAGCAGCACAAGAGGGCACACAGATGTTGTTAAAATTGGCCAATCCTGCCAGAATACAAATCTCGCCCTCATCGCAACTGAAGACACTGGAGCTTAAGATGACTCCGCTGGAGGAGCACCGAGCAAACTGAGTCTGGCTGACACAAGCGTACTTGTTGTTGGAAAGACACGCTTGACAACTTGCCGAGGTGCCACATACATCCACGACAGTGGAGCCATCCACCAATGACTTGTCCACACAGACATCCACGGAATTAGAGCAAACGGTGCCGGTGGGACAATTCACAATATCTCCAAAGGCAGCATTTTCTGGGATTAAAAATACGTATTAAATTGTGAAACTTTGAATCTACACTTGCTTCCTGGACTCACTCATGCAGTTTTGATACGAGGTCTGGTTGTGGCAGTAGACATCGTTGGACGTCTGGCACTCCTTGCAGATCTGGGCCTCAACAAAGGCTAGGAGAGAGGCCACAATGGCTAAGGTAGCAATAATCCTCCGCATGTTCCTTAAAAACTCCTTGCGATGAAGTGGTCTAAACTAAAGTATAAACTGATATGATCTCTAGTTGCGATCTGCTGTCTTATATACCGGAGAGGTTCTCTTTGCAGAAATCATTTTCGTTGAAAACCTTCAGCTGTTTATGGTTATATTATTTGATAATATTCCTTATCAGGTTTTGGATTGTCTTTGCCTGCCAAAAATGTCTCATATAATTATAAACAAGTCGTTTGGTAGTATGAAAATATAAAACACTTGATGATTCCTTCAACTATGATTTAAACAAGATATGCCTGGTGTCTCTATATCTCAAGGCTTTCGAATGTTAATATCTAATTGTCGGTCTATGAAGGTAGAAAAATATGTGCTAAGAATTCCTATGAATCATTGTCTTCGAGCTTTAAAAATCATGAGGTTGCATTATAGCTTTTGTATATATTGTACATTTTTATAATACCTATTATATAAAAGCTATAAATATTTCTTTTTTTCCTGTTTATTCTTCCGTTTAAGCTCCAATTTGTTTAATATGCAAAACTTTATTTAAGAAATCAATATTTTAAATTGTTCTTAGTTAATATAGTTATTAAATACAGGCAAGTAGCGGAAACAGAAAGATATATATTTAAATTCAAATACTATTTAACAAAAGTAACTTATATGCACGCTTTTTAAATATAACAAACAATTATAAATCAAATCAATCATGTTAGCAATCTGTAGGCTTTGTTGCCACACAATTCTTGGTGGTGGAATCGAAGTATGGCTTGGGTGCCGAGCATGTTAAGAAAACTGTAGTCCATTCGGTACCTGTAGGGCTTTTTTGGCAATACAGATAAGTGGTGCAGGTTTTATCTCCTGTGTTTCTAGTATAGAAAAATTTGGTTACAGCTGTGGTGGTTGCGCTAGTGGTGGATGAGGTTCCAGTGGTTGGGCTTTCGGTGGATAATGTGGAAGTTGGAGAAGCAGTGGTTCCTGACGCTGCTGCCTCGCATATATTCTGTCGATCAGCATCACTGGGCGTTGTGGGCGGAGCTGCTGTAGTTGTGGTTGTGGTGAAGTCATCATTAGTGCATGTGGGTTGCGCATCAAGCTGGTAATCAAATATAAAATGATATACAAAATTAATATAGTTCCTTTAAACGGCAAAGATACCTACATAATTAAGAGCACAAGAGGGAACACAAACGGTTTCGTAGTCGTCAAGACCTTTTTGGTAGCAAACTTCATCTTCCTCGCAACTGTAGATCGTGGAGGTAATCAGTGTGGTGCCCTTGCATCTGGCAAATTGAGTACTGCTGACACAAGTGTACTTGGGACTTCCATCACAAGATCCACACGCGGAGTTGCTGCCACAAACATCCATTATGTTGGTTCCATCAGGCTTCTCCACACAAACATCCAAATCATTGGTGCAAACGGTGCCCTCAGGACACTGTTCCACATCGCCAATGGGTTTTCCTTCTGTAAGTTAGTAATTTAAGTAGCCTCTAAGTAGATTACATAAGTCTCTCCTCTACTTACTCATGCAATTTTGATATGTGGTCTGATTATGACAGTATACATCATTATTCGTCTGGCATTCTTGGCATTTCTGGGCGGATACAAAGGCTAGGTTGCCAAAAGCAACTATGAGGGATACTGTAAGGATTAACTGCATCTTAGAGGCTGCAAACTAAAGTATTAACTAACTGCAATGTGCCGCTGCCTTCTTATATAGCTGAGTGCTGTATCCAAAGCTTCATCCATAAACTGCATTTGAATACATCAGGTGATCTAGTGCTCTTTATCAAATCTTGCATTATCAGTCATAAATTTGCTATCGTAAGGAAATAGTGAACATACTGGAGAGTACAGATATTAAATCTGTCCCTAAAATAAATAAAGTTATAATAAAAGTTTCAAGGATTACAAATCTCTTTAAAAATTAATTTAAAATATTTGCTGGGGTTTAGAAATTATAAATAAAACAAACATACTACATGTAAATGTAATAAAGACAACTGTTTATTTATGTGTCATACCCACATAAAGATATATTTTCTTTCTTTTATTTTAAATTTTTTATAAATATATATAAACTTTTAAAAGAAATTTCTTTATTACCCCCAGGTATCTGAGATATCCAGAAAGCTCTTCTGCACTTTTACGTAGAATCTTATCAGTGGATTATGGAATAATAATAACAATGTTGTTGAATGCTGTCAATAAACAAATAAATCCATAAAGAAAACCTTGAATGAATGAGACAATAGATAGCCCATGATATTGACTGTTCGCTCGAGTCATTCTTTATGGTTTTTTGGCAACCCAAAAGTCAAAATAAGACACACATGCCAAGATTGCTTGCGATCACATTTATTAAGTTTCGTATTTGAATCAAATTTTTCTTAAATATTTTCTCACACAATTTTACATATTACACAATTCACGTTCTTTAATGTTTGTTGTTTTCTTGCTTGATTATCGTTTCGATATACGAGTAACACAAAATATCTCTTAAGCGAATTTAATAAATAACAGATATATGTACGCGTATGATCATTTGTTTCGTTATAAGCGAAGGTCAAATATGGTATATAATACGTTTCAAAAGTGACAAAGAGGTGAGAACTAAAAGTGTCTGCTTAAAGTTAAACGTACGTTCTGATAATAGAAATAATAATGCATCCTCATCGGTGAAATCTATCCGTATTTATACGTAAGTATCTATAGAAGAGCGCCATGGAGGATAACTCCTCGGATTGGGAATAGCTTCACCGATATCTGCAGCACGATTAAACACAATATTATGATATTGGATGGGTAATAATGATTATTACACTTGGTAAGTTGACGCGTGGGGCTGGTGGCTTCGGAACATCGCCTGGATCCTTGATGGTGATATTACACATTGAAATGTTGAACTTATGATTCGATATATAGTATGTAATGTGTATATATAATTTATATATGAAAAAATATATATATTTAAATACGTACGTGTATATATACGTATGTATATGCATGTATTATGTAGTTAAACTAATCTGTAACTAGGGCTCATTTGATGAATATGTTCTCAGTTTTGTATGTAAAGGTTTTCTTTCGATCCTCGGATCATAATGTGTGTATGTAAATATAGTTAAGCTTGATTTGTGTAAGTTTATTTTTATAATTTTATAATTTGCTCTATTCTCGTATATAAAATTTGACCAAATACATAAGATTTTCTTTACTTCCTTTCTTTCTTTTTTTGTTGTTGCTTTGTTTATATATAAAACGAACGAAACAATTCTCAACGATATTTGAAACATGGTTTCACCTAATGCTTAAATGCCTAACACAAAAAATAATAAACAAATTTTGAAATTTTCTCTCGCCTTAACACATGCTCTCCTCCCTAGCTCCTTCTTTTTTCAGCCTTCTCTTTTTAGCTGGTTAATAAAGTAAAATTGTTGCTTCTCGATGATGATATAGGTTCTCAGACATACATATACACTGTGAAAGTAAAACATAATTTCATTTACTTAATTTACTAATTACTCTAATCAACGCGGCGTTCTCCTCCTTCAGGCGATGATTATCCGACTTGTAGGCATCAAGTTGCTGAGGGAGTGTGTAAATTATCCGAGAATTAAAAAATAAATTAGTTAAATTATACACAGAATATTGAAAGCGAATATATACGATTATGTGGGTGATTAGGGGGCGGGCATGCTTAGTTAATTTATAATCTTTTATATTTTTATTATTTTCGGGGATGCCTCAGCAGCAACAACACAACAATGGAAACAACAACAAACAATTAGTAACTTCCTAGGGAGGGGGAAGAATAAAACGAAATAAAACTCATCTGGGACAGCCCTAATCTTGTATAACATGCACTTAAAACTCGAAACATGGTATGACTTTGGGAATTAGTCTCTGATTCGTGTCTCGTGTGCTGTGATAAACTAATTATATAGCCAATCCATCATATATATGTATATCAATAAATGCAGAATGGATCTCATGAATTTAGATGCGAGTGCTCGTGTCCTGGAACTTCCACACCCACCCTTCGGGGAGTATGGCAACAATAAACTGCAATAAGTTGAATTAAGAACGACAATGGACAAAAGTTTAAGTTTATTTCATAATACAACTTAAGTTCGATGGTCGTTGGTGTTGAGAGTCGAGTACAACACACAAAAAAGGATAAACCAAATTGCATAAAAAACGTGTAACAATATGTAACAACAAGAGGGTATAAATCCATATTTTTAATAGACATTATTTAAATAGTAGAGTATTAAGTAAGTATATTTTTTAATGTATATGTACAATGGGAGTGCTTCAAGGTTTTATTTAATAATTTTACATCAATATTCTCCGATAATTCAGAAACAAAACTCTAAAATATCAAATTTCTTGCACAATTTGTAGTACATTTTGCTAGTATTATTATTTCTTTTTTATTAAAATCAAACAGAATAGATTTTCCAAAACTTTAGCATTTATTTCTGGGTTAACAAATTTGTATTCAACTTGGTACATTACTTTGAAACACTCCTTGGATACAGTTATAGCTATAGAATATATATTTTATTATATTCCTTTAGGTGATATATATGTGTATAAACAACAAAACAACAGCCAGCAGCTCATAATATTTTGGGGAGGCGCAGGTTTCAAGTCAGTGTCAGTGGTGGGGCACATTTACCATTAAGTTTCCAGCATCACACCAACGACCACTTCTTCGCTCTCTTTGATGTTCGATTATATATAGCTGATCGATCCTTGGGATCCTGGGATTTTCTGATGCTGATGCTGTTTTCTTGTATCATATCTTTATTTTCTTTTGTGGTGGGGGTTTGATGATTAATCTCGTTGGTTTCGATGAGTTCTTTATTCTTTTTGATTCGAGTGTTTGGGCTTAGTTTTGATTTAAAGAGTAGTTGCCTTATTTGATATAAGTATTTGATAAATTCGCAAATCGTATAATTTAGGTAACCAAAATAACAAACAAAGATTGTACTATTTATAAAATTTCCTACTAGTGAAGTTTTTTGTTTATCAAAAGACAAGTATATTGCCTCCTAGGGAGTTGTAGTTATGTTTAATGACTTTATATATAAATTACCAATGATTTCAGCTCAATGTGAACTTAATTTATCTACGATACATTTAGTTATTGTTGTTACTCGCAAAAGAGTCTTGGTGTATATTTAATTATCGGAAGTGCCACAGCTTACAAATCACTTGCAAATTAGCTACAAAGTATTCAAGTATACTTTTGAAAATCAATTAGAGTTGATTTCAAATCCACAGCAATTTCTGCGGCACTCCAATCTGCTTATATACCATTATTTAAATATATATTTTTAACAACGACATCAAGGTGTATTAAATATATAGCATATATAGAAACGATATTCGCGTCATTGTGCGCGTGAGCAAAGGGATAGGTGAGATTTTCAGATATTCTGGTTTTGGATATTCTTTGATTATTGGTTTTTGGGGTGCTGGGTGCTGGGTCAATCTAAATGCTTTCTGATCTGCGCCTATTTGGTCTTGGCCAGCTGACTCTGAGCCGAGGTGGTCAGCTTGGAGACGACCCGTGTGAGGGCCCGATTCTCGGCACGCAGACGGTCGTTCTCAGTCTTTAGCTTCTGCAACAGCTAAAAAATCACACAATAAAAAAAAATAAGGACGCAGCAAGTCATAACAAAACAGCAGAGCGGAAAAACACATATTTTTTTTAAATATTTGAACGATTTGCGATAACGATAGTCGAGAGCCGATTGTTTCGACAGTTCGATTGTTTGTTCGATCGATGAGGCGCGTGGGAAGAGAGAGAGAGAAAAGAAAAACAAATTTGAGTGATCGTTTTGGAATGAGAGCGCTATGGTTTTTTAAATATTTTGTTTTTTAAATCTGTAACAATTTAAGTGAGTATAACGATAAACGTATAAACACGCATGGGAACAGTGACGAAAAATCAAAAGGGTTGACAATTTGACAATGAGAAAGATATGTAGATAGAGCGAGATGATGATGGTGATGATGATGAAGATACGATCTGGTGATGACAGAGAAACATAATGGTCTGAAGAAATGTCTTTTTGAATGAGAACACTGTCTGAGGTGATGTCTGATGTCTGTCGTTGGCTTGTTTGTTATTCCTGTTGTGTGTTGTTGTTGTAGTTGTTGTTGTTGAGGTTGTTGTTGTTGAGGTTGTTGTTGAGGTTGTGCGAGATGAGAAAACCAAGAGGAGAGGCAAAACACACAAAACCAAGCATGAGAGGTGATGATCTGATGACAACAGTTGGATATTTGGGGCATAAATAAATAAAGGCAACAAGGAAGAAGAGAAAAATCAAACAAGCGATCGCTTCACTGTACAGCGGAGAAGGGAACAAAATATATAAATAATATATAGACTATATACACAGGGGGATGTCTTTTTGGCAAATCAATTTCAAATCAAATGAGGCTTCTGCAACACACACCAAAGACAGCTAGCTAGTCAACTAGGTGTGCTTCTATAATGTGTAAAAAGCGCAGCATCTGGCCAAAGAGGTAAAAGCAATATATATAAATATATAATAAATATGTAGATTCATTGCTCCAACTCAGTGCAAAGAAACGTGTTCGTTCAGAGGGTTTCGATTATAAAACAAAAATAATAGAACAGGAACAGATCAAATCGAATTAATACTTTTTCTTAAATCAAATCAAAAGCGGGTTAATAAATAAAACAAACTTAAAACGAGAGATTCAATTCAATTTCAAATGTAGTTTGCATGCATCCAAGGGGTTTCACAAAATCATAAAAGGACATATGGGGTAAAAACCAAACGAAAGCAATTCAATTTCGAGTCCTGCAAACAGCGGCGTCTTTGGCAACATTAAGGACACTTTGTAATTACCTTGAGCTCTTCTTCCAACTCGGAAAGCTTGCGTTCCATAGCTCTTCTTTCGCGTTTCTCAAGTTCAGATAGTGAATTTTTCGTTGTCTGCGAATATGTGAAATGAAACAAGATTTCGTTGTTTTTTTTTTGCATTTTGGATTTTGGATTTGTTTACAGTGTTTTTGTACTGTATTATTCAGTTGTTTTCTTGTTCAGTTGTGTTGTGTTGGTTTCAAGAGTTCGAATATAGTAATATATATATGTATGTATATATAGAGAGCGAAAGAGAGCGCGAGCAGTAAGCTTCACATGAGAGGGAAAAAGAGGCAGCTAGAGTATAAAGTTATACATTTTAGTAGGCAGCCTTCTACTAAGTTTATTGTGTTTCGTGTTGTTGTTTGTTACTGCCGGGTTTTGTTTATTATAAATATAAATTTCCATGTTTTTTCTTAGTGGGCGTGAATGTGGGCGTGGGCGTGTTAGGGGCGTGTCTCTTGTACTTACGGCATTGGCGAATCTCTCGAGTGTGGCACGAGTTTGCACAACTTCATCGTCCTTCTGCTTGAGCATCTGCTTCAGCTTATCGTTCTCCAATCTGTTTGGTATAAAAAAATAAGGTATTTATCGTGTTTCAGGATATATAACATAGGCTATACTCACTTGGCCGCTTCCCAGAGGGCCTTGTAGTCAATGCCATCGCCGTTCTCTGCCTTGTCGCTCTTGGACTCACTTGTGGTGGCAGTGCTCGCCGTGCTGCCAAGTCTGGAGCGGGATGTTCGCTCGCTGCCACTCTATGAGGAGAGAAGAGATATTCATTTAAATCAAAGTTTCTTAGAAAATCAGAAATTATAAACCTAAACCTTATACCAACAACAACAACATGTGCAAAATAATATAAAAATAAATTAAATTAAGCTTAAAGAACACCTGCTTACTTCATATCCCTCACTCTTCTCCGATGAGGCACTTATCGACCTCTGTGCCGCGCTCTTTGATCGCGAACGATTCCTTGATTTGCGCTCCTGTTCCCTCAGGGAATTACTCCTTGTGGCCGCAATGGCTGCCACAGTTGCTCCTGCACTGGTCGAGGGTGTACTGCCACCATAGCCTCCTGCATTGAGACTGCTATTCGAGGCTGACAGGGATTTGGTCTTCAGCAGACGGGAACCCTTGAAGGAGTTGGAGGAGCTCAGACCCGGCGACTTGAAGCTAAGCGAGGCTGTGGTCACACCATTATCATAGATGCTCGAATAGGGACTGACATAGCGATCGCTTGCCGTGGAGTATGGTGAAGTGCCCGCCGAGGAATATGAACTGGGATTGTACCGAGAACTCTCGTAGCCACCACTGCCGCTGCCTGTTCCAGTCGAGGGGGCCGAGGTGGAGGAGGACGACGATGAGGAGACGGTGGACAGAGAGGAGGAGAGAGCAGAGGCTTTAGACTGGCCATAACTGTGAGCCGAGATATGCTTGCCCACCGACAGGTGGCTATAGTGGTGACCCGGTGAAGCGGTGGGCTGCAGCTGCAGATAGTAGCGGTTGCCATGGTGCATTTGCGTTTTAGTTGCTGCTGGCATTGCGGCATTGGAAGCTATAGAAGCTGTTGTGGATGATGGCATGGCATGGCATGAGGAGGCTGAGGTTGAAACTGAAGAGGCTGAGGCTGAGGCTGAGGCAGATGAGGTTAAGGCCATCGATGGCTGGGAATGTTGATTCAAATAGTGGTGGCTGGTGAACTGCTGCTGCTGCTGGTGATGATGATGGTGGTGATGATACTTGGTTGCCCGTATTCATAGCGATTACCGTAGGCACTGCGTCCAGCACTGGCTCCTCCGCCGCCATACAAACTCTCCCGGGAGCTGTACACACTGGCATAGGGACTCTGGTAACTGGAGGAAACCCCGCCTCCGCTGCTTGGAAAGTAACCAGTGCTCAGCGGGCGACCGGAGCTACTGCTGGATCCATTGTAGCTACTTCCATTATAGTTATAGGCACCCGAGGTAGTACTCGAGGGAGCCATCCGAGAACTGGAGGACAGGGAACGCCGGCGACTGGCCAACGGTGCCTGGGTTCGTGATCTCGAGCGAAAGGACATCTCGCTCTGTTGGCTACAAGAAAAGGTGAGGTGAGGCCCCCCATTAGCTCTCTGGCAGTTCGTATATCAATCGTCGATGCCAAAGTGCAATTACGTTTAAATATTCGAAAAGGCACACAAGACTTGCATACTCTTTCTTTCTGAGAAGGGATTTTCCATTTAACCAGAGGTTTGTCAGTAGATTTATATACTTGAAAATGTTGGGAAACCTGGGAATACCTTTGTGTTAAATTAATCTATATAAAAAAAGGGGCAATTATTAAGCCAAAATACACAAATATAGGTAGTAGACATATTAGAATCCTAATCAGGACTTCTTTTACAAACTGATCCTGAATTCGTACTTGAGAATTATAAAAGCGAAACGCTTTAAATTTTACCAAGCCAGAGAGCTCATTTATCCTATTAAATATCTCTACCTAAAATCCCTTAATAACTCCTTATAATCTACAAAACTCTTAAGTAAGACAGAGAGCTGTCTCTTTTGAAAGCCTCTTTGAACTTTAATTGAATTTCGGTTTCATCATGGTCTAAGTACATAAAAGGCACATCAATTAAACGATACGAGATGAGACTCATTCCCTGGGGGATGATCTGCGCAATTGAAGGGCATTTCAACTTCGATTCTGATCGATTTGTGTTCCATTTATAGAAGCCAACAAAAGGCAATTACAATTAAAATCAAAGCGAACACACGAAATGTTCATGAATTTGGCATAAACAAAATAAAGGGGAAAAAACAAACAAATCTTTGTGTGTGTATATATTCTATATACGAAACGGATCTTTCAATATGGAGAACGCGCAATATTGACATGTGGTTCGCCCTGTGCCTGTGCCGTGCAATCCGCCTGAGGGGAAAATGACGTCAAGGCATAAATTTTGACAATTTTTCCTTTTGCGCTTTTCTTACCCCCAACTGGCCAATGCTCTTGATCGAATTGAAAACACATACAAAGCCATGATATATGGTTCCGAAAACTATACCACAAGCAACCGGCCTGCCTGCTCTGCTATTTATTTGTTTTCACTAAGAGTTGATGCTCCTCATTCTCATCCTCCGCCCACGCGGATACAAACAACAAACATCATCTGCGGGGTGAAAAACGTTTTTCCTCTCAAGCAATTTTCCAATGCATATAATTTATGACGAAGCTGGCTTCTGTGTTTCCTACAAGAATTGTTTTATGTATCTGCTGCCGCCTTAAATAATATGTGCTTCTATCTATAGGACGACGCGACAAGAGCCCATGAATGAAGCGGCATTTTTATACTTCCAAAAGCTTAAATGTTTGGCCTTTTGAAATACATTTTCCCCCACATTTATGCCTGGTTCTTATGGCTTCATTGCCGGGTAATTCAAACATTTAACTTGGCTAAATATCGCATTAAAAAATACGAATCTGTTGAATATATACTTTTTGTGTTGTGTCATGGCGAGAAGATAAATGAACTGAATGGGTCGAAAAGGCATCCATAAAATGGATTAGGAAATGGAAATAAATTTCAGGAAATAATCTTAGAATAAACTATTATTTGGAAATATATTTTAGGAATATTTTAAGAAAAGAATGAAAGATTATAAATAAAACTTAAACTTCTCCCTCTGAAATTCTTCCATTTTCAAGTTTGCTTTTTAAACTTTAACATTTATATTCTCGAGGCAATAACACAAACTCAATAAATTAAGCACGTTCACGAAATCAAATTAAAAACTTATCAAAATAGTTGACCATATATGCAGAAGCCACCTGAGGAGTTGAGAGAGGAGCATCACAACTTGAACTGTCCAAAAATTATGCGCAGTTTGTGCCGAAAATGGAAACACGTTGTGATTCCATCAACTTGTTTTTCGAAAACTCTGACTTGGAAAATCCCCTCTACTCCCCTGCTGTAGATCTTCAGCATCCCGGGGGTAAACTGATCTGATCTAGGCGTTTTTTTGTATTTATTTTTCCTTAACAACTCTTTGACACGTTCGACAGGTCTCTGTGGTTATTTTTTCCTCGTTGCACTTGACGTCGTATTGAATTCTAAGCTTTTAATTGGGATTTACATCAAAGTATAGATTGGATTTCTTTGGAGATTGACTTGGCTTAGCCGATGATCTCAAACTGAATTGATCTGATCTGGATTTTACTAAGATGATCCGCTGTGCTTGGGGCACAAAACTCAACTGTGCGGCTCGCTGGCGATTTGAAATGTTTTATTTGAAAGCGAACAAATGCGATCCGAAATAAACACACAAAAGAGCTAGAGCAGCGGATCCAAAGAGAGCGAAAAGCGAAATTAAGAGAGGAAAAGCCGGAAAATATAACAACACAAATAATCGGGAATATTATTATAAACTAAGATATGAAAACAACAAGAAAGAAATAACAAGAGAGTGCTGCAGCAGCAGCAAAGGGAACGTTAGCCGAATTTTCACTTGAAATTGCGCACACAGAATTTAACGCTGTGCGAGTTTTCACCTGGCTGATGGGGGCCCCCTGGTCTAAATTTAGTAAATCGCACACGTATTTGGCCCAATGTCCGAGACGCAAAACTGTTAACTATGCTGGGGTCATCAGAACACACATTGGGAGAGCATGATGGCGAAAAAGAGAGCACATGCCGCAGCAAACTGGGCCAAAAGGCGAAGCAGTCATTGACACAAGAATGCAGTGAAAAAGGAGAGCTAACGAGTGTCCCGACCACAGGGTACCCGGTTTTCTGTAGGATAAATATATTGCCTATCTTAAGGGGACTGTATTAAGGGGATTTTATTAGTTGAATTGAATTCTTATTTGTTTAAGGGTAATAGATTTGCAGAAAAGCATGTCGGAGATGCCTAAGCCAAAGCCAAGTCGATAAATAATATATTATTAAATATAATATTAATTTTGACATATAAAAAGGATTTATCAACGTAAAGGACATCTCTATATATATTTAAAATTGGAGTTAAAAGACTACATTTTGCGAATAGGAAACTACAATCATAATCTTCACACGACCCTATTAATGGATATTGTATCAAACTGATACCCTAATCAATACACCCTTTCCCTGACATAGTACTAGGTACTAGGAAAAAAGAGAGGAAGACCCAGCATAGGAAAAACTATTTCAGTTCAGTCTAAATTTAAATCAAAGTGTACGCGACAGGAGAATCCAATTTTGGGGAGTTGCTGCTGCTGCTTGTTGCTGTTGCTTCTGCTGTTGCTGCTGCTGTTGCTGCTGCAACTTCCTCTGCCCCTTCATAACTGGGCCAGACACGACCAAGCAGCTAAGCAGCCCCTTTGGCACTTTCGATGAATGCATTTTTGCCTGGCTAAAAATACCCCATGACGATCCTTTTGGCCGCAGGGAGAGAATGAGGAAGCGAATGCCATATGCAAACTGTTGTAAATTTAGCCAAAAACTAAGTTCAACGTACGTGTGCCGTTGCCTGCTGCCTTTCGTAATATGTTTTATTTGGTTCTTTAGATTGCCTTCTAGTTGTGGGTCGTGCCTCGGTAATTGACCAATTTGTTGTAGAAACACAAGCTGTCTGGCGATTGTGAAAGTGATTTCCTCGGATGCAAATACTAAGAAAATTACGACTGCTCTGAGGCGAAAACACTTGACATCGTCAATCAGAGATGGTGACACATAGTCAGCAATTACAGATGGGCTGCTGCCATCGTTAAATAGATGGGTTTTTGGGGTAAAGTGGTCAAAAGTGCATATTACTTAGGGGTTCCTTGAAAAGTAACAACCAGACTGTTAAAATGCTTTTAAACTATGTATTCTCCATTAAGATATAAAGATATATCAAGAAAGAACTTATACTATTCACTCGTCACAGAAAAGTATACATTTTCTGCACAATTTCATTCAAGTAATTGAGCAATTTAAATTTATATTCCTATATATGTATATTACTGTATGAAATACGCTGCAAATATTACAAAGAACCATAAACGAAGAAAGCTCTTCAGCTTTAAAGACTATTAACAAGAGGAATATAATTTTCCAGCTATATCTTGCAACTATACAATTAATAATCAAATAAAAGTAACAACCTTAAGTCATTCCCTTGTCTCTCTCTAAGCTTAAAATATTTCCCTCTTCCCTTACCCTAACCAAATCATTTGAAACCCATCAAACAATAGTTTCTTAAATAATAAAATACACATTAGTTAATGCCATAAGCAGACTACGATGACTTGTTCTCGGTTTGCTTCTGCAATTATCCAATGTGCAAAACAATTAATAATTTGTTCAAGAAACAAGCAGAACCCGAGCAATACGCTCGTTAATGACAAGATGCACTCAGAAATTGTGTCAGTTTTTAATAATAGGCGACACCGGCAGTCTGACACTTGTGAAGATAAATTGTTAACAGGTTCTATCGGTGGAGCGGTGGACTCGTGATTTCTTTGGACGCAAATTGGTTGCGCACTAATAGTTCTGACCTCGGCCATGAAAGGATTTGTGCAGTTGCCTTGCACTTACACTTAAAATCCCACACACAATGCCACGTGCTCAGTGTTTCGGCGCAAATAGCAAAATCATAATTTCAAATTATTTTTTTTTTAGGTCACTTTGCTAATTGGACCGGACGGACGATGATGTGGACGAAATTGGGTTGTGGGGTTGGAAGAGGCGCAGCTACTTTGAAGGACGCATCGGAGCGTTTCTAAAAATTGTGACAAGGTGCGACGATGTTGGCCAAAAAATCAAAGGAGAGCATGAAAATCCCAGGTGTACAGCACGGAAATAAGCAATTGCGCTGGTTGCCATAAATTCTAATTACTTGGCAAAGGTGTGAGAAATATTCAATTGTTGCTATTAGCTAATGTTTTTGTTGTTGTTGTTGGTAGTTAACATATGGAAAGCCACAGATTCTGAGAAAAGACTCACCTCCTTCTCCTTCTCCTCGTTGTCGTTGTTGGATTCGGTCTGACGCTCGGGGTCCAGTTCCTGCAGCGAAGCAAAACATAGAGAGATTTCATTATATATATTTAGCATTTCTCTTAATCTTTTGACTAATTAGTGTTTTGTGTGAAGAATAATTGGCATGCCGCATTCGGTCGGGCCAAGGCTCATTTGTTCTGACAAACGGGGCATAAATGATGTATCTCTGCTTAGTGAGGATGAGCGATTTAAGTACTTACATCCATATCGATGTGCACCACACCCGTGGATCTGCGTTTCGGTTTGCGTCGCCTCTGGATGACGGTCTGTGTGCGATTATCGTTCTCCTTGTCATTATCTGTGGGTGGAAAGTGAGAAAAATAAGGATTTTAGTCAACTGAGGGCGGAAATATCTTAAGATTTATAGAAAGGTGTCTATCTTCTTTCAATTATATTGGGGAAATATATTAAAGAGAGTATCGGTTTATCCCAAAAAATATAGAATTATGTAATAATAATACATTTATTAATCTACTTTCGCGTCAAATATCGATTCCGTATCGCTATATCAAAAGTTTCTGGTATCCATAATCATTTCCAAATACTTTCTTTTATAAGTTTCGCAACTGTTCCTTGAATTATCACATAAAGTACTGATTATCTATCGAATTTCGCATCAAATGTTAATGTAGTTGCATTATATAAATATTTTCAGTTATCCCTAAGCCTTTCCATAAGTTTTCTTTTATAATTTTCGCAATTGATCCATCAAATATTGGTTTTTTTATCAATTATCGGGGCGGTATCCATACAAATTTGTTCAGCTATTCCTAATCCTTTCTAGACTTTCTTTCTTATAGCATCTCCTCCTTGATCCTTACCCTTATCGTCATGGTTCGACGTAGCATTGCTCGCCGTGGTTGTTGCATGATTGGCACTGGTTGCAGACACTGAATTGGAGGTTGTGTTAGTATTAGTTGCCGCTGCTGCCGTTGACGTGGCATTCGTTTCATATTTGCGAGGCGAGGGCGTGACATAGGCGCTGCTGTTGTTTGTTGTGCTCTCGCTGGGCGCGGATACAGGACGACCCACAGAGTTGAGCGACTGATTGGAAGCATTTACTAATAAAAGAGAGAAACAATTGTTAATAATTGACCACTAATATACAATTAATGCAATAACTTACATGCATTGGGTCCGCTGCTAATGCGACGCTGCACACCAGTTGTGGTGGACAGATTGGCGGCTGCCATCACCGCTGGAGCACTGGGTATAATGGTGCTGTTGTTGGGCGGATATGTACCACCGCTGGTAATGTCCTCCAGCTTAAACTGCAGGAAATAAATATTTATTAATTAATTGAACCAAACTATAAATGCATTATTAAAATTTCAAAATATATGTATATAAAGTTATGTTTTTGAAATGTTTCTCTATATAATTGTCGCTCTTTTGTTGTTTTTTGTTTGTTTGGCTTGTGTGTGCAATGTGTTTCATTTGTTTACAAGAAGCTATGTCGTCATGTCTGGAAGAATCATTCGAATGCAGCGGGAGTTAGTTTATACTAAACATTTAGTGGTAATTAACAAGTATGAGAGACATCCAGTTAGGAGACCGCAACCCAATTACCTAAGCTAAGCCATTTCCCTGGATTTCCTTGAACCATTTGTAAGTAAATATATATTAAAATGTAAATATTTAACGAAAATATAAAGCTATTTTATAACTTGCATGCAAAATATATAAATTATAGATTAATTAATTTAGATATTAGCAGTATGTAAGAACAGTAAATGGTTAAGAAAACATGAACATCAGTCAGGTTAATAAAAAATACACCTTTTTGCATCATGTATGTACATATTTATACATCAATGTTCGTATCACCAGCAGAATATGAAAGATAATTTGTTCGAATATATACACATGAAAATAAATACTTTATGCGGCTCTACAAAATAATACATACATTACACTATAAGATCAGGATATTTACTGCCTAGTTAGCGAGAATATCCAAGCATAAATAACGAGCAAATTGAGACGTGAAAATAAAATACAACTAAATGAAAAGAAGACTTAAAAATAATAATGCTCTGGCGATAATAAAAACTAGAATATATAAACTAAATAAAGAAGCAGTCCACACATGTAATATTCTAGTTTATTACCCTTGCTATAAGCAACAATGATGACTTTTAGTAGATCAAATTGATGGGATTTTGCAATCATTAAATAATACATTTTCGAGGAAATGATATTTAAATAAAGATTTAGCAGATGATGTGTTAATCCGGTATGTATAGAGAGGAAATTGCAACCTTAAAAAGAATCACAAAGTCAACTATTACCAACCTCTGCTTTAAACAAGGCCACTAATAACAAATGTGGTTAATATAATGAATTACAACGGTTTCCAATTAAGCTAAAGCAAGGGTATTTTTTGCGACTTTAAAGAACCAAAAGGTATCCATTAATTATATTCACACACTAATAAAAATAAATCCATGCTACACTCGGAGTTTAACAAAAAGATATTGATAGATTTATGGCACACACGAGTTGAGTTTGGCAACCGATCGAAACAAACAGTCTGTCATATAGTTGGTATTAGGCTATCATCGGATTCGATTAGGGAACTGTGTTGTTGGGTAGTGTTGTGGCATACCTTGGAGCCGGCATCGAATTTCAGGCGCCAAGACGGACGTCGCTCTGCTGCCGACGAGGACGACGACGAAGGAGCAGCACCACTTCCACCACCGCCAGCACCACCTCCCGCGCTGCTGTCCACGGTACGTCGGGCATAGAGACTTAGTAGGGAGTCGCGGGCATTAAAGTCCGCTTGTGTGGACACAGGCGAGGCGGTATCGGACTTTGTCTCCGAGTCCTGGCTTCCGGTTAGACTCCGCTTGTCCGCAAGCGCACAGGACTCTCGAGGGCAGCGGGTGTGGTGGCCGTCGATGATGATTTAATGGCCGGAGATGTTGGAATCAATGGCAGATCCGTGGGCCTTATATGCGGCTCCTCTTCTGCCTTCTCTTCGGTGCCATCAGTGTTCTTGGTGTCATCAGTCTTTTGTTTGGTGTTCTCCACAGCACTCTCCTCCGAGCTGACGGGTAGCTTGTCCCTCTTGGAAACTATCGTGTAGCTGGCACTGACCACTGACTGATCCGTTGCCTCCGTTTCACTACTGGCATCGCCATCGCCCATCGAGAGGGATCTTCGTGCCGGAGCGGATAAGGTGAAGCTGGCTGTGGTGTCGCTAGCAGTTGAGGGTGGAGGATGGGTGGTGGTCACCAGCTCCTCAATTTCCGTCTCATCGGTGGCCGTCGTTGTGGTGGGAATTAATGCTGGCGGTGGTGTGGTGGGCGGTGGCGGTGGTTGCGTCTCCTCCCGCTGATCACTGCTGGATGGTGCGGCGCTTGTTTCGTTCTGTTAATAATATTAGTTTGGAACAAAAATAAAAAAACAGTTGTCCTAAGGGGGGCGATGGACGCGCGAGTGTGTTGCTCTCAACCAAAAATCAAAGGGGTCTCGCTATTCATTTATTAAATATCAATTGCATACGATAACGATAACGATACTTTGGTGGTGACCCCGGATTCAATTACGCATGCAAATGGGACATGCAAAATGATAAAAATCATCAACATATTCCATAGACATATATCTTTATATATATAGAGCCTAGTAAGTAGTACGAAACTGAACGTAAGAGATATAACTTAAAAACTTTAACATAAATACAAGTTGGAATGGTAATTACGCTATGTGGCTCACTGGTCTGCTGATGCTGCTTGATACTGAAGCCGATGATTGGAAATCATAAGCACAAGGCTACGCTATAACAAAGTACTGAACATTGATGAGGCGGTTCGGGCGTTTGGGTCAAGGGGCGTGGCAGGAGCGGAGCGGTGGCGCATACGCAGGAACTTGAACTCAACTTGATTGCTGGTTAAGTGTGATATTGCGATCGATCACGAACGAATAATCAAATGGAAAAAGAACGGGGTAGCAACGTACGCTAAATGGAAGCACTGATTGATCGATGAGACTCTGATTGAAATGATGACAGCAGCTTAGATCTGCTTTTTTGTTGGGAATGCAAAAGATTTGAAGCATGTGCTTGCATGGTTATATCCCTTAGGTTAGCTAAGGGTGTTCTACAACCCGTTGAAGCTACTAAAGATATATAACCATTAGATCTACAACAACACTTTAGTTGCAAAACTAATAAATATTACTTGGTTACTTTTGAATTAACATTTTTGACATACTTTTTGCTAAATCTTGTAGTTAAAATATGAATATATTGTTGTTGTTGAAACATATACGTTGTTGTTGAATATTATATATATTGTTGTTGATAATTAAAAGATTATTTTATACGTATTGTTCAATATTTTGTTGTGGATCTTTAAAAGTGGATTTAAAGTATGTTCTATTTTTAAATTTTCTATGTTGTTGTTGAACACTTTATGTCGTTGTTGAATATTCCAAGTATTAATTGTATATTTTGTGTTGTTGTTAAAATCATACTTTTTAGATCCATTTTCAAACCTTTTGCACTCTTTCTTTCTACTTATGATGTTCTATAAACTACTACTAATATTTTTTAGTAAACTATTTTTCACTCACACGCACAAACGATTAATGGAATAAACAAATTATTATTTTTGCGAATGAAAGTGCGTGTGGATGACACATAAAACATAAACAAAGAGAGAGAGAGTAATATCCAACGAAAAAGGAGGGACGGACACCATAACCATAAGCATTTGTTTCAGTTTTTTGATCTGGTGTGTATTTTTCTCAACATTTTGAATGGTTTGTGAACTGCATGTGGACATCGTGGGTATGTGATGTGCCGTAATCTGGTCAAGGACTACGGGCATGATCTACCAAATGGACTAATGTATGATTCTATGGAGAGAAGAACATTGAGAGAGAGCCTCCTCGAGTGTGGGATGTTTGCTTTGGACTTTTGTTGTGATTGTGAATAATGATTCGATATCTGGCAACTGGACTACTTACGCTGCTGTTGCTAATCGTGTTCGTGGTGGTGGTGTTGACATTGTTGTTATTATTGTTGTTGGCCATGCCTAGGTTCTTCTTCTTGACCAGCTCCTCGGCACTCTTGATCTCATCGAGAGTAACGCCCTGGGTTGATCGGCGGGTTTCCCTCACGCGCTTGGCATGCGCCTTTCGCTGTGTTTCACTCTCCTCATCTCGCACCGGCGGCACAAAGGATCTACAAATGGTTTACATAAACATAAGTTTCATTAGAAAAGTTTTAAATTGATTAAAAGAACTCAAAACAAGGGTTATTCAATTAGGAGAACACATTTTCGAGCAGTAAATAGAGCTGTATCGAGCCTTAAACGCTTAAATTAGGAAACATATTTGTAGAATTCAAATCTTATTTAAGAATTCCCCAAGTTTGGTCATCATGCTACACAAATCAAGGGGATTATTAAAGTTAGCAGCTGCTGGCTAGCGAGGGTTAGCTTTCTGATTAACGATTAAATCAACAGTTTAATCTCTATATTTTACTTGAAGAAGTTCTTGATAATATTGCCCGTGGACTGTTTGGGCGGTGGCTTGGAGCTCTCCCCATCGCTGGCGGCACTGGCCGTGGACGAGCTTCCATTGTTGCTCGGGGTCGGATTCTTCACAGTAACTTGGCTAATACCGATCGACAAAGGTTTTGTAAAATATTTCCATCGAACTACTTAGATATTGAAAAATAGACTCACCTGCGTATTGGTGGGATCGGTGCAGTTGTCGATGGTGAACTGAGCGCCGTCGTGTTTGCTGTGGCTGCTGTACTTGTGGGCGTGGCAACAGTTGATTTCCTGCGATGCAAAGTAATATAATAAAATGAAATAGTATTAATTAAATGTACACAAATCAAAAGAGAATACAGCCAAAAGAAGGTAGACAGACGACATTGGTGCGTGACCTAGGAAAATATGTTAAACGATTGGTTGGTGCAATGAGTTTGGTTTCTGGAGGTGTAGACGAGAAGAAGCTAAGCAAAAGCATAGTTAAGAGTTTAGAGTTAGAACAAATTAGGTTTTAGGGTTAACAGCTATGAGTATGCGTGGCCCATTAAACTAGATCAGATTTTCTTTATGATTTCTTAACTTTCATTTAATACATATATATTTAGTACATGGAAAACGTTTAGGGTTTTTTAAATACAATATTTATCTTACAAAACTGTTTTTGCTTAATATTGGTGAAGACAAATTTAATATTTTCATAATGGTGATTTTTATGAAAAAACAAACACAAATTGGAAAAAGACTTTTTAATAATCTTTATAAGATACCCTTAAAAATTATACTATCCAATCTGATCTAGTTCATCGTTTTTTTTTCTTTTTGGGCATGTGTGTATGCAAAACAAACCTGTAATACATTGAGTTATCTTTGAGGGAGGCCGATCTTTGAACGCTATATAACTGATTTGTTGTTGCCGATGCTGCTGCTGTTGCTGGCTGTTGTTGTGGTGTTGTGCTTGTGTTGTTGGTGTTGGTGTTTGAGTGAGTGTTGTTGAATGTACTAGCTGTTGTTGATGTGCTTGTTGTTGTCGATGTATTTGTTCTTGTTGTTGTGCCAGCATATCCCAACAGCAGAGCGCTTTTGTTGTTGTTATTATTGTTGCTATTATTATTGTTATTGCTACTTAGATGATTATTGTTATTGGAATTATTATTAGCAGCAGCGGCATTAGGATTCGCATTCGCCGGCAGAATGGGACAGGAATTGGCCTTTATGCGGGCCCGCAGCTCATTGTACTTTTGATAGAATCTGATGGATATATTCGGGCGATTTATCGGTCGTTGGACGGTCGTGCAGGCGATTTCAGGTTGGGCGTTTTAGGCGATTGGTTTAGCGAGCGGGCAGGTTAGATTTTGGATAAGCGTTTTGATGAGTTTGTTGTTGTTGTTGTTTTTTTTTTTCAATGGTGCGTTGGTGATACAATTTTTTGATATATTTTAAACGGGAGTGGAAAAAATAAAGCAAAAACAAAAAATTTTAAAATCAATACAATACGTTGTTTTTTTGTTAATGGTTTTACTTTTGCAGTTAACCGCTTCACCTTGCCAAATGCGAATGGTATACAGAAATTCAGGCAAAACAAAGCTCATTGTGGCTCACAGAGAATGCCATGAATCATGGAGCTTTCCCAGATCAAGATACCCCATCACACGGGTATATTTAAACAGTTACCCGTACAATTTGTTTTTATTTTGGTTTTGTTATCAATAAATTGCGTCAAAAGCTAAATGGTTAAATAAATGTGTGTATATATGATGACTGATAAGCGAATGCAATCGGGGGCACAAGGGGAAAAGCAAACTGCAAAAGCAAACCAATAAATCAAGACCTTTCGGTGCAATTTGTGGGTCAAATCATTTGGCAGATTAATGATTATATAAATATATATGTTTATAAATGTACATATATATTTTATATATATGTGGGTTAATCTTTGATGCGCTGGTGTGTGATTGTGTTGGTGTTGGTGTGCGGCACGCATTTCTGTCAATATTGTTGATACTTGTTTCGATTTCAACTCACTTTTGATCATTCTCGAAGCTTTGCGTGCGTCGCAAAATGACATCGTTGGCGGTCTCCGAGCTATTGCTGCTAAGCTCTCTATCAGGAACTTCTGCAGAATGATATGAATCGATTAGAATTATCAAAATATAAATATCACTATTTGTGGAAAGTGCCTTTCAAAGCTTTTTGATACTTATTACACATGAATTTCCTTTTTATACCAGGATATTATAATTTCAATCAGAAGTTTTCAACGCAGAAGTCATCTCCGACCAAATAAAGAAAATATATTCTTAGCATCAACAGTAAGACGGTAAGTTAATATGAACAGTAAGTTTCTATGAGAAGTAAGTAACTATGATCAGTAAGTAACTCTGAACAGTAAGTATATATAACTAGTAAGTATGTATGTATAATCAGTTACTAACTTCGAACACTAATAAACAATGACTTGCAACTTTTGTAACAACACATTTCTGAGACTTGGCTGGAAGAAGTCACTTCGTTCCGGGGATGTTAGAACAAGTTGGGAATCATAAGCACCATGTGCGAGATTTGTTTTGAAATAAAGAACAAGCTATTTGATTGAAACTATGGAGTTATTATTCTATATAATTTTACTATTTTATAAGTCGGAGCATGGTGAATCGGTGGACTATATTTGTATGTATATATATACGCATATATATATAGCTGACACAGGAACGATCGGACGATATATAGAACTATGGTCAGTAACTAATTATGATCAGTATGTAGCTATGACCAGTAAGTAACTATGAGCAGTAAGTAACTCTGAACAGTAAGTATCTATGACCAGTAAGTAACTATGATCATTAAGTATCTATGACCAGTTATACATATATACATATATTATTTTTATTTATTATTTAATTAAACATTCGTCAATAACTGGGGAATATATTCTAGGAATATTGAGTCAAAAAGCGGACTTGAAACGCACTTCCCAATAACTTCATGTTACTTACGATTATTAGTGGGACTGTCGTTGGGTGTACGTGGCAGTTTTCGTCGCCATGGCGCCTCCTCCTCGACTGGATGATGATCGGCGGCGTGGATTTGCTGATTGGGCTTGACATTCTCAGCTGCAAGTAAGAAGGCGATAAGCAAACCGGAGTTAAAACGAAATCTTTGATCAATCTATGGACAACTAAAGGGTTAGTGGCCTATTGGCGGGCTTAGCACACAGACAGGGATCGAAGAACACACACACAAACTCCTCAATTGGGACGCAAAACAAGTGCCTACTGACGACTACCTTCGCTCTCGGATAGACTGGTCGAGTGTGAGCTTTCCGTGGAAGCGCTCAGCTCTTCTATGTCGCTTTCGGCGGCACCCTCGTCATTCTCCTGGCCACTGGCCACCATCAGGTCATCATCAACATCATCATTTAGATCATCGCCAGCATTGAGAATCGAAACCAAAGCAGCTTCGGCAGCTTCACTTGAACTGCTGCTGCTACTGGCAGCTGCAGTGTGCGTGATTTACAAGCAAAGACAATACACAAATAGAGAAATAGACACATACAGAAGGAGATGCAAGAGAAGAGATTTTCGGGGTGGCTACTGATGATGGATGATCGTGGATTCAGATGATGATAATGATGATGATGATGCAGGCAAATTAAACTGACTTAAAGGGACGAGAGGCAGTGGCAGTGGCAAATGTTTTGACGATTAAATGCTCCGATAACACAAGATTAGCGCGCATGAGAACCTAATCAGGATAATAAACAGGACGAACACAAGAGTGTGTGTGTTTATGTTTGTGTGCGAGAAATCAAAGAAAGCTATTCGATTATTATGCAGCCAAAGCACGATAACTGGTCATTATTGAGGCATACGCACCATCCTTTGTGGCATCTGTTCTCACTTCGACGCGCACCAGCTTCGTGGGCGTCTTGTCCACATGATTTTCAATCGCATCTGAGATTCTGCTAAATTGGATAAACATTTGTTTTAATTAGTTTCAGGTGTTAATTAACCATTTGAATGGTATTTTCACTAACCTGATTTGACTAGATGGTCGTCGCTTGTTGCGCTTGTTGGCACGCAGTTCTTCCAGGAATTTGACTATCTTGCGATCGGCCACATCAATGCAGGATTGGCCGGCATAGTTCCGAATATCCATATCGGCCAACGATTCAACGAGCATCTCAGCCGTCTCCCTTTGGCCCCAATGCGACGCGGCATGCAGTGGGGTCCAGCCATCATTATCCTGGCGATCCACATTGCCACGTCCAGCTAGGAGCAGGCTCAGCACTTTCGTATAACCTTTAGCAGCGGCCACATGAAGCGCTGTGGCACCCGTTTTTGGATGTGGCCTGTCCACCTCGGCGGCATCACTGCGTAGCCACTTCTTGGCATCGTTCAGCATAGCCTGCTCCTCGGCCTTTCGAGCCTCCTCCACGTTGATGTTCAGCTCCTGCACCATCTTCTCCATGTAGTCAATCATGCCCATGTGTTGTACATCGATGGCTAGATCCAAAGCCAGATCCCCATCGCTGTTTACAGCGGCTACATCGGCGCCGTTTTCCACCAAATACCGAGCTATGCTCACAAAGCTGCAAGAGAAGATTAATAAATGTTAAAGAAATGGATTTAGGTGAAATAATAAGCACAAATTCACCCGCATGAGGCAGTGGCATGTAGTGGCGTCCAGCCCTCATTATCCTGTCGATTAATATCGGCACCACGCTTCACCAGAAACTCCACCATGTCTAGATTGTCGTCAATGCAGGCCTATAAAAGATATAATAAGGTATTGTGGGTTAATGAACTGTGCGAGAGTTTTTATATAAGAGTTGTCTGGGAGCAACGTTGAATCAAAGGTTAAATACTAATAAAAGACATATCGTCATGTGAAATTGTTATCTTTTGCAGATAGCATTTAGTTAAAACGATCACAATAAAGTCAATATAAGAGATATCAAACAATAGAATGTTGTGAACAAGATATGTTACAAAAACGTAACATATATGGAGAGAATATAAATACCAATGTATTGTTAAACTTCATCTAAACATGGCGTTGATTTAATACATCAAAAAAGTATTACAATATTGATTATTTAATCCCATAAGTATTTTAAAATAAAAGGTAAATAAGATCAATGTTTCAAAAATGTTCTCTATAGAAAATATTATAACTATAAGCTTAAAATATGTCATAATGGAATGTCTGAAGATACTTAAAGACGACAAACCTATGCCAATTTTATCGCTGGAATAAAACACCTTCTAGATAACAATTCTTTGAAATTTAAAAGGGAAGTCTCATCGATAAAAGGTCAAAACCATAACCAATAATCCTTGAAACTGTTGTTCTACTTTTGCCAAAATGAGATTTATTTACATTTTCTTAAGGCCAGACAAACAATTCCATTTCCCAAACGAAAAAATCGTAAAAATCTTTTGCATTTCGCATCCTGTCCCGTTGCCAGTGCATTAAAAGTTGAATCAACTTTCGTAGAAGAGAGTTTTCGTATCGTCTGATTTCATTTTGTGATTTTATAAGAGCTAGTCGAATGTTTTAAGGAAAAAATTGTGTGTTTATCTTGCTAAAACATTAAAGTAAACACACGGGCAGTGAGTGAGTCTCCAGCGTGGTTGGGTTGTTTATGCGGATTTCCGTTGAACCCGCCTAGACATCTTCATTTGGTTGTTGGTCGGTCGTTGGGTCTGGGTCTGGATGGTTGATGGCATATGCACAGTACCGTGCGCGATGATATCATCGCCAGCGCGACTCTGGCGCTTCTTTTGGGCCGTTGCTGCTATCTGTTCTGAAGAAGAACCCCCATCACCAGTCCGATTTCGACTCTGACTCCGACACCGAACCCAACCCAACCCACCAACACCACCACGAATGGACTCGGCCCCATAACAATGTCGAGTCGAGACAACAACGCCTCGCCTCGTAGTTGCAAATGCCGATAAGCATTCTTTGGCGCAAAAGCAACAGCAAAGTCGAAAGAAAAGAAAGTAAAAGATGAGGCCCACAACAAAGGCGCCAAACTCTATTCTATCAATGCACAGCAAGAAATAACACAAAACACACACTTTATATACTATATAATACCCCAAAAAGTTCTTATCTATGAGAATTCAAGGTTGTAGCTGGCAAATAATTATCAAAATTTCTCTATTAACATATTTTGCGTATCAAAAAAGGTTTATAATCTTATCGTTTTTGATATGGAGATATTGGGAAAAGGTTTCTAATTAGAACTGAAAAAATATGAGGCTCTTTGTGCTTAAGTTTTTAACATTAATAGAAACATTAAAGAAACCCTATTATAGTAAGAAATATTTAACACAGAAAATATGTAATGAAACAAATTATATAGCACTCAAACTTATAAGAAAATATATCATTTTACTCCAAAGGTGATTTGTTTGAAGCACAGGTTATAAAATAATAATAAATATGTTGTAAAACCTGAGATAAAAGCCCTAATTGCCCTAATTCAAACTCAAGCTCTTTATAAAAAAAATAAATTAAATAAATTATTAAGACACTATGTAAGTTCTAGTTCTGCGAATAAGCCATGGTTGAGTTATTGATACCCTTTCTTTTAATATATTAAAATTTTTGGAACCACCAAATTGTAGTTTTATTTTTTCCATGTGTATTTCCCCCATCTCTTCCCCCTTCCCCTAGATAACGTGTAACATTTGAGGAGTGGGGCTATTATAAAAAAAATCAAATGACCAATTCTTCTCTCTTTCGCTCTCTCTCTATCTCTCTTTCTCTGTCATTCACTTCTTTTATTTTTCCTTTTTTTCTCGGCATATGTTAATTCAAATTTTTTTACTGGCTGAGCTTTAAAGTGACTTTTTGCCGTTGCTTTTTGGCTTTTAAAATCCAAAAGCAATTTCCATTTCGCAGTAAAACGCATTAAAAAAAAAAAAGAAGAAGAAGGCTAGAAAGAAGAACAAAAAAAGAGTCAGAGGGGGAGAGAGTAAAAGAGAAGCCTACTGAGACAACGGGTGGGCCAAACAATTTGTAAATCTGGAACGCAGCCAATTAATTAATTATGAACAATTTTGATAAACGAGTAGCTGAAGGAGGAGGGGAAAGAGGAGGAGCCGGGGCTAGCAGGAGGAGGCAACGCCCACGCGTGACCATCCACAAATCGAGTCAACTCGACGACAATATGTCCAATGGCTTTGTGGTATGCAAACATTTTTGACATGAGCTATTCTCCATCAACAAATTCCCCAGACCTGAGCCTTTTAATGTCAGAGCAATGGATGGGATTCTACGCTATTTCAATTTCCATTTGCATTGCCAAAGCGAAAGGCGGCTAAAAGATACAAAATACGAAAAACAAATGAACAAAAAACAAGAAAAAAAATGCATGCTAAGTTTAGCCTTTTGTTTTGGCACGCCATTGAGCGGCATTTTCAGCCGCTGCACGCCAAATGTTATTCACCTCGTCGCAGCATTACGTATACGCCGCATAGGCCAGCACCGGCAGCAGCAGCAGCGGCGACTTGTTGAGACGGCTTTCAGACTCTCGGCCGCCCGCGCCGCCTGAGCAGCTTAGCGCGGCTCATTACGCGGTAGTTTTGCTAAGCGCCAAGCTCCCCTCCTATTTTTTCCAGTGCTTTATAAAGCCTCAATGCACATAATTCTGGCTTATAACTCAATAGCCTGGCTAATTCCTTTGATAAGGAGAGGAAATGTCAGGGGGCTAATGGGAAAACTTTATGGGTTAGCAGCATCAGTATTGTTATATCCTTTCAGGATTTATTTATGAGGTAAAAATAAATACAAAATAAACTGTAAGCCATGAATAAAGAGTGGTATTACAAATACTATACTTAATTATTATAAGTTCATGTCTTATTTAATTTCTATTAGCAGATATATGTAATTATTTAAGAATTACTTTCTTATTTTCTTAAGAAACGTAACAACCATTGAATACTCCCAATTATTTTTATCATTTCCTATCATCAATTCAATTACTTTATTAATTTTATGTTTTTCTTTAATACGTTATTAGGGTTGTATTTATTTCTTTAGTCCATTATTTATTAATTGATTAATTCCTAGTGCGACAAGTTCATTCTTATGTATATTTATTGCACTAGTCATGTAGTATATTTTTAAATCCAAAAAAATTCTTGTTTTATTATTTTACTGAATTAAACTGAACATGATCAACTTATGATCAAGATTATTATTAACCCACATTTAAATACTTTCTTTACTGATGCATATACTCTATTATACACACATTATATTTCCCGGTGATTTGGCTATTAAAATACATAAAAGATTAACCAATTTATTACATTTTAAAATACGCTTTAAAAAAACATTCCTTGCCACCCATTGACCTGCCCTCGTTTATATCCGTTTAAGCAGCCAAATGTATATTATATATTCGATATACACGACTGAACGAACCGCTTGAGTTCAATAAATTACAAATTTGAATTAGCGCCACAAGATAAAAGTGCAAAGAATCTACATAAACCATATGATATATATCCCATACACACATATATATACTAGTATATATATGTAGGCATGCTTATATCCCACCGATTTCGAGGCATTTGCTCTGTGTGAAATGTTCTAGCAAAGCCTTCAAGCAATTTTCTTTCCCCTTTTCATTTTTGAGTAAAAGTTCTCATATATCTCAATCGGGTTTTTTGCCACTAAAAATGCTTGGCATATTTTTTGCCAAATTGTATAACGATTTATATAGCTACAAATTGTTGTTGTTTTTTCTACTTTTAATACCTTACTGGACCAGGTGGGGCCAATACATCTACTACTACTGGGTCTGGTGGGTGCGGAAAAGTGTGAAAAATAATGAACACAAACGATTTCAAAATGAGAAAATAAACAAAATAGAAGAAAAACCAAACGGAAACAAGAATCTAGACAATTTCCTTACGATTTCAAAGATTTATGGGTGGTGCATAGATATTTGAGTTATATATTGCCAAGTTTTAGTTTTAGACATTAATAAGGAAACAATTATAAGTAAAGAGAGTTATAAGTTTTAGTAGATAAATGATTATTATACCCTTTCAGGGTATTATAATTTCAGTCAGAAGGTTGCAACGCAGTGATCAGTAAGAATCAATGAACATCAAGTAACTTTGATCAGTAAGAATCAATGAACATCAAGTAACCTTGATCAGTAAGCAACTATGATCAGTAAGTATCTATGACCAGTAAGTAACTATGATCAGTAAGTATCAATGAACATCAAGAAACTATGATCAGTAAGTAACTATGATCAGTAAATAACTATGATCATTAATATTAAGATTTATATATATAATTAACTATAAGCAGTAAGTAACTCTGAACAGTAAGTATCTATGACCAGTAAGTATCAATGAACATTAAGAATGTATGATCAGTCACTAACTTAAACAATGACTTGCAACTTTTGTAACACAACACTTTTCTGATTCTTGGCTGGTAGAAGTCACTTCGTTCCGGGGATGTTAGTACAAGTTGGGAATCATAAGCACAGATGTGAGAGATTTGTTTTGGAACAAAGAACAAGCCATTTGAATGAAACTATGGAGTGGTTATTCTATATAATTTTACTATAACATAAGTCGAAGCATGGGGAATCGGTGGACTATATATATTTATAAATTGCCCTTTTTATATTAATCTAGAATAGTTTAATAATAGTTTTGTCCTACGAATCAAAAGTATTATTACTTGGTATTTTGTAAACGGTCTTATCATTTCAATGCTTATT